GCCTGTATTCTAAGCTGTTTATTTGAGATTGGGATATTGTGAGTAAAAAAGGCACACTTGGCTATAAATCTGAGAGCACTATGAGACACTGTAACCAAGAATGGCTAAAAAGGCTGACTCCTCTTATTTATTTATTTATTTAAGAGGTAAAGCAGGACTTGTTTCATAAATCTATATGTTCAGACTAAATAAGCAAACCTTAAGCTTTTGAAAGTAGATACAATGTTTTGACCGTCTTTAGTAATGATTTTCCAAGAAACTGCTATTATAACTGCTCTTGAAGATGCAGAGAACATCAGCTCAGTTTTATTTAGGACATTTTATTTAGAAGAGGTTGCAGCTGTCATGGCTGATCTTATGCCAGAGCAAATTTATGCTGAAGATTTGAAAAAGCTTAAGAAGGCTAAGGTGCACAACGATAAATGACAGTATCGTCAGCATCGAAGAGAAAGGCAGAATTTGGGACATCCTGTTTAAGACAATTTATGTAAATTTTAAACAATAATGGGTCCACAACTAAACACTGAGGTACGTCCTTATGGATTTGTATAGCACCATTGTGGAAGGACCTTCTGACGCTCTGGTTCTACCATTGAGATAGTTGGCAAACCTTTCACTGTTTGTTCACAGAAATGGCGTGCAAGTGAAATACAGTGATCAACATTATCAAAGGCCCTGGAAAAGGCAATGAACAGACAAAGACAACATTAGAGCCCTAACCGAGAAACAGACAATATGGGGCTGTAAGTAAGTTATTTTTTGATAGAACTTCACTGACCAGTGTTTTAAATATGTTGGCCAAAGCACAGGGATCAATCTTCAGCTGTTTAAGTCAGAGGGCTCTCCACCTTTCAACAGAGGAATTACAAAGGTAGTTTTCCAGTCCTCTGACATTGTACTAGCAACCATGGTTAATTTAGAAATAGAACACAAGTGGCCCAGCTTTGCTGCTTTGGTCTATGTCAATTACATTACATTTACATCCTAAGGTGCTTTAATCATTTTAACAGATTTCCTCTCTGTAAATCCTTTTTACAATCACATCACACAGTGAAATATAAGAAGAAAATAAATGTGTATGTGCAAAAACTTTCCACAACTTTGACTGATTTCATCAGGACCAGAAAAAAAGCTGTGAATCCTTCAGACGTAAGCGATGACAACATCGGCTGATTTGCGTGGTTCCTGGACAGAGAGGCGGGGGTACCATCACAGCCTGCGTTTGACTCCGCTCACAATACTATGACGACACGATCTGAGTGTGCTCTGACTTTACGATAGCCACTGCAGATTTTTGCTGTTCACCAGGCTTAAAAAAGGACAAAAATAAGCAAACACAAGAGTTGTTATGGGTAAATTTGTGAGTTAGTTAGGAAATCCACTCACTTTGACATGGTAAACCCTCAGACATTAAAAAATAATATTCATGTCTCAGGACAGCCTTATTTCCCTCTTACCTTAAGGTGATTTTATTCACTGTACCCTAAATGTATGCCTTTAAGACAGCATGTGTTAATGTTAGACAAAAGGAAATAGCCTCTGTATGGGATGTTGTTTCCCATCAGCTTCCTGTAGTTCATTGTATCCTCATATTACTCTTCAATGCTGATATATCTTGCAGCAGAGTGCCCCCTAGTGCTCTCTGAGGCTCTGTTGCTCAGATCCCAGCAAAACCAGTTCTGCATGAGAATTTATGATCAGTGTAAAACCTATTTTTGGTGCTCAAGTGATCTCTGACCAGTTGTAAAGCACTCTGTAACAAGGATCAGATATAATGGTTTAGCTCGATCCAATTAAGATAACCTTAACCTGGATTTCACCCTTTGATTCCATACTGATAAACTCAACCCCTGAAACACTGAGGTTGGGATTGTTCAAAATATCAATAAATACAGATTTAGATTGAAAGTCATGAAAATCATATTTAATTTAGAAAAAACATATTAAATCCTGGCCTCGAAAAATGTTATCTTAAAATTAAATAAACAATCATCTTTTGAATTAATTTCAGGATTGTTAAAGTGCCGAGGAACAGAACGCAAATATGTCTATGTAGGTTCACATTCATCCAGGTTCTGGCTATCCAATTCTTTGTTGAAAAGGCAAAGAAAAAAAATCAGGATAACCATCTGGAAAAATCCTCTGTTTGAACACATAAAGAAACAATTATCAGCCTCCATCAAAAAACAAAATGCGGACTTTAATACTATATGGAATCCAATTATCAATGCCATACCATAAACTCTCAATGCCATAAATCAGTCACATCCCTAGTTTCTCTATGCCTGCACTCTGACAACAATAAAACATCATAACTCTGCCTTACACCCTCAGATACATCGCACCACCAAGGGGAGGCCCAGGACTTGACATGTCTCCATTTACGGCAGGGGTGCATTCTACGGCACAACACCGGCCGTTCTGAGAACTCCACTGACATGACGTCATGTCAGTGCTGGCGGGTCGCAGAGCTACTGCTCTGGCTGGTCGATGGTACTGCCCATGGAGCCGCCCACTGACCTGCCCAAAAATTATCAAAACAGCGCCATTACTCCCGGCCGCTCGCTCACGTAGCTCCGGTTAGAACCATGGCGAAAGTACGAACTGAAAAAGAGGCAGCGTTTGCTCTGTTGTTGGCTGCACAAACGAGCACAAAACAGTTGAAAACTCACTCGTCGGAGGATTTGAGGACTCAATGGGTGGATTTTTTTTATAATGGGAATGTACCCGCGGCACTTCCAAAATATCTGTACATTTGTGCGCACCATTTGACTTCGGACTGTTTTATCAACGAGGGACAGTTCAACGCTGGATTTGCTAGATGTCTGAAGATAAAGAATGAATCCGTACCAACTATCCGTGATCCTACTGGCATATGTAAGTATGAACGTTTTATTTTGACTTACTGTTTAGCCTAAATTCCCCCCGGTGCCACAGCACGGCCACCACGCTTTGATAAACACACCGGATCCGCGCCGGTTTACCGGATCCTCCCGTATTTTAGCCGCGGCGGGGGACAAAATCCCCCTCCGGAGCAGCATGTAGCTTTAGCATTTACCCGTGCGGCGACGCGACTCTTTTGGCTCAAATACGGGACGTCCCAGCTAAGCGTGACCCTCCTGGCGGCTTTGAATAGTACATAGCAATAATACAAAAATTACTCCCCGGGCGGCACACACACACACACACACACACACACACACACACACACACACACACACACACACACACACACACACACACACACACACACAGACGATTCACATAGGTCACCTATTTTGGATTCAAAACAGTAAATTTCTCTGAAAGATGAGTGATTATCATGCACGATTGTTGATGTCCTGGCCATGGCTGATGAGGTTGTCTGCTGATCTTTAAGGCAGCACCAACACCATCTGGTACTCCTTTGCCATGACTGGACTCCACGGATAATTAAGGTAAACCAAGCTATGTTATTTGTTATGTAATGTTAACTGCTAGTGGTGAGTAGGTGAAGCTTCATGAAGCACCAAGGCTCTCCCAACAACTCCCGAACAAGATTCAAAGCTTCAAGGCCTCAGTGACAGTGACATCTGGTGGACAACTGAAGCCATAGCAACCTCTCAAGAGCACAGCGGGGGGAACGACACAGTTTCAAATCCATGTCAGCAATAAAGTTCAGAAAATACTGCGTGGTTATTCAAGTGTTTTGTTCATCCATACTAAATAAAGATTGCATTATCATTGCACATGAGTACAACTAATAAGGGATCCTTCCTACTTCACAAATGATCATGGTGTTTGTATTTGTAAACTTTTTTTTTGTTCTACTGGTTTTACTCCAGAGTTTTTAAGGGAACCCTTTTAAATGTTGATGGGACTTTCCCATCCCTGGTTGACCTCCTCAGCATTTTTTTTCCAATATTTGCAAAATTACGAACAGGAAAATTAATGAAAACAAAAAACTATGGCGAGGAAAAGGGGACATAAGCAAAAAACAAAAATGACAATTGGTGTAAATACAGTTTAAATACATCAAAAACACTCCAAAATTCTCAGAAACAGTAATAATATTATTATTGACAACACTAAAATATTATTTATTGATAATAGTGCTAATGGTCAAAGAATTACAGGAATTTAATTTTTGCACATCACTTTCTGTCTCCAGCCTTAAAAACAGAACAGCCATACTGGGACAGAAAAGTCACTGTCATGACATTGGCGTTGTAGTAATGTGTTTGACTAACCAAGTTACCACCAGGTAAATACACAAGAATTAGGGGACTGTAAAACAAAAAAGGTTTCCCACTGTTTCAATGTGTACAGGGCAAAATGGACAGAGAGAGAATATATGCTGTCATGTTTATAGGTTTAAAAAAAAATAAGCGTTCAATGTTCCTCACAGGAGCTTTCATGGCTGAATTTGAGGCCTTTAAGTGGAAGAGATGTTTGTTAGATGGACACCTAACCTGACTATTAACTCTGTTTCTTTCAGTGTCTTAAGCAGAAGTTCACATACAGTGAGTTTAGAGGTTTAAAAATGAAATGGTATTATCCATCATGGTTTTTGTCAGTAGTAAAGAGTATAAAATGGAAAAAGGAGAAGTAAGAAGTGCTTCAGATACAGTAAAAGATGTGATATATTTAAAAATAAACAAAAACAATTTCTAAAGAAAACATTAGTTACTTGGAAACTTGTGTCCTCAAATATCAATGTGATTTTTCAAATTGAGAATGCACATGTATATATTTAAACCCTCTTACCTGAGCAGAGATCAGAAACCACAGACAGCGAAGAGACAAGGAGCAAGTTTGGTTTACTGAGAAGATACACAGCGAGAGTTTGGTTTATCGAGAAGATACACAGCGAGAGTTTGATTTATCGAGAAGATACACAACGAGAGTTTGGTTTATCAAGAGCTTTTGATTCAGAATAATCTACAGCATCAAATTAACTTTGTTTTTTGCGGATTTATCTGAATATTTTTGAAGACCAAGTCCAGAGTTATCATTTGAAGATGTCTGGTTTCCAGTTAGCCACTGGTTCAGAGACCTTTTCAAGATCCACCACCTACATGGTGCAGTCCATCCTCGGACAGGGCTCTTTCGGCACAGTCGCAAAGTGCACCAACATGTGCGACAACACAACTGTTGCCATCAAGACCATGAAGGACGAGTACCCTTTGGACTACGCAGCAAGGAAAGAGGTGAGAAGCGCAAACTAGCCGTGTTTACTAAAAACTTAGGCAGATTGTTTTCTATCCACAGTATCTGATCACTGCTCTTTAACGTGTGTAAATCCAAACTAAAACCTGTCTGTCATCTGTCATGTGTCCTCAGGTGAATGCCCTCTTAAAACTGTCAGTGCTCGACACGGACAAGTCCAACATTGTCCAATGGCACAAAGCCTTCACTGACAGAGGACATTTTTGTATTGTGTTCGAGCACTTGGACAAAAGCCTCCTTGATTTTATGGAGGAGAGGAACTCGGAACCTCTCCTTCTGAGCGTGAACAGACCGATCATCCAGCAGGTATGAGCAAATGAATTTATCTCTGATTTTAAACAAGAACAAATACTGATGTTCACGTAACATCCTGAGCTTTGTTGTTTAGTTAATGACCTTTATGACTTCTTAGGTAGCCAATGCTCTGGATCATTTGAAGACCATCGGTATGATCCACGCAGACCTTAAGCTGGACAACGTCATGCTGGTGGATCATCAACATCAGCCCTACAGAGTCAAAGTGATTGACTTTGGTCTCGCAGAAGACGTGTCAGCAACAACACTGGGCTCATACGTCGGGACCTGTCAATACAAGTAAGGAACCAGAACCACGTCTGATATCTCAGCTGCTTATTGGGAGCTTGCACATCAACACATACTTATGTTTTGTTGGAGGATTTGCTGCGTTATTTGTAGAATTAATGTGTGATATATCTTTGTGTATACATCTATCATGTTTGTTTGTCCTCTCATAGAGCTCCAGAGATTTTTTTGGGGCTTCCCTACACAGAGGCCATCGACATGTGGTCTCTGGGTATCATGGCTGCCAGCATGTATCTTGGCACTTTACTGTATCCTGGCCTGAGTGATTTTGATATGGTACTTTAAGTTCACTGTTTCTTTCTCAAAACAGAGTTTCATGTGACTGAAATAATCATCAAGAATCAGCGTTTAATTTGTATTTTATCTCTAAACTTCTCACTTTATAACCTCCTCACATCAATGTGTGTTTAATTGAAACATATTTTTTAATCTTTTAATTGATTTATTCTTTTATGAAGAATTTTTCCTCTTCACTTTGATGTCACCATGTAACTTCTTGTTTTTGCTGTATTTTCAGATGAGGTTCATTGTTGAGACTCAGGGTCCACCACCAGACAACCTGCTCAACAAGGGGCTCAAGACATCCAAGTTTTTCCAGAGAGTTAACTGGCCCAACTATCAATGGAAAATCAAGGTACCTAACACTAACTCTTACCCTACACTTTACCAGTAGCCAGTCACATTTTTCTTAAATATGGATGTTGATTTGGAGGCATCATTGTGTCTGGTTGGCTAAGAAGGTTTCCATGTGTGTCAAAGTTAAACATAGTCTTGTTTTTTGCCAAGTATTAGTTTTCTAGGTTATAGCTCAGGTGAAGAAAGCATGAACCGTTCAACTGATTTATGCAAGTTGCTAGAACATGCTTCAGTCATTTTTAGGTTTTCTTTAACCCTTGTGCACCCCTTAGAAAAACGTCAATTAACACCCCTACGGGACCGAGATGGTCCCCTCCATTTTGCTGCGGTAGAAATATGGTCTAAATAAATATATTCAATTTTTAGTTTTGGCTGCCATCATTGACTTTTAGCCTAATCATAAATAGCAAAACTTTATTCAGGTTTTTTATTTTAACCCCATAAATGCCAGTCTTTTTTGTAAAAACCCGATATTACTTTAAGTCGAAAAACACACTTGGTGAATTCTTTTCATCCTATAAATGCAAATTGTTTTTTTAAACTTTTGATTTTCAGAGCATGGGATTGGTGAACGTTGATGAGAAAATTGATTAGAAAGGATTTGTATTTTTTCTGTAGTGTTGAATAATAAAAAAACTTCAATTAACACCCCTACGGGACCGAAACAGTCCCCTCCATTTTGCTGCAGTAAAAATATGGTATAAATAAATATATTTAATTTCATTTTTTTTGGCTGTCATCATTGACTTGTAGCCTAATCATAAATAGCAAAACTTTATTCAGGTTTTTTTATTTTAACCCCATATATGCTTTTTTGTAAAAAGCTTATATTTTATTTTAAGTCAAAACACACTTGGTGAATTATTCTCCATCCTACAAATGCAAATTGTTTTTTTAAACTTTTGATTATTAGAGCATGGGATTGGTAAACATTGATGAGAAAATTGATTAGAAAGGATCTGTATTTTTCTGTAGTTTCTAATAACACACACACACACACACACACACACACCATCCATCGATCCATCCATCCCTTGCTTTTATGCACGCACATCGATGAAGCCCTCCCTCTTCAGCTGCCCGCTATGAACCTCACGCACTCACACACGCACGCACACACAATCTTACACACAATCTCACACACATACACACACACACACACACACACACACACACACACACAGAAGGAAAGTGCAGGTGCAGATTGTACAACTGCTGCAGTTTCTGGAAAGATTTTGGCTATTCTCACGGCTGCATATGCACACAGACACACAAGTAATTTATGAAAACACACGCACATAATCCATGATGTCCCTAAAACACACCTAAACAGTTTTTATTGAAGATATGCATGAAATACACCAGCTCTGTGGGAAAAGGGAAAACAGTGCCCCTCTGGTTCTAAAGGGTATGGCAGGAAAAAAGAAATATGGCACCATCTGCTGGTCGGCATAAAAAAAACCCAGTTTGACTCTCAAGGAATAGGTTTATCTGAGAAAAAAAAAATATCCAAAAGTTACACTGCATTGGCAGTGTATTGAAGGAAACATGTTTCAATGGGAGTCAATGGGACCGTTTTGGACCTTAGGGGTGTCTACTGTAATAATAAAAATTGCTCACATGAAAAAAAGGTCAAAGGAAGAAAAAAAAAAATAATTGCACCTAAAATTGCACAGTTTGACACACTTTTTATGCCATTTGCATTATCACAGCCAAAATTATCCACAAAAATACAGTTACGGAGGACCAGATCGGTTCTTAGGGGTGCATAAGGGTTAAGCAATGCCACTGAATGTAAACAAATACGATATACTGAGCATTTTGAAACAGAAGCTGGAGTGTTGTGGGATACTTTTTGTAGCCTAGTCAGAGTAAACACTGGTGAGAGGGGCCCTGAAATTGAGGTTGAGGGCAGTTCCAGTATAAAAAAGGCCTAAGCAGACACAGCCCTGAATATCAGTGTATTGTGACAGATGTGCATAAATGAAGCTCTTTCTGTTCTTTTGCTAGTGACAGTCATTTAAGGGCAGTAATGCTCTGACTTTAAATATGACCACATTTGAAATACCTCAGACAGCTTGATGGGAATTGTCCCATACACGTCTTGTACAAAACTAACTAACCCTGAATGTAGCAGCTAACAAAACCACTTTTTTTTAGAACACGTGGGCGTACCTCCAGGAGACTGGGATCAGGCCAGAAGAGACCAGAAGGTTCTTCTTAAGGTCTCTGGATGACCTTCTGAATGTACGTACTTTTTTTTTTTGTCATTGATTTAAAAAAAAATATTTCAAAAACATTTTGAGTTTTTGTTGATTTTCTGGTGATAAAAGTAACACCCCTGACTGTGGTTGTCTTTGTTCTCTCTACAGATTGGAAGTTTAATGTCTGACACTCCTGCAGACAGAGTTCTGGAGATCAGGGACAAGCAGGCCTTTGTAGACATGCTGAAGGGAATGCTCCAGCTTGATGCAGCCAACAGACTGACACCCTGTCAGGTGCTGGAGCATTCCTTCATCACCATGAGCCACCTCATCAGCAGGATTCCCTACACGTCTTAGTAAGTGGAGACTAAAATTCTTCAACATTCAGAGTTATTAGTACCTCCTCTGGAGAATGTTTGCAGGAAATACCTCACTTCTCCAGAACATGTTTCTGTAATAGATGATTTGTGTCTGCATTACTTATACTTTCTGTAAGTCACATGACCAGTGAATAAGTCTGATTGATTATTTGTTGTCTTGCAGTGTTATTTCATCTTTGGAGACCATGGCTGCCTCTAGAAACAGCAGTCCAGGCTCCAACAGTGGGAATGCTGGGGGGTCTTCACAGCCTTCCCCCCCTAGCAAACCTCAACCCTCCCAGCAGAGCCGTCCTGCTTCTCCTATTGGTAGCAGCTGCAGCCAAGACCGGTCACGCTCCACCATCAACCCTCATCCTCACACTCCTTCATTAACAAGTGGAGGCCAGAAAGGGAGAAAAAGAAAGCTTGATGAAGTTGATGATAGCACGGACGAGAGCTGCAAGTCTCCAAAAAAAGTGAAGTCTGGGCACAGGTAGGATAATCTGCATCAGTCACATTCTTATCAACCAGTTGACAAAACAAATCTAAAGATTTTAGAGGTTGATTGAAACATTTCTGGTCTTTTTGCATCATAATAATTTAACCTATTGATAAAATTACAGTGAAACACCTGCCTGCCCGTCCGCCTCCTGCAGCAGCCAGCATGGAGCTGACAAGGCCCAGATGATCACTCCTAAGAGGGACCAGCCTGTTCCTCCTCCTCCAACTGACCACAACACAACCCTTCATTCGAGCTTGAGTCAGGTTAAAGTCAAGGACAGATCAGGACTCAAAAGAAAGGCAGCTCGAGATGAGGATGAGGAAATGCTTGGTCAGACACCAGCAAAAAGGAGAAGGATTTTGTAGCTGGTTCAGGTGAGTTGATATAATCAACACACAATGTGTAGTGCATTTTCTTGTTTGAAAAAAGACGTACCATGACATGCTGTCAACCACAACAACACATGAGTTTGTTTGACAAGTCATTGTTGACTTCCAGGTGCAGAGGAGCAATCTGAACCTGAGCAGTACAACCACAGTGGAGTGTTTGACTGTGAAAGTTATTACAATTGAACATCAATCTCCATCTGGCTACCTTTAAAAGCAACAATCCAGGCTGCAACAGTGAGAATGCTTGGAGGTCTTCACAGCCTCCCTCCTCCCCAGCAAACCTCAACCCTCCCAGCAGAACCGTCAAGCTTCACCTGCTGGTAGCAGCAGCAGCCTTGACCAGTCATGGTCCACCATCAACCCTCATCCTCACACTCCTTCTTCATCAACAAGTGGAGGAAAGACAAGGAGAAAAAGAAAGCTTGATGACGTTGATGGAAGCTCTGACAAAACCTGCATTTGTCTTAAAAAAGTGACGTCTGGACACAGGTAGGATAATCTACATCAGTCACATTGTTATCAACCATTTGACAAAACAAAAATAAAAACTTTAGAGGTAGATGGAAACTTTTCTGGCCTGTCTGCGTTGGTTTTTAAACTCTTTTATGAATTTGCAGCGAATCACCTGCATGCCAGTCGACCTCCTGCAGCAGCCAGCATGCAACAAATTGCGCCCAGATGATCACAACTTTGGGAGACCACCAAGTTCATCCTGTTCTGCAGAACACCAACAATAGAGGGGGAAAGAGAGCCAGATCAGAAAAGGCTGTCAACAAACTGATCCAGAAAGTCCTCAAACTGACCACAACGCAAATCCTCATCTGAGCTTGAGTCAGGCTGAAGTCCAGGGCCAATCAGGACTCAAAAGAAAGGCAGCTCAAGATGAAGATGAACTTGGTCAGAGATCAGAGAAAAGGAGTTTGTTGAAGGTTCAGGTGAGTTGATATAGTCAACACACAATGTGTAATCCTTTTTCTAGTTTGAAAGATGATCATGCTGCCATCCACAACAACACATGAGTGTGTCTAACAAGTCATTGTTGACTTCCAGGACCACAGAGGGGGACTGAAACAGAGCAGTACCACCACAGTGGAGTTTATGACTGTGAAAGTCATTACAACTGGACAGCAACCTCTATCTGGCTACCTTTAGAAGCAACAATCCAGGCTCCAACAGTGAGAATGCTGGGGGGTCTTCACAGTCATCTCCCCCCCAAGCAAACCTCAACCCTCCAAGCAGAGCCATTCTGCTTCTCCTGCTGGTAGCAGCTGCAGCCAAGACCGGTTACAGTCCCCCATCAACCCTCATCCTCACACTCCTTCCTCATCAACAAGTGGAGACCAGAAAGGGAGAAAAAGAAAGCTTGAGAAGGTTGATGGAAGCTCTGACAAAACCTGCAAGTCTCCAAAAAAAGTCTGGGCACAGGTGGGATAATCTACATCAGTCACATTCTGATCAACCAGTTGACAAAACAAATCTGAAAACTTTAGAGGTTGATGGAAACTTTTCTGGTCTTTCTGCATCATAATGATTTAACCTTTTTTTCTTATCAAATTACAGCAAAAATAACAGCATGCCAGTCCACATCCTGCAGCAGCCAGCATGCAACAGATATTGCCCAGACTATCACTCCTTTGAGGGACCACCATGTTCATCCTGTTCAGCAGAACTCCGATACTCAATAGAGAAAGAGGAAAAGAGCTAGATCAGGAAATGGCTTTCAACAAACTGATCCAGAAATCCTCAAACTGACCACAATGCGAATCCTCCTGAAATTTTTGAGGGTTGATTGAAACTTTTTGGGGGTTTTTCTGCTTCATAATGATTGAACCTTCTTTTTTTTTTTTTATCAAATTACAGTGAAACTCCGGCATGCCAGTCTACCTCCTGCAGCAGCCAGAGTGCAGCTGATGTCACCCAGACAGTCACTCCTTTGAGGGACCACCCTATTTATCCTCCTCAGCAGAACACCAAAACTCAAGAGAGGGAGAAGAAGAAGAAAATGGTTCTGAAAAAATCTGATCAAGAAAGTCCTCAAACTGACCACAACACAACTCTTTATCCGAGCTTGAGTCAGGCTGAAGACCAGGGCCAATCGGGACTCAAAAGAAAGGCAGCTCGAGATGAAGATGAACTTGGTCAGAGATCAGAAAAAAGGAAAAGGAGTTTGTAGATGGTTCAGGTGAGTCGATAAAGTCAACACACAATGTGCAATGCATTTTCTAGTTTGAAACAAGATCATACTGTCAACCACAACAACACATAAGTGTGTCTAACAAGTCATTGTTGACTTCCAGGACTAGAAGAGCAGACTGAATCTAAGCAGTACCACCACAGTGGAGTTTATGACTGTGAAAGTCATTCCAGCTAAACAACAACCTCTATCTGGCTACCTTTAGAAGCAACAATCCAGGCTGCAACAGTGAGAATGCTGGGGGGTCTTCACAGCCCTCCCCCCATCAAACATCAACTCTCCCAGCAGAACTGTCCTGCCTTACCTGCTGGTAGCAGCAGCAGCCTTGACCAGTCATGGTCCACCATCAACCCTCATCCTCACACTCCTTCCTCATCAACAAGTGGAGGCCAGAAGGGGAGAAAAAGAAAGCTTGATGACGTTGATGGAAGCTCAGACGAAACCTGCAATTGTCGTAAAAAAGTGAAGTCTGGGCACAGGTAGGATAATCTACATCAGTCACATTCTTATCAACCAGCTGACAAAACAAATGTGAAATTTTTGAAGGTTGATTGAAACTTTTTTGGGGGTTTTTTTGCTTCATAATGATTTAACCTTTTTTTTTTTTTTAATCAAATTACAGCAAAAATACCAGCATGCCAGTCTACCTCCTGCAGCAGCCAGAGTGCAGCTGATGTCACCCAGACAGTCACTCCTTTGAGGGACCACCCTATTTATCCTCCTCAGCAGAACACCTAAACTCAAGAGAGGAAGAGGAAGAGAGCCAGATCAGGAAATAACAAAGTGAAGTCTGGACACAGGTAGGATAATCTACATCAGTCACATTGTCATCTACCAGTTTACAAAACAAAGGTTGATTGAAACTTTTCTGGTCTTTTTGCTTCATAATGTTTCGACCTTTTTTTATTTTTATTTTTTCATCAAATCACAGCTAAAAACCATCATGCCAGCCCACCTCCTGCCGCCGTCAGCATGCAACAAATTATGCCCAGACTAGCACTCCTTTGAGGGATCACCCTGTTCATCCTCCCCAGCAAATCACCAACACCCAAGAGAGGAAGAGGAAGAGAGCCAGATCAGAAAATGTCTCTGAACAATCTAATTCAGAAACTCACCACACTGACCACAACACAACCCTAACATGTCTTGTCTAACAAGTCATTGTTGACTTCAGGACCACAGGAGAGGACTGAACCTGAACAGTTCCACCACAGTGGAGTTTGTGACTGCTGAAAGTCATTACAACTGAACAGCAACCTCCATCTGATGACCTGATGCTGTGTGTTTAAAATATGTTTTGATTTTATGTGTTAAAGGAAATCTGCTTTCAGCTGGACAGGAGTTGTGCACAGCAGAGAAACAGTTCTTACTGTAAATAAATATTTATATGTGATTCAAATTCATTACATTTGTATTCAATAATTTCGCCAAATAAATCTTTCAAAATTCATATTTTACACCTCTTTTGTAATCATTTACAGTGATTCTATTATTGTAGAGACACATTTGTTATTTCTGCTGTGGTGAAATACTGCAGTGATCATCTGCAAATCACAGTCTATTGGACCAAATTGGTTCTGAGTGTCGAGGGGACCAGTGAAGACTAATAAAACTAGATTCACTTGGTCATTTAAAAAATAATCATCTGCTGTACCAATAGCATCACGCCAAGTGCAAGATCACCTGACTATTTAAAAGGATGGGAGTAGAATTTGCAACTAAATTTATTCATTTTGTGTTCAACACATACCCATTACTAATCATGAGACTGAATGAACTTTGCTGTTTCTGCCTAATATCCCATATGTATCTACATAAGAGTTTGCATCTGAAACATTTTTGTTTGTAATCCTAACAAATTAAAAACAAAATTGCTGAATTTTGGTGAATATTCAATCAGGTTGATTTCAATGGAAAAACATTTGCCTTGGTTAAATATTTTTCCAACGAAGGAATTTTAGATTTCTATCTATCAATCTGAAATTATTACAGAAAAATAATGTATGATAAATACTGGGCTCAAGATAAAAGGAAGTCGTTTAGCAGCATTGTTCCATACACATTATAATCGGACATACAGTAATAATAATAATTCATTTTATTCGTACAGCGCTTTTAAAAACACTCAAAGACGCTTTGCATAGTACATAAAACATAAAACCCAAGGTAATAAAACAAAGACATACAAACCGTAGAAATAAAATGAATAAAACAGTTAAATATTAAAAGCAATTTTAAATAAGTGTGTTTTTAAAAGGGATTTGTAAGTAGTGGGGTCAGGGCAGTGTCTGATGGAGGGTGGTAGGGAGTTCCAGAGGGTAGGGGCAGCTGTGGAGAATGCCCGCTCCCCCCAGGTTCGGTGCTTGGGCCGAACCAACAGTACATGGTTATCGTTGCCAGTAACATCAAATTCAATCCAAGTTTATTTATAAAGCACATTTAAAAACAACAAAGTGCTGACCAAAGTACTGTACAGTAAAGAGAAAAATAATTAAAATAAATAAAAACAGACAATTAACACAAACGATAAAACAAAGACACAGGACCACATTAAGGATAATGGTTTGTCGTTCGAGAACTTGTATGGTTGAGGAGGAATGTTTATTCTGCTAAAAGATATACTGTTATTGTATCTATATCCAGATATGAACATTCAAGATATTAATAGCTTCCTCATTGCCTGGACCAGTGGCCCACTTTTACTGTTTTGCCACATGTCTCAGGCTTGCCCTCTTCTCTTCTTCAGCTGTCTCTCTTTTGGTCTGATGAGCACTGCCAGATGCTATTTTGGATTCAAAACGGCGAATTTCTCTGAAAGATGAGTGATTATCATGCACGATTGTTGATGTCCTGGCCATGGCTGATGAGGTTGTCTGCTGATCTTCAAGGCAGCACCAACACCATCTGGTACTCCTTTGCCATGACTGGACTCCAAAAGAGAGATGTTTGTTCTGCAGCAGTCCAGTGCAGTGGTTTCAGATGTTCCAATATGACAGCTGGACTCTTGTGCTTGGATGGTGACATGGAGGTAAACCAGGATGGCTTTTGGCAACATAGTTGACACCTGTGTCAAGTGTGGCCTGTTGGTACAGACTGAATTTCAGTGCTGTACTTACAAGAAAAGTTCTCAGAAAGGTCAATGTGGATAAGTCATTCATCATTGGCCATGCAGCTGCACAGTCCACGGTCACAGGCAAACTGTTGCCTGAAGATATTGAAGAGATGCCTTTTAGACTTAGTGAGGTGAGTGTGGAACCTCTCTGCAAGGTTTTCTTGATAGTTTGTTTTACTGTTATATTTGCAACTGAGCTCTCTTCATCTGATTTTGCCTTGTCTTCACAGCATATAGGCGGCCTTCTGTACACCATTACACAAGCTTGAGAAGGGAACAGTTCTGTTCTTGCAATCTTAGCATTCTGGATACATGCAGGCCTTGCTTCCATTGCCACAGCAGTCAAGTTCTGTGAGGCTCTCTATATTTGAAGTTCCTATAAGCTTAAGCTGACAAAGCTTGTCAGCCAGAAAGCCCAGATTCACACGTAACCTGCACTGACCAGTGTCACAGACTGAAAGGAAAGGGTGGACAACCCAAGAGGGTCACAGCCAGCAAAATGAGGTACAAGAAACCTGACAGGTATTGTTTACTGCCGGACACTCCCTGTGAAGGTTTTTCATTGTGTCTACAAGGAATGGTTTTTGCCCTTTAATTTTCTTTTTTGTTATTGTTTTCTTTTTCCCTGTCATCCGCCTCATATCATCTTTTGTAAAGAATGTCTTCATCTTGCTTACCAAGGATTTGTCAGTGTACCTGTTGTAAGATTGCCTGGAAAAGTTATTACTCTGGTCTTCATTTTCACACAAGGTCGTCCGTTTCTTTGAAAAGCCCAGTGCTTCCTCAGTCCACCTCTGCAGCCCGTATTTCTTGACTATCTTCCTGTCAACAACTTTAGCAACAGTTTTTATTAAATTCTTTCTTTCTTTCTTTCTTTCTTTCTTTCTTTTCATTTTTCCATTTCTGGCCTTCTTATACTCTCTTCTAATGTCTTGAATTAGGGCTTCATGGTGCCGCATAGTTTCCCCTCACCTTGATGTTCATAGTGCAACTCTTCAGCAACTGACAGACTTAAGACCCGGGAGAGAAATCCATTTACAACAACCGTTTCATCTCTGTGTGGATTGTGAGGATGGGTATCTGCACTTTTCTTGAAAAATTGTATCACACACAACGTAACTCTTTTAAGCTTTTACAGCCAAAACAACCTACATACATATTCTCCATACTCTTCCTCTGTCTTGCGGTGCACGCCGGCCTGGCATATGCACTACATAGTTTTCAGTCATTTTCACTTGTTTCATGTTTGCGCAGATATTTCCTGAAATGATTCCATCTTTATGGAAAACTTTGTCAAAAAGAAACAGCAATATATCATTTTTGTCTCCATGTGGACAAGGCTTGAGCTGAAATTATTCAATACATTGAAAGGGGATCATTAGTTTTACAGATTAGTAGTAACATTAGTTGTTATGTAGCATTTACATACTAGAAAATTTTCCTCTGAGAAATTTTAGTTATACAAGGAGTACAACTACAACATACATTCCTTTTTCATGTATGTATATACAACATAAAAAAGACTTAAATGCAAAATTTTTCCACAGTTTTTTGCAGCTTACGTTGCAAAAAAAAACATATACAGTAAAGAAAAGTCATAGCACACCAATCCCGATCAAACTGCACTTTTGATTTACAATTTGTCCTACAACTTTTCAAGCTGCAGGATTACTAATGAATCGAAATTTGTCTGGAAGAGGAATAAGAAAAAAATCTACAGTATAACAATAGCCCCGAGGCATTTTTGTATGGGGGCCTGCTGTGAAGTTTATAGTATACACTGTGTGCACAATTATTAGGCAAGTTGTATTTTTGAGGATAAATTTTATTTTTGAACAACTGCAGTGCTCTCGGTCAATCCAAAATGTTAATAAACCTCAAACCTTAATATTTAAGGGAGTAAAAGTGAGATTTTGACTTCCTTAGGAGAAAATCTATGTGTGCACAATTATTGGGGGCAGCTATAGTGGGCAGAATTATTATGCAACTAAATTAAAAATGAAAATTTTTCCATCTCACTTGTTTATTTTCACTTGTTAAAGTGAGACTGATAAACAAACAACTCAATTTACAAATAAAAATAGTTGAAATTTCAAAAAAAAAAAAATCAGTGACCAATGTAACTACCCTTCTTTTCATTAACAGTCATAAGCTTTCCATTCATGGAGTCTTTCAGTTTCTTGATCTGTTGACGATCAACTTTTTGTGTTGCAGTAACCAAAGCCTTCCAGACACTGTTCCAGACACTGTTAGAGAGGTGTACTGTCTTCCTTCACTGTAAATTTTCTGTTTAAGAAGGGCTCACAAGTTCTCAACAGGGTTTAGGTCAGGTGAAGAAGGAGGCCATGTCATTATTCTTTGGTTTTTAAGGCCTTTACTGGTGAGCCACATAGTGGAGTACTTTGTTGCATGCAATGGAGCATTGTCCTGCATAAAAATCATGGTTTTCTTGAAAGATGCAGACTTTTGCCTGTACCATTGCTTGAAGAAAGTGTCTTCTCAAAACTGGCATTGGATTTGGGAGTTGATTTTAAGTCCATCTTTAACCCAAAAGGTCCAGCTAGCTCATCTTTAATAATACCAGCCCATACCAGTACCCCGCCTCCACCTTGCTGGCGTCTGATTTGAAGTGGAGCTCTGTGCCCATTACTGATCCAGCCACAGGTCCATCCATCTGGTCCATCAAGAGTCACTCTCATCCCATCAGTCCATAAAACCTTTGAAAAATCTCTCTTCAGATATTTCTTGGCCCAGTCTTGATATTTCAACTTGTGTCTTGTTCAGTGGTGGTCAGATTTCAGCCTTCCTTACCTTGGCCATGTCTCTGAGCACTGATCATCTTGTACCTCTGGGCACTTCAGGTAGGTTGCAGTTCTGGAATATGACAGCACCGGAGGATAAGCGGTTCCTGGTAGCTTTACATTTGAGTCTTCTCGAATCTTTGGCAGTTAATTTGCGTCTTTTTGTCTTAACACATTTCTTGCGACCCTGTTGACTATTTGCATCAAAATGTTTGCTGGTTCTGTGATCACGCCCAAATATCTAAGCAATTTCAAGAGTGCTGCATCCCTCTGAAAGACTTTTTACATTTTTTGACTTTTCAGAGTCACTTAAATCTCTTTTTTGGCCCATTTTACCTGAGGAAAAGAAGCTGCCTAATAATTATGCACACCTTGATATAGGGTTTTGATCTCCTTAGGCCCCAGCCTCCCTCATTACACTAATACACATTACCTGATATGCTTATATCCAATAAGCATTCAAGTTTATACAGTTTGGAGTTGGAAAATATGCATAAAAATGATGATATGATCAAAATACTCACTTGCCTAATAATTGTGCACACAGTGCAGTTAAATAGTCTGGACTTAGTTGCGAGTTATAAACAGGAGTCTCTTCTGCTTCTTTCAGAAAATCTTTGTGTTACCGTCAATGAGGAGCAGAGAGAGACATTGCTGCATTTAGATGCTCAGTGTTTAAAGTCTGTAAGTCTCTCTGCTTAGATGAACACATTGTTAGAAGAAGAATAAGTGTGTCTACAACTGTGGGAAAAAAAAAAGAAAACGTGCAACTTCAATCGGCTCTGCTTTCACTGCATTCATTGTGGGTTGATTTCTGATGAGCTGGAAATTCATCTGATTAGACATGAGCAGCAGATCAGACCACCATCAGCCTAGCAGACCCTGAACGCTGCACGGCAATTGATGCACGATTGAGTGGAAACTTGGCCCAACTTCAAAATCCGTTGTGCGTTTGAGAAATCGGGTTAGAGTCGGCTTCAGTTCACACACTGTCCCCTGGCCTCACCTCAGCAGACCCCACAGAATTAAACAGAGCTAGATGAAAACCAGAGGAGATGATCACTACTCAAATTTGCCCGAAATCCTCGGTCTCTCACTTTGAACCACAGGCTCGCAATAACACTGTGAGCGTCACTATTATAATGAGCAGAGTGATACAACTCATGTTTGAAGACACCAACTGCCCATGAAACATGACTCAGCTTTTATGCTGATGATTAAAGAGTTTATAGTCAGACAGGTTCACAGTTTGTTCTGTTTCTGTGTTTCTCAGACACAGTACAGTCACTTTACGGATATTTAACTCTGTTCATTTTATGATGGCTTCACTTTTCTTCAACGGTTATTCAGAGGGAAATTTTGTCCTTTTTTTCTGCTATAAGTCAGTTAGTATTTAAAAAAAATACTTAATAATTAATAATTACTTAGTAGAATATCTGACATCCACTTAATCTGAAGCTTGTTTTTTCATCATTGATCGCTCATGCAAATGTGACCAACATGCATGTTTGATACTGATATTTTGGAGGGTTCACACTTCCTCCTTCACAGGATTTGACATTTGATTGGGAGTGACACCTCCTCTTTATCTGCTCTCCCTCTCCTTTCTTGGGAATTAGTAAGAATTGGTGCTGTATTTGGGGTGATGTTTTTGATCTTTGATGGATGTTTATGTGTGCATTTGTTGTGCTTGATGATGCATTGTGATCTCTCTGTGTCTGTTGAGGCAATCATGTTAATTTACTCCTACAAACCTTGTGTCCAGCTGCTGTGCGTTGAACTGATTACAGCAGCAGCCTTTAAAGCCAGACTGAGACTGACCACTACGCAAGCCTGATGAAGCCTGTGAGGCGAAACGCATTGTTCTTTTAACTCAGTGGTTCTCAAGTCCAGTCCTCGAGGCCCACTGTCCTGCATGTTTTGGATGTTTCCCTGCTCCAACACACCTGATTCAAATGATCAGCTCGTTATCAAGCTCTGTAATGGCTGAATAATGAGCTGATCATTTGAATCAGGTGTGTTGGAGCAGGACAGTGGGCCTCGAGGACTGGACTTGAGAACCACGGTTTTAACTGATAAATAAGTTTACCTTCTGACTACGTTGTGTGCGGTGAAACTCTCTTCTTTTTTGAAACTTCAACGTTAAGATCTGTGCTGTGCAGGGCAATCCTCCTTTTTGTTAATCTGAAGCTAGTTTTTTCATCATTGATCACTCGTGCAAATGTGACCAACATTTCAAAGTTGCTTTGTTTTGGAAACATGATAATTTTTTCATATTATTTATAGATGGTTAAATATTACAATATTATTTATAACTCCCTCATCTTTTTTTTTTGTTTGTTTTTTTTTTTTTTTTTAGGCTATTGTTATCTCGCTTTAGGCTCTGGTCTGCCAGGCCATCTTGTGTCACTCAACTGTGAATTAACAATAGAGGATAAAATTATGAGATTAATTGAGCAAGAAAGTTTTCCAACATGGATTCCAGCATGAGCTCCAGTGAGAACTTGCATTTCAGGCTTTCTTTGAAACTTTTTACCATACCATACCACTACTTAAATAATATTTCACAGCAGCACTTTTATTTGTGATGTAATATTTTAAGAGAGTGGTATAAGTGTTTTGACCTCCTGTTTATAAAGCATCAATACATTTATTTTTCAAGGTATTTCAAACAAGTAATCAATTGATTTAAATGAGTAAGCATAACCTTCTTAATAAGTTTATGTTTATAAATGTTACAGCTCATTTTAAAATATTTATGGTGAAACTTTTCTAACTGTGCTGTCACATATTTTAAGTCCTTGCAGGCTGTTCAGGCCTCAAATGAGATTTATTTTGGACTTGTTGCCGAACATGAACTATTAAAAGATTCAATTAGACAAAAACACTTGCAAAGATAAAAGTTTTTGCAGTATGGGCACAAGTTTCTGATTTTTTTTTTTTTTTTTTACATTTTCTTATCATTTCTTATTTATTGGGCTGTATTTTTTTGGCGGTGTCACATCTGGATTTTACTGAGCTCATTGTAATGTTGGTGAAATGTTTTGATACACATGCGTACTAGTATATTTTATAGTTGTCCTTGAAGCTTGTACACTTAAAACAAGTTACCTCTTAAGTGGACATTTAGAATAAAAAATAATTTTGTAGTTATTTTTTTTTTCTTTTTTTCTTGTAGATACACAAACAGAAAAATAAAATGATTTATGTTACACTGATATTTTGGAGGGTTTAGTCTTTGGTTAATTGGAATAAAGCACTCAAAAAATATTTGAATTTCGATTTTTTTCTATCTCAGATTTTAATCATTAAGTCTTATTTTAGAAAAGTAACTATCACACAAATATGTCCACACACACATAGGGTTTAGGTTTCCATTTTTCCAGGAAAACTGGATCAGACTCATCAGGATGAAACTTATTCCCTCAGGATAATGTTAATGGTAAAAAATCTACACACAATTTAACATCTTGTTCCTTCAGGTTAGTTATCTTTTGTCACAAATTTATACCATGTTATACAAAATATTTAAGTTTATGATCACCCAGGTTTGTTCCTACAGTATAACGTGTAGGATGACTTATCACAGTCATGCCTTAAAAGGACACTGTATGTTGTAATGTGGAAAAACCCCTCCTCCTCCTCCTCTTTCATGTGCCTCCCTGCTTCATGACAGGTCTTTTTACTCTAGATCAGTTCTCAAGTCCAGTCCTCGAGGCCCACTATCCTGCATGTTTTGGAGCAGGGAAACATCCAAAACATGCAGGACAGTGGGCCTCGAGGACTGGACTTGAGAACAACTTGCCTTAGAAAATCTTGTTCTTGTGTTTCATACTGTCTCTCTTTTTGGGTCATGTTTTACAATCACCCACTAGATGGAGCTCCACTCTCTGCTCTGCTCTGTTGGTCCATGATGCTGCATCAGGCTGCTGACCACATGTGAGACAGAAAAATGGGAACAATGTCAGGCTGGGTTTACTGTTGGCAGCAGAGCTTCTGTGATCAGCTCTACAGTTTTTCAAAGTGGAGCGATAAAATTCAAACATTTATAGACGTGTTACAGCCAATAACAGGTTAGGAAATATAGGCCACAGGAAAGGGAATGAGGGAGCATACAGTGATGGAAATAAAGCTTGATTAATTATTCACTCCTCTTTTTTCACACAAAAATCGAGAAACAGAAAACAAAAACAAACAAAAAAAATATGTGACAGAGGGTGAGAGGGTGGAAAAAAGATGCACAACAGCTGGCAAAAAACACCAAAACAAACTTAAGAATGACTCTGTGACAGGAAGAAAAGAAACAAATGTGTGTTATGGAAACTAAATCTGAACAGGAGCAAGAAGAAAATAACTGTAATACAAATTAAAGTGCTTTTAATAATTATACTTTTTTTAATGATATGCTTTCGTTTCATCAGATGAATTTTTAAACTAGTGTATCCAACGTCTTGTTTTTAGCACAGCTGCTGGGTTAAAGCTAAAAAACATGTCAAAAGTAAGACGTTCGTTCAGTTATTAAATATGATATTGTAAGGTAACTCACACAAACACATTTCTCCTCTCCTGTCATATCAGATACATGTTAACTTAAACTGGCTGAACGCAAATGTTTGCAGAGGTCAGATGTTATCTTACAGGTTGTCAAATATCTTTGTCAAACCAAAATATGACTGATCTCTCTCCTGGTTTTCACAATAGTGAAGTCTTTGTGGCTTGAACACAGCAAACTAAACATGAGCAAAGTTCAAAACATGAGAAATGCTGATGTTGTTCCCCTGAAGTGTTTTTTGGTTTCCCCAAACAGCTTATTATGATGACTTTTCTAAAGGTTAGAGGACACGCCCACCCAGCACCTCTTTGGAGGACATGCCCACCTGGAAGCTCTTTCAAACATCCCCTCACCTGGAAAGTCCATCTCAATTCCCTGTTCAGCTCCTCCTTCTGCTCTGCACTTTATTGATCCAGTATGTCTTGGAAATGTTGCTCACCAGTGTTATTGATGTTGTAGGGAAAGACGAAGAGAGTTTTTTTTCTTCCCAAAGACAAAGGCACCAGAAAACAATGGCAAGTTTTTAATGTTTTTGGGACAACAGATTCCACTAAGTGATGTCTACTTTGTAAACACAGACCAGTACAAGCTGGATTTGTGTCTCAATTGTTTCTGAAACCTTGGAGCAGTTTTGCTTAAGAAGAGAGTCGGATGCTTTAGATGATGTTTACCATAAAGGCTTTCAGAAGGTAATGCAAAGCTGTGTAAAAAGTAACACCAACAGAAATTAAATAAGGTTACAAGAAAACTTGTAAGTTTGTTTTGTTTTTTCAGCTGTGAATTAACAAATTGACTCTACAGTGAAAATGAGTACAGTAGGTCTCCTTTAGTTCAGTGTTTCTCAGCTCAGTTGACAAGAACAAAAGGCCTTCTACAAAATAAGTTATCTCAAAACAGTGGAAAGCTGAGAAACCTCTAAACTGTGGTTGTGGGACACAGCATGAGGTGTTGAGCAGCGGGGCAGATAATAAGCTCAGAGCAGAACACAGCCGTGCTCTAACAGCTCAGAAAATCACTTCCTCTGCTCTCCATAAAGAGCCATCTGTGTTCAGTTCAGCACAGATTCCCCCTGAGCTCAGTGTTATCGGCCGAACATGTCGCCCACACCATCACACCAATACGGATCTGTGCTGGTCTTTTATAAGTTATCATAACAGACAGTCATCCACCTAATATGATGCAGGTTTCACTCCGACCAAAGCAACATGAAACACAATCTGAATATCCCTGTGAGTTTGACGGATATTACAATCTACAAACCCATCAGCTTTTGGCTGTGGGCAGAGTATGGCTCGAAGAACAATGACTAACCTCTCGGTATTTCTAGTGTTGCCAGTGGTCAGTGATACATGACTTCTTTGTCAAGACTTTCCTCTCAGTGCATAGCAGTGTTTACAGTCTGATTATAAATGGAGAGGACGGTTTGTTCAGATATAAAGTAAAGTGAATGTCTCCCTTCCAGATATATCTGCAAAATAAACACCATCATTTTTTTGTTCGTAACACGCCCCTGTTCTTTACATTCATAGTTCATAGTAAATGACACCAAGGCTTCACTCTGGCTTACTTCAGCTGTATGAACCTGAGTTCAACTTATTTTCTCGGGATCAAAAAGTCTCAAGATTGCTGAGAAATAAGTATTTCCACAATGCTGATTAGTAAAAAGTCAAGCTTTGTCACATCAGTACCCAAGAAGAAAACCTTTCAAGTGATTGTTTGTGTTGGATTGTGTTCTGCCTGCTTTTGCTCTCCAAACAGTCCGCTTTTACAACATACAAGTTCTACTGATACATGATTGGTTAGGACTTCTTGTACAGCAAATACTACGATTTAATGCTTTTCAAATGTGGTACTACAGATGTTACATTTTTTAAATGCATCTGTAAGGTGGGATTAAAGCTCCTGTTTGGGACTTTCAGTTGGTGCCTCCTCTAGACAAAGCAGTCTTGGCTTTTCTCACCATTTGTATTTTTAAATTGTGACCTTTGACTCCAAAATTTCATCCGGTTGATTTTTTCCAGTCAAATGTTTCACTTATTGTGGATGGTCTTGTTTCCTTTTGGATGTTATAAAAAGTTATTGATATGAATTTCAATCTATCTTACTGATGTAAGAAAACTCCTCATAGTTGCTTCAACTAGGGATTACTGATGTTATGACCTTGGCAGATCATTGTTATATATCTGAGTTGTACTGTGCAGCTCTGCTTCCTCCCCTGCAGACTATGGGTGTTTCTGCTATAATGTTGTCTGGGAGTGTGTGTCCACTAATCAGTCCATTTAAACCAAACTGCTGCACAGGGATTGGATCAGGATCGACTAAACTGGTTTCAAATCTCAGCAGCTGCAGCCCGCTCTTACCGCCTCCTGCCAATCCCAACAAATCAGTGTTTGTGGGTATATTTTGATCATTTGAGTGTTTAATATTTCTGCAGATTGTTCAGACAGGGTATGTCAGGTCTTAATATTTTGATGGATTATCATTTTGTTTGTTGATGGACTCCTAATGAATTCACTACATAAATACTTAGCACTGAGCAGCAGCTGTGTAGAAATGAGTCCCCTTTTTGTTTCGTCCCTTTTTTAGTTCCTCAGTTTTTGTTGGTTTTGAGCTCGGCTAAGATATTTGTCATTAGTTTATGTTTTTGTTTCCTGTTAGGAAAGATTAGACTTCATTTGGACAACTTTTGTTTGTTGGTTTGACCTCTACTTTTCCCCACGGTTCATTAAAACTGCTGCTTTAACTCTGATTTGGGTTTGGTGGGAGTGGAGTCATCCTGTTGTGGTTTTGTCTAGGCCAGGGAAACAAAGTGAACTTCTTACATCTCAATGTGAAAGTTTTGCTGAACTCATTGACAGTGGTTTATTCCAGGTTGCTGATAAGCTAGCTGCCACCCTTTCAGACCCTGTAAATACTGCTTCCTTCCTCCTCAATGTTTCTGCATCAGCTGCATTGGAGGTGACCTTCTGGTCATTACCCCAAATGACCCAAACTTAAAGTCCTGGTGAGCACAACTCCAACCAACCACATCCAGGGTCTCTGTATCTCCCTGAGAGAAAGGTTCACCTTCCCATCTTTCACACTAAAGAACCTTGTCCCATAACATCCAGCTAGTAAATCAGTTTGACATTTCATGTCCTCCCACTAACCGGAACCCGTGGCCTTTCTAACTGCAGGACAAAACCCCCTGTTGGTCTTTGCAAAATTCTCAAAATGCCCTCAGCTCAACATGAATGTGGTTTCAGCCATGCTGGACTGGAGGCTCAGCTTGAGCCTCATAATTCATTCTCCTGAGTTTACTGAGACTATCCAGTGACTGTGAACCCTGGTTCAGGCACTGAGAACCATAAATCAGACTTCCCTTAACACCAGCCACACCACACAAGTGATCACCTGTTGGTGTGCAGAGCTGTTATCTGCTGTCACACAACAACATGATGTATAACTAGAGGCAGTCAGCATGGGTGACGAGTGAGGACTCAAAGATGCCGTGGACAGAAGACAGGAGCTATCAAAACCACTGTAAGAAGTAACTAAATATTGTTATATCAACAATATCAGCTCTGAATAGTCTGACTCTAAAATCCACTCCCTTCACTGTCACTAATAAACTGTGTGTAATATAACCTGTGATGACTTATATATTGATTGTAGTGTTATAGCGTAATGTCTGTTGTTAGCTGATCATGCTAGTAAGAGGTTGTGTTTTTTGTTTTGGTCTGTCAACCAATCAGAAGCTGTATCTGCAGTAAGTTGACCTGTAAAGGTCCAGTAAGAAGTCTTTGTGTCAGTAGAGCAGTGAATAAATAGTTAGTGACACTGGTATCATTAAACTTTATAAATTCCTGTTCCTAACTGCAGCTGTGGTTCAGGTACAGAGTGGATTATTTTTTAATCCAAGGTTGCCGGTTTGATTCTCCAGCCCTCCACATGTCTAAGTTTTCTAGGGAGTATTTCATGAAGGTGGGACGCTGAATTACTGTGATGGCATGGCCAACATTAAATTTGTGTCTCTGTCTTGGGAGACCGTCCACTGATGGTGTTTTAATGGTCTGCATCAAACTTAAAATGAATTTATTGATTTAAAATATGGAAAAAAAAATGTTTTGAGATTTTAATCTTTTCTACTTTGGATCAAATACAAGGTTCAAATAATTTTCAAACTGTTAAATTCTCTTTCATCAGCATTTTATACAACACGCTGGATTTTAGGAATTGGAGTTGTAAATATGTAAAAATGGTCTCAGTAAATGTAATTAAACTCATTCAGCAATAGTAGTAGGCTCATGCTGGTCTTTGCAGGAGTACCTCAGGGATCCGTTCGAGGGATGCTTCTGTTTGTGTTCACAGTACTGACACATAATAAGCACTGTCAGAGTGTAATGAGTAAATGTGTTTTTAAAACCTCCCATGTCAAGTTGAGATGTAGTGACTGTGAGGGTTTTGACTTGTATACATCCTTTTCATCTTTCATTATAAAAAATACTCCCACAGGACTCAACGAGTAACTGTGTCTCTGACACTTGGGGGGGTGTGGGTTGAGGTTTTAGAAAGTTACAGCAGTGGTCAAACAGAAAGGTGTGGGGGAGGGGGTTTCAAAGCTGGTCGACCATCCGACAAGCACTTGTGAGGATACATACCAGCAGCTAGACAGACTTCTCTTATCTGCCCTCAGGACTTTCACCAGATTTGGGATCCTGGCTGCAGGGATCAGATACCAGTCAACTACAAAAGCATCTGGAAGCTCTAACATAAATATAACATTATAAAACTCAACTTTAAGTCTGTGTCCATCATGTCAGAGGCGTTGAGTTCAATCAGTGCTCTCTGTAAACATGTGGGACGAGTGCGTCAATATGGGCCTGTCAGGTTAGCAAAATTGTTTCCTGATAACTCTGCAATGACCATGACCATTGTTACTGAACTGGCAGCTGATTTCAACCTGCAGAAGTTAGATGGGTTGTTATTCCCATGTTAATATTGATGGAGGTAAATGCACCCAATCAATTAAGCAACATTACAGAGACAGGCCTTTTTATTAAAGAGGAAGATTACTCTGTGAAAAGCCAGCTAGCTCTTTTGAAAAATGTATACAAAATTATTATTTTTTTCAGCATATGGAAATCAAAAGTAATCACCTTTGCTCCTCAGACTTGCACAAATTGTTGCATAAGAAAATGCACTAGGATCAGATTTAAGTACAGTGATAGGTCAGCAGATGTTTTTATGGAATAAATGCTCGATAACACCATTTGTTTCAATCAGACTGAAAAGAATTTAAGTGAAAAAACACAAGGCACTTTTCAGAGATGAAGACTGAACATAAACCTGCCCCAGAAATGCTGACTCTTCTCTGCTCGGTAACCTTTCTTGGATGGAGGTGAAGTAAGAAACAGTCCCATGGTCCCTTCATCCAAATCTGACCCTCCTTTTGATAATCATGGATGCTGCATCCTCCACTGAAGAGCCAACCCAGTCTCATCTAGCCTGTCATCAGTCCACAGCTTAAAAGCCAGCTTCTCTGATGTTCGGGGATGCAGTTTACACATGAGGGCATCATCACCGCTGAACAGGAGCAGCACACTGCCATCCAGAAAATGTCACTTCTATGGGAATACCTTGCAGAACAGCAAGATGCATAACTAAATTATCCATGTATTACAGCAACATGGTTCCGAAGTAGAAGAGTCTAAACCAGCCTTGTTGTCTTTTAGAAATATTTGGTGCATCACGACATAAAATGACAAAGGATAACCTGTGTGACTGAGTAGCTGGAATCTGAATATATCAGGCAAGAACAGGACAACATGTCATCATTAAAAACCCAGACTATGGTCTCCTCAGTTTTGAACATTTACAGAGTTGACCTAAAATAAACAGTGTTGTTTTCGTTGACGAAAATATTTCGTCCACCGTTGACGAAAATATTTCGTCCACCGTTGACGAAAATATTTTGTCCACGCCCCTTTTTTTCCACGACGAAGACGTGACATTGACAAGCTAAACATAAGTCTTAGATGACTAACATGTGACAAGACGAATGTGTGTTTACGTTGATGAGATGAGACTAGACAAAAAAGTTAGAGGTGGACGACGAACAGAGTTGCAAAATTCATGAGCATTTCGTCAGTCAAACGCTAAACATATATTCTGCAGTGTTGTTTTCTTTGAGGATTGTCAACGAAAACAGTACTGGTCGTTTTCGTTGACAAAAATATTTAATCGACGTCATCTTCAACTGTTTTCGTTGATGCCCCTTTTTTTCCACGACGAAGACGTGACGTTGACGAGCTGAACATATCTCTTAGATGACTAAAATGTGACAAGACGAAAGTGCGTTTACATTGACGAGACGAGACTAGATGAAAACGTTAGTGGTGGACAACAACAGAGTTGCTAAATTCATGAGCATTTCGTCAGTCAAATGCTAAACATATATTCTGCAGTGTTGTTTTTGTTGACGATGAAGTTGATTAAATGTTTTCGTCAACGTCGACAAAATATTTTGTCAATGCCCCTTTGTTTCCACGACGAAGACGTGACGTTGATGAGCTAAACATAAGTCTTAGATGACCAAAATGTGACGAGACAAATGTGCGTTTACGTTGACGAGACGAGACGAGACGAAAATATTAGTGGTGGATGATGAACGGAGTTGCTAAATTCATGAGCATTTTGTCAGTAAAACGCTAAGCATAACAACACTGTAAATAAAGGAACATTGCACACAAATATTCTTAAAACAATCATATTTTCTGCTCTAGTGTTTGATTTCTTGTCTTTGCACCATCACTGTTGCAACACCAGCTTTAACCATCTATATCTGTTTAATTAACAGTTTACCCAGAAGCCTATCTCTTATTTATGGCTGTACTAATTTGTTCCGTCCAAGTTTCTACACACTTTCACTAACCTACATCCTTTGCGGCTTCAAGTAACAGCTGCTGCAGTGCCACAGCTTTTCTTCTAAATAAAAACCTGAGTGCCAGTGGAGTAAGGGTATAATGGCCACGCACACACAGGCACACACACAAAACCACTAAAAGCTGCACTTTTTTTCTCCACTTGAAACCACGTGTAGGGTTTCAACCCCCGAAAGTGACAGACAGCCTCGTGGACCAATGAGAGTACCGGGACTTCTCGGGTTTTCTCGGGTCAGGGTTTAGAGATACCAATGTGACACCAGAGGAGGCCGTGCCGGGCTGTGGAGGCGTGTCCTGCGCTATAAAGTCACTCCAGACTGAATTACTGCAACTTCTCCAACTTTGAAAGAGTTACGCAGTCCGCCCTGTGCTTTGCAAAGCCCCTCACATTAAAATCATCCACTTTTTCACTTCTTCTACATGCTTTGCTTCATCATGCACCACAGCCATGTTCCCCATCTGCTCCTCTCTCTTCTCTGCATCGGATCGGCTGGTGAGTATTGACTTTACGCCTCAGCTCTGTGTCATGTAGGCTCAGTCTGTTTCTCTTAGATATAGGTCAACTAGAGCAATCTGTCTCCTCAGATGAACGACCCAAAGTGTTTCTGAGTATCACTAGAAGAAGTTGACTGAATGCTAGTAAGATTCCGCACAAAAAAGCAACTGAGAGTAATCGCTGCAGTAATGCCTTGCGCAGAGTTTCTACGGATTTTTGCAAGTTGAGCTCTTAAGTTGAACGTGGCTGTGCGAGTCACGGAGCATTAGAGCAGACAGTTCATCCAGTTCATGGAGTCAGGACAGGAGCTATTTTTGTGGCCGTTGTTTGATGGAAACTGTCCCTCCCTACAGCCCAGTCAGAGCCGGAGACAGATGAAGTGGTTCCTTGGCTGCTGTCCGGGCAGGAGGCGCACCTGTCCGCCGTCCACACGCTGAGGCGCCGCGGTCAGCGCTCCTTGGACGTCCCGGGGGGAGGGCACCGTGACCCGGGTCATATAATACTGTCAGTGCCTGCTTTTGGAAGGACTCTGTATTTAAACCTGACGCGGGATGGTGGCTTTCTCTCTGGGGACTTTGTGGTGGAGGAGAGGCGCAGGGAGCAGCCCGCAGCTGTGAGCCGCTTATCCACCCAGCAGCGCTGCTTTTACTCCGGATTCATCGTCAACCACACGGACTCTCTGGCATCCGTGAGCACCTGTGGAGGCCTGGTAAATCCATCTCCATTCTTATGTCATGCAGTTCAAGCAGCTGAGCTCCACGCTGTAAAATGTAGATCCATGAAAAGGCAGGTTGTCTCCATGTTAAGTGGAGTTCCTCTGAGCAGGAGTTGGAGCTCCTGTCTCCTCAGCTATTGCAGTTAATCTGTTAACCCCCATCACCTGCCTGTTTGAAATCCCAGGGTGCAGACAAACACTCTTTAACTCCACAGGCTTTCTTTTAAATGCTGGTGGAGATCCCAGATTTCAAAGATAACTCTGTGTGGCTCAATTTAGACACAACATGTTTAGTTTTTCCTTTTTTGGGTAACTTTTTAACAACTTCAGTCAACTCAGCTCGGAGGGGGAACACACAGCAGGAAATCACAGCCTAGCGGTTAATCAAACACTATTTACGAGTCCCTCCTGTTTAGAGCTCTTAACTACATCTCACAGTTTACAACCAGCATCAAGAGTGGATCTGGGTGATTGGATCAGAAGTGCTTGTTTAACCACATTCACATTCTCATTCATGTTCATCCGTTTAACCTCTGAAGGCCCCTGCAGAGGAAAGGCCTCGACAACCACACTAAGAGCAGGTTCAACTCGGCATGAATCATGGCGGGAAGCAATCGGGTTGACCTTTAGGGGCAGTGTGCAGTGAGGTGCACTGAACCTTGAGGCAGCACCACTCAAACGGCATTGTGGAAAGCATTAATGCATTGATGAGGAAAATTCAAAATGTGATTATGTTTGGGGACAAATTCAGCAGGATGCTGCTGTTATTTAAGGTCATCCCCTTTAGAGTCATGGTCTCCAAAAGAGATTTACGATTGTAGCCAAAATGATAACCATGTTCATTTTATCAATATTGAAGTAACAAGTATTAATCAAGATTGTTAATTTTAGGGAATTTATCCCACTGTTTAGCAAATGATATTATCTGCATCTGACTTATTTCCAGGGCTGGACAGAGACCAAAGAAAAATCTGCTCTGTTTTTTTGGGGGCCCCAAAGACTTAGTCAAATCAGGCATCAAACAGCATCAAAGAGCCTAAAGGGCTGAGTGAGATGGCCTCAAATCGATATCACGATATATTGACTAGTTCACCTCAATAACAATAAATGGACAATAACTACACCACAATCTGCTCAGCCCCTACCACATTAATTTTGTCTACTTGAGCCGCTACAACTTTTGAACCGTCCTCCATCTCCTCACCTGTCTTTCCCTCTTTGTTATGGACTGGATGGGGTGGAGTCACGTTTCTGACGTAGGACAGCGTCTTAAAGGGACATGAGACCATAGCCTACCTACACACATCCAAAACCAACTTTTTTAAATTTATTTTTTGACACCGAATATACCAATATGGGCAAAATGACGTAGGTCATTGATGTAAATATCAGTATCGGTAAATTTTCGGTTAATCGCCCAGCCCTAGCCTGAACTGATATTCAATCTGAGACTTGGGATTGAAACTTTAATATTAGTGATGCACAATATGAAAAATTTCAACCGATACCGATAACCGATAATTTTCTTCTTCTCATGGCCGATACCGATACCGATAACCGATAAATACATATTTTTACATTTATCATAATCTTCATATAATCTGCAGTTTGTGCAGGATGCAGCGATTGAAAACGGATATTTTTGTTGCTCTGGCCTATCTAGAACAACAAACAAAAGTTTTTGGCTCTTCAAATGTGGTCATTTGCTATACATAACAATAACAGAGCAAAAAGCAGAACTTCATTTGATCACCTGAACTGTTCAACAGTACTGTAAACTGTAAAGGAGCCATTATGAGCCGTTAGGCTTAGCCTGCTGACCGGACTAACATCTGACGTCCATATGTCTGTGGTAAAACTCACGTGTAGTCCGTTCTTGTCGATCAGGTTGTGAATGTATGTGGCGACAATATCATAGAGTGCAGGAAGAGACACATCCGAGAAGAAGCGGCGGCTTGGGAGAGTGTAATGTGGCTCCAAGTGTGCTATGAACTTACGAAAACCCGGGTTCTCAACGACGGAAAAAGGCTGGTCGTCGACCGCTATGAACTCCATCACTTTGTCGTTAATGGCTTTAGCCTTTTCGCTGTCTCTTGAGAAGCTTTTGCAGTTTTCAAACGCCTGCTGAATGGGGACATCGATCCTCCGTAGTGTTGTTGTCTTAGCTTTAGTACCGCTAGCAGCTTCGGCGGCTGTCTCATATTCTTTTAATACCGCTTCGCCGCGATGGCGACTTTTCAGATGAGCTATCAGATTCATTGTGTTAAAACTTGATGTCTTCTTTCCTCCTCTTGGAATCCTCGCTGAACAGGTTTTGCATATAGCAATGCTGTTGTCATCTTCTGCCACTGAGAAAAACGACCATGCTGGTGAAGACATTTTATTATCTGTCAGGCAGTGACGGGGTCAGGCTTGGGACCTGCGAGTAAGGCTTGATAGACGACGTAACCAGCACGATCTCGGACGGGCGGCTACTCCGCCTGCAAACGTTACTCGTAATTTCATTAATATATCAGATCTTTCTATCGGAAAAATGCACCTATCGGACCGATAAAAAATGACGTAATTTTCCCCCAAATCGGCCGATATTTTATCGGTCCGATAAATATCGTGCATCCCTATTTAATATCTTGCAGTACTGCAGACCTTTAAGTCACTAACTGCTTTGATGGGAAACCTCACCTCAAACACTTGTTGATGGTGCACCCGCTCTCTTAACGCTCTCTCTCTGTCCCTCTGCTTTACTAACACACTCCTTATCCTCCTACTCTCAGCCCGTGTTGGCTGCAGTTTTTCTGCAGTCATAGCTCTGGATTGTGAAGGTATGTGTCATCATCATTGTCAGCCGGCCTTGTCAATATGTGGCTCACCTGTAACCATGGTTGAACCACCAGGACAGCATTTAGAAAACCTAATTTGTACTTTGATGAGTTAGAGTCCAGAAAGAGAAGAGGAAGAGTAGGAGAAGCCTGTTATTAGCTGTGTTTACATGGGCACAAATAATCGGAATAAATGCCTGATTGGAGTAAAAATTCTTCACGTAAACATGTTGATCGGAAGATTCTGATCCAATTTGACTCAATCGGAAAGAAATTGTATTCCCATCAAGAGGGGCAGTTTATGCTGATCGTTATTATGAAACTCGTCCATGTAAACACTTACTCTGATCGCGACTCTGTTACCTGACTCTATCTTTACTCTTGAGCCTGATTTATTTGGCTAGTGGAGGAGGTTTCATTATTAACACTGGTATAAAACACAACCGCAGGTGCAGTGTCTGCTCCTCCGATAACATAACAAGGCATACACACAGCGTAATAATGTCACATCTGCACGCACAGAACAACCTTTGACAGAACAGTAAAATAAGTGAGCAAGGGCGCCATCTAGTGACAACATTTAACAGGGGGAAAACTCAACTCCGACTCGGCTGCCACTTTTACCTATATTTTTTTATTTATTTATGCATATGATGTACTTCATTTTTACCCTAAAATAAAAAAATGCAATGTTTTTTCAACATGTTTGGTTTTATTCAGACAGGAGTGGGACAGGAGTGGGAGTAATTTTGAGTAGGAGCGGGATGGGAGTGGGAGTCATTCTACGGAGTGGGACAGGGCAGTATTAATTTTTTTACTCCGGCTGGGGATAAGAACGGGACGGGATTTTTTTCTCTGGGAGTGGGACGGGACAGGAGTGAAAATCCGCTCCCGTGTCATGCTCTAGTGAGCGGCTACCGCATTTGTTGGTATGTTGACAGCACAGGCGTAAATCCAGCTCTTCTTCTTCTGCGGTTGATTTAGCAAAATTAGACAACTGGGCATATCCAAATGCTTCTAATCTGGATGAAGCTTGGTGCATGTATACACATGACATGATAGGATTATTTGTTTCTGCACCCATATAGCAGTGGATTCAGATCACCCGATCCCTTTAATTTTTAATCTGATCAAGAAATTTTGCACATGTAAACATGGCTAGTGAGAGTTGCAGGCTAAGTTTGTACATCTTTCTCATCAACCGTTAACAGGATACAAATCTAAAACACTGACTGGCTAATGTTTTGTCTTTAATTCTGTTTAATTGTGTGTCTCATCAACTTTGCAGCCCTATTGTAGTCTAAATGGTATGACAAGGAGACTTACATTTTGTCAATCAAATCTTTCCTTTTTAAAGCACCCCTGAAATAACTCATCAGGGTTCATCATTCAAAGAGTTTTCCAGAGAAACTGGAGTTTTCTGCTGAGCTCTCCTTCTCTCCAAAATAAACTGACCTTGTGATGGACACAGGACACCAGGGGGGGATGAGTTTGCTCTTCCATTTTACTCAGGAATCGTCCCTCATAGGCTTTTACTACCTGCGAAATGACATCAGAGGGTTTCCATCTTCACCAAACTAACAGATGTAGTTCTAAACACGACCAAAGATGCCAAATGAATCAGTTTAGAGGTCAAATTCAGTCTCAAGGTGCTCTGTAGTGTGGCTTTAGGCCTTGAGAAGAGATGTCGCTAACTGCAGCTTGTTCAGCCGATAGTTTCAGATCTACTCATCTGGTTGGGAGATACTGTAAAAAAAGCAACAGTGATGTTTCATAAAAAAGAGAGAAATCTTTGGATGAATCTTCATGATGAAAAGAAAAATAAGTTAGAAGTCAATCCTGTCCTGACTGCGCTTTCAGAAACAGTCAACTGAGTCTTAGTGTTTCATTGTAGTCCTGTCAGACAGAGCAGCAAAGGACAATTCTCTCTGTTGAAATAAAACAGGTAGAGGTTTAGTGTTTCTCTCCCACTACGCTCTCTCCATCTCTGCTCTGCTGCTCTGTTACAGAGCCTGACCTCTCTGTGGAGGAGGGTTGAAGAAAATATGAATTTCCCCCACTGTGACCAGTGAAGTTCCACATTAGCTGAGGCATTTGGATGAGGCTCTTATGTAAAGTGAGTGCTCAGGTAGGAGTGGAGGCTCAGAGCTGGACTCATCAGCAGAAACAGACCTGCTCTGAGGGAGGACTGTGCTCTTTTACATCCCCTAAACATCCCCACAGACAGTTTCAGCATCCGGCTGCTCTGCTATGAAACACAGACTGTGTCCCTGACTTCAAATTTAATATCAAAAAAGAGCACTCTTTTTTTTTTTTTAACCTGCATTGCTGTTGCAGAAATCTGTGAAACATGTTAAATTGAATGTGATGCAAAACAAGCAGAAAGCTCAGGGGATGAAAGATGAAGCTGCTCAAAGGTGCAAAAAACTGCAGTACCTTAAACATCCACATGAGGCTGGCCACAAAAGCTCAGGTAATCCAATATAAAAATGAGCATTTTTGAGTAAAATTTCCATGTTTTAATCATGCACACCAATTAGGGGTGATTTTTTTGGGATGTAGTGTATCATGTCATTGTCTAAGATGTTAAGACACTCACATACACTCACATACAGTGTGTTTGTTATGGTTGCAGAGTAGCTTTGGTTCCCTTTTTTATTTGACTTGTTAAATCAGCAGCTTGTTTTCACCTGCAACTCTTCTCCGCCCCCTAATATCCCTCCCCCACATGGGATAAATTTCCTGATCTTTATACCAGTGGATAAAATGGATTGTGTTAGTGCAGCAGCAGCAGCAGCAGCAGCTATGAGCATCAGTGACTTTGGAGGAGGAAACAGGAGATGTTCATCGTTAATTCACCATCTGATAAATCTGAACCCCAGGATGTCAGGAAAGTTTAAATAATGGCGAAGAAGATCGACTAAATTTGTTTGTGTACAACCCTGAGTTCAATAAAGTCAGGGACACTGATTTTCATGACTCGATGTAAGCTTATTACTGCACCCACAAATACGGACTGAATCTGTTCTATGTAAAAAGGATATCATATAAGATCAAGATCCAGAAATCCCGGTGATGTACAGTGGATATGAGAAGTCTACACACCCCTGTTCAACTGCCAGATTTTAGTGATGTAAGAAAATGACAGCAAGATAAATATTTTCACTTTTTCCACCTTTAATGTGACCTATAACCTGTACAATGCAATTGAAAAACAAACTGAAACCTTTAATCTTAGGTTGATCTTATTCCAGTGAAGCCATTCTTTTGTTGATTTAGATGTGTGCTTTGGGTCATTGTCGCGCTGAAAGATGAAGTTCCTCTTCATCTTCAGCTTTCTAGCAGAAGGCTGAAGGTTTTGTGCCAACACTGACTGGTATTTGGAACTGTTCATAATTCCCTCCACCCTGACTAAGACACAAGTTCCAGCTGAAGAAAAACAGCCCCAAAGCATGATGCTGCCACCACCATGCTTCACTGTAGGTATAGTGTTTTTTTGGTGATGAGCAGTGTCGATTTTGTGCCAAATATACCTTTTGCAATGATGCCCAAAAAGTTCAACTTTGGTTTTATCAGACCATAACACATTTTCCTACATGCGTTTGGGAGATTTCAGATGTCTTTTTGCAAAATTAAGCCGGGCTTTGATGTTTTTCTTTGTAAGATAAGGTTTCCATCTTGCCACCCCATAGCCCAGACATATGAAGACAGCAGGAGATTGTTGTCTCATGTACACAGCCAGTACTTGCCAGAAATTCCTGCAGCTCCTTCAGTGTTGCTGTCGGCCTCTTGGTAGCCTCCCTGACCAGTTTTCTTCTTGTCTTATCATCAATTTTGGACGGATATCCTGTTCTTGGTAATGTCACCGTTGTGCCATATTTTCTCCACTTGATGATGACAGTCTTTACTGTGTTCCATGGTTTATTTAATTCCTTGGAAATTCTTTTGTAGCCCTCACATGACTGATATCTTTGTACAATGAGATCCCTCTGATGCTTTGGAAGCTCTCTGTGGACCATGGCTTGTGCTGGAAGATGTGGCTACAAAAATGTCAGGAAAAGCAACTAGAACAGCTGAACTTTATTTGGGTTTGATCAGAGGCACTTTGATTGATGACAGGTGTGTGCTGACTCCAACTTTAACCTGAGTTTTATTGTTATTGGTTAAATCTGAACACAGCCACATCCCCAGTTATAAAAGGGTGTGCACACTTATGCAACCACATGATCTCACATGATCACCTCCCTGAAGATTTCTGTTTGTTTTTCAATTGTGTTGTACAGGTTATAGGTCACATTAAAGGTGGAAGAATTTTTTATACATAACAAAAAACCTGGCAGTTGAACAGGGGTGTGGACTTTTAATATCCACTGTACCCGTGCCCAAGCCCACTGACCAAGTCAAAGCAAAAATGTCTTCTAGTCTGATGCATCATAGTCTGACTCTGATGTTCTTTTAGGAAATCTTAGACCACAAGAGCCTCTGCTTAACAGGGAGAGGAACCCCTGAAAACATCTGCTGCATCATGAATCAACCATACAGCATATGTACGATTCTGATTGGCTGCAGGGTGTCAGTTTATTCCCCACGGTACAAGCACAAGCTTTAACAGAGAGGCTGATGCAGGCGGGTTCAGTACTGGAACACTGTCCTCTCTATGAAGACATTCAATAAATCAGCTGCTATAGATTTAAATTCAGCTGGAGCTAATTTAATGCTGGCAGTGACCAAAGTACATAGTTCACTTGTTTTGAATTCTTTACAGTCTTATTTTTCATTGATTTAGATTTTTGTATGTTTTATTTTGATTATTTATCTTTAAGTATTCTGTACCAAAGATACTGTAGATCTATCTATAGATAGCTGTCACTTTTCCAGCAGTTAGAGACATCCCTCCAGACACAGCTATTTCTGCATGCTTGTGAGACCCCTTTGTTTCTTTTTTTCATGTGTATTAAAAGCAAAATGCATTTATCTGTTTCTGGATCTGTAGAAATGCTCCAGTCCACATCTTCTTGGCCAACAGGATTTGTTAGCTGTGTAGCTCAGCTGGGAGCAGTGACTGAGTCCATGCATTAACTTTTGACATGCCTCTCTGCAGTAGTCAGAGCAGCTCTCTTCACTCTGACTGCACTGCCTGTGCTTTGTTTCTCCTCTCTGACAGTTTGCTGTTGTTGTTGCACATCTAGCTGACACCAATAATGAGGTTATTGTTGTCATGCACTTAAAATATGTGGATCCACACTGTCCAGGCATCAATGAAAAATAACAGCATGAATTTCAGTGATAACTAAGTTAAACAAGTGTATTTTCGCAATAATGATAAGGATAATAGTATCTGTATGCTTTTGTGCCACTAAGCTCATTGGTTCTCAAATATGCTCATTAGTCGTGTGTTATTACCATCATCTTTAGAAAAATCAAACGTTACTCTGTTTCAAATCTTACTCTCTAAAATAATTAATTTAGGTTAAAATGTCTCTAAGGTCACTTTAATGTGTTTTCTGTTGGTTATTTTCCTTTGCAAGTCACTTCATGATGGTGTACATTGCCTTGTAAGTGACCATCAGTGGTACATTAGTATTCACTGTGCATCTACATAGGACATGTCCACAATATAGGATAAAATGATTATTACTTATAACTCCCACCACACTACAAAATACATAAAAAAAATATTTGCATAGAATAGAAAATCACTATTCCTCTGAGCTTTGACTGCTCTCTTTAGAGTCTTTCCATTTGACTTCACAAGCTCTGGATTTCCTTTGACACAAACTTAAGTCTTAAGCCTCTTTAGGCAAACCAGAATCAGATATTTGACACAGTTGGGTAATAAAATGAGAATTAAATCAATCAATTAATCAAATTTCATTTACATAGCGCCATTTCACAACAGTCGTCATCCCAAACGCTTTTCAAAGAAAAAGAGCAGATCTAGACCACGCTCATCGTTTGATGAATTATCAAGACCCAACCTTAGGATGGGACAGATTTGGCCCATTTCATCTAACATGAGTGACAGTGGCAAGGAAAAACTTAATTTAACAGGCAGAAACCTTTGGTAGGACCAGACTCATGCGAGACAGCCACCATGCCGCTGCTGGGTTGGGGAGGAATACAGAGAGATAGGGAGGGAGAGAGAGAGAAGTAGGAGAGAGGGCAGGGGGAGAGAAAGAGAACAAGGGAGAAGGAAGGAGAGAGAATGAGTAAGGGTGAGGGAGGGAGAGAGAATAGAGAATGAGGGTGAGAGAGAGAGAGAGAGAGAGAGACGGGGCAGCAGCAATATTAAAACAACAACAACAGCTCATGCAAAGTTGTGATTGCAGAGCAAGTAATTACAAATTAAAGGGGCCCTACATTTGTGCCCTAGGGGATGTCACATTAAATGAGAACAAGAAATGAAGAACACCTTTTTGGGGGGTGCTGGGAGTGACCTATCTTTCAGGTAGGAATGGTGGTCCCTCTGTTGAACCTTTTTCAGAGGTTTTTGATGTCCAAAGTGGAAAAAAGAAAAACATGAAGGTAGTTAAGATCCATCTAGCCTCAGTTCCCATGGTTTAACATACTCTCTGTTCCTATATAAGATACAAAAATAAAAAAGCTTTATGCCTGAACTTTTCCCAAACAAACAATTTATACAACCACTTTGCACCTCCAAGAGTCGTTTCTGCAGCAGAGCTCTCCAGATTCAGACACAGAGCTTGTGTTTTGGGCTGTGGTACAGTACCAAACATGGCAACCTCAGCTGAATGAAAAAACTTATAGAAACTGCACAGCACCCAGTCTTTGTCTCTGTACTTTCTATAGGAGCTGACATGGAAACAGGCACAAACCCATGGTAGGCATAAGAGGATTATTTTTTTCTGCCCATGAGTTTGAAGGGTCAGTCATGCTGTCGCTGCAGGTTACAGCAAAGCTAAGCACTTCCCAAACACCTGTGTATCCTACTATTCATCTCCTCGTGATTTCTCACAGTTTGTATATCTCTGTTTTGTGCACAGACTGGGCTGATCCAGATTGGGGAGGACAGCCTGTTCATTCAGCCGCTGGGTGAATATGACCCGTCACAGTCGTTCTCTGGACTCAAACACCGGCTGCAGCGACAGCGACGCTCTACAGAGACCAGCTCTGCTCCAGATGCTGACCAGCCCATCTACTGTGGGACAGTACAAGGTGAGAGAGAGAGAGAGAGAGAGAGAGAGAGACCATGGATTTTTTGGGGCCAATGCCAATACCGATTATTGGGGGGGGGGGGGGGGGGTCTGATTACCAATTAATCGTCCAATTTTTTTAACTTTTTATGAAGTTATAAAAATTATATAGTATACTGTAGATATCCTGTAGATATACTGTAGGCTACTGCTCTTCACGCCGACAGGAAGACCGATTGATCATCTCATTAATATTCTATGTATTTATCATGAATCAAACTCGGATCAGAAAAACGTTTTCAACTACACCCCCCACTGCCTCAGTAAGAGAAGTAGCTCGATCACGTAATGTGTACTGTTGTTTATTCTGCCGTGACTGGCGCAACTAACAGTGTAGCAAGGCTAATAGCAGGTGGCTGACTCTAACTTTAGCTTGCATATTACATGGTGCTTCACTGTTAACTTGCCGTGACCGAGACCAGCACAGCGGGGAACATCGTGAAGTGGGTTGAACTGAAACTTGTTGACTTTTTGTGTATTTCACAAACTAGTTTATTTACCGTTGAGGTGGACCACTCTCCTCTGTGCGTCCCTGTCACTCTGATGTGCTGTGAGGTAGTTAGTGGATGAAGATTGTCATGAGGTCACTGCGCCATCTACAGGATAAGTCGGGGAACTTTTCAAATGGCGGAACATTTTCGGAGTGAAACTGAATCTTATTCTCCGCATTTTATTTCTGAAAATATCGGCGAAAACCGTCGAGTTTTGGCCGATTACAGATTAGTCTCAAACGGGCTAAAGTTGGCCGATTTAATCGCTCTAATTTAGACCAAAATATACAATGAGAGCTCCACTGCTGGTGTGTTCCCCTTTGCTGCACTTTGTTAAAAAGTTTCCCTGCATGTGTCTTTGTGTAAATTTTGTACTGCTGTTAACATTCAACTTCCCTAAATCATGGCTCTGGACACTCAGGACTTATTACACTCATAAAAGGGATCTCAGAGCTTAAAGTTAGGTACAGGCTGTACTTTTCTGATACAAGAGGGAGCATAATGGATGAATCTCTGACAGACTGTATTTTATTTCATAACCATCAAATTAAAGAGGATGGGATTGGTGTAATTTCCAGAATCTGGCACACCTCAAAACCCCTAGACAATCTTTCAGATGTTCCCGCAGAGCAGTACACTTGCAGTGAGAGTGAAGCCGGCCTGGCTCTTGGCTTCCCTCTCTTGAAGGGGACAGTTGAACATCCGTGGAAAGCCGTGCTGATAAATCATAGGTTTCAGAGCTGCGTTTACTGCTTTGTGATAGGCTTTGATGTTCATTCAGCTCCAGTGTGTTGTCAAAGAGGCTGTGAGGAATGCAGATGTTTCCTCATTTAATGTGGATCTTCTCTCTGCAGAGTTCTTGTCGGAACCTGCTGAGCCCCCTCACTGTTAACACCATCAAACACAGAGCAAACTCACTCTGATCTTTTACATCACTGATGTGCATGTTTTACTAACCTTTGGCATGTCTTTTCCAAGATTACAGTGAGAGGAATTTACAGTACAGTGAGAACATTATTTGGCTTTACTTTCCACAACTGAGGCAAGTTAGAGATAGTGACCTGGGGGTGGAAAAAGTTAGTATAATACCCCCCAAATAAAAAACATATACTGTATATGTGCAGCTCACTTTTAAGCACATTGACTGCAGCAACATTAACATCCCGCCACATTAAAATGATGCCACACAAGGCTCGACCTTGAGGTCAAAGGATGAAAGAACTTCCGTAATGCTGTGATGTTAGTTTGCAGCCATCCTGATACCTGAAGCAAGAAAAGCAGATGTGTATGCAGATGTTGGTATTATTTCTTACAGTTTGATATTTTATGGCATAACTTTGCAAAAGTAGCTCTATGCACCCTCAAGAAATGCACTGTCACTCACATATATGAAATTGGGTGTGCATATATGTCATACTAAGACCTACAAAAAATCCTCTGTAACCATTAACCCAGCAGGACTTCTACCATTTAATTTGACTGTCCTATTTCTAGTGATAAACAGGTCACCTTAGGATGGACTTGTTCTTGGGGTTTCATCTGATGCTTAATCAGGTCAGTGAGTTGTGGCAACTCTCAGGAGGAAAAGCTATCACAGGATGTGTTCCTGGAGGCTTGTCAGACTTAAATCTCTTGTCATGAAACAGGAAGTTGGCTCAACTCCTTCATGAAATGTACGATCTGGTCCAGTGTTCATATACATGATCAGGGGCAACCCATGACAGATTTATAAACTGGTTTTTATATAGCCATACAACCACTCGTGGGCACTGGGATAATGTGACCAGAGTTGCAACATTTTCTGGTTAAGGCTTGTGCTGCTAAATGACACATGTATTCTGACAGTCTCAGTCTGAACAGATCTATTTCTACATATGGTTCATGGTGGAAGCAACACCAACTGCTGCATAGTCGCTGCAGCTGCACAGCCCAAAGCTTTGATCCACCTTAGGGTTGCAGCACACCCCATTAAGCATAAAGGTGTAAGGGCCTGTCATCACCCTTGCACCTAAAATGTAGTGGTGACTTATACATTTAGTATTTTTGTCATCAGTAATGCAACATTTATACTTGTGCATTATATAGACATATCTTCACCAAAAATCTTTCAAAATATACTCACTTTCAGACAGTGTGTCAACAGTGGTATAGCTTTAAAAGGGCCAACAAGTACCAGAGGTTTTCAGGAACAGTCCCTTCCCATTTAGATGTCAAAAATTGCAGGTGAAAGAGTTTCAGCTAGAGTTCACAATGAGGCAAGGAGTTCCGGTACTTAAAGCTAACAAATAGCTTTAAGTGCTGCAATGATCTCAGCTGTAATGCTCAATGTGCATCAACATGTTATAGGCAAGGCAGTTTATTTCTGTAACACCATCCATACACAAGGCAAGTCAAAGTGCTTTACAGATGCAAGGAAATTTATTGGAAATGAAGAAGAGAAATTAAAACAACTTAAAATCAATAAGACAGAATCATTAATTTTTTCGTCTGTTCTGTGTTAGCCCTAATTATTTATGAAAACTGTTGTTTCCTATCAGACCTGGAGCTCCAAGGCTTGACGGGTCCCCAAGACCTCAGTGCACAGTGGGTCCCTGACTCAGAGCTTCCCAGCCTTTTACCTGTTCTTCCCATTTCATAAGTAATGAAAAAAAATGTCATTGCAGAACTTGAAAGGGATCCCACCGAACCCCCTTTCAGCTGATAGAATAAGATAAGATATTCTTATTAAACATAAGATATACAGAATATGAGTGTTATTTACAGCTGTTATGTACATGCTCAATATATTACAGTTGAGGTACATGAGTGATAGGCTATATTACAGTTGAGTGTTTTTGCATGCTAACTCTGCCGTTCAATATTTTATGTTTTTTTCAAACATAATTTAGGATCAAGATGACTAATAAAAGTGAAAAGTTTAGGAATCACTCCAGTAGAGTACTACAGCCTGCGTCTCTTACACTGACACCTTATCTTTAGGGTAAAATATCCCATCCACAGGGTTTCCTCTAAAATTGCTTACTTTTGCAACTTCGAATCCCCCAAGTTTTGGACAACATAACATTACAGTTTTTTTGGAAGCAGTAACAGCTGTTCAATCGCTCCTTTTCACAGTAAAAATGTAAACAGTAGTTTAAGCTTACAGTCACAGGTGTTGAAGCTTCACTGCTGCCTTTATCGTCCAGCTGTTGGGAGTCGTATTGATACTATTTCAACATTGTTTTGACTTTCTTTGGTTAAATCACAGAAATATATTTTTTTGTTGGTTTCTTAGGGCTGCAGTAAGATGAATTTCAGCTCACTTTAGAGCCAATTTATTATTTTTCTTATATCAAATTAACCACCATCATGCTGTGATATAGAAGCCAAGCAACGACCTTACGTTGCAGACAGGGATTTAACGCTGTGTTTTATTCTGTGCAATGACAATTAAAGAAAGTCTAAGTGAAATGTTGGATACAGTGAAACTGAGACTCGCTGGAAACAGATGGACAGGTGCACCACAGCTAAAACAGAACACCAGTGGTTGGTGTCCATTAGAGGAATCTTGGTTCTGATCCAAGCTAACAGGCCATCAAGCTGGGCACTGGTCAGCCTTAAATGACTGTGGGCAGCAGAAAAGTTCATCCAAGTTCCGGCTCATTGAGAAGAAGGAGACATTAGATCAGCTGAGAGTTCAGGGGCAAGGGTGCACCAGCTGCTGGTGTGAGTGTAACATTACATCTGACCGACAGCTGAGAGTGAATGCAAGTGTAATGTTGTGACATGTGCATCAGTTAGACTTCAGTCCTGTTGATGACGCACATTGATATTGACTGAACAGCACACAAGATGAGACTGGCACAGTTAGTCCTGGTGTGCTCAGTATATTATGTATTTATTCATTTATGCTTTATTTGTGTGGAAAATATGCAATATACAGATATGTATTTTTGGAACAGTCATCAGATGCAAGATTTTGCGTTTTCCTTGGGGGGAAAAGACACATCCCGGGGAAGACTTTTCTGGGGGAAAGTCCTGCCTCCTTCGCCTCTGATTGGGTAGGAAAGCTGGAAACGTCGTCACATGCTCAAGCCAAACGGTCAGCACTTATAGCCAATCAGAGGCGAAGGAGGGCGGGACCGTCCCTTAACAACCAGCGCCCCGGGTGGAGGCAAGAAGACAAAAATGGAGTCTACTTTAACTTCAAGTGATGGCGAATTGGTACTCCTTTTGCCCTCTCAAAAGAAAAGGAAACGTAGCACATGGGTGCATCCAATATTACAAAAAAGAGAACTTGGTGAGTTTCACTGCTTGGTTCAGGAGCTGAAACTGTACCACAATCGCTGATTGTTTTCAATTCTGATTAGACACTTGTGTTGAAATGGCTTTCTGTCATGATAGCATGCACTGAGTTGGGGCCAGTAGCAGATAAGCACATGAAACTATGGTAACAACCGTTAGCTTACGTTAGCACAGATGAAAGTTAAAACAAAGACATCTAGCAAACTGTTAAAGCACACAAACCATCATCATATGAGAAATCCGACGCTTTGACTCTCTACAAGTTGTTATCTTTGTAATATTTGTGTCTTTTAAAAAAATGCACTCTGTTTCCAACACGTAAACAATCAGCCTGTCGGATATGTTGGATATGTTGGATATGTTGAATATACCTGTGAATCAGATGTCGCAACAACACGCAATCTGATTGTCAGAAGTGGACACACAGTTTGCGAAACTTTAAAAAAAAAATGCTGCAATATCGCTGATGTGAACGCTTGTATTGACAGGATACTGGTTCGAAAAAAAATATTGACGTCCAAAATAATCGCACGACAGAAACTGTCCTGGTGTGAAAGGACCTTAAGAGTAAAACAGTAGTGAATGCAAACATGGGTATTCACTTGATTTTTACACAACATAGATGCTGGGTGTAAAACTTTCGTGCATCAAGGTTGCAAATTCAGGATTTTGCTCCTTCCACAGAAAAAGCTGTCTGAGAGAAAGTTTCAAGTTTCAAAAGTCGGTCACAGCAGTCAGGCAAATTCTGAAGGGCGCTGGTGCACTCAGCTCTAATATGAACCCTGACAAATCACTGTTAAATACTCAAACATTACCAGAAGGGCGAGTATTCACAGGTTGTATTTCTACCCATTCAAAATAATCAGAGATGATCCCTCTAGTGTTGCTCTGTGTCTTTACAAAGGCAACATGAGACTCCACATCGGCTCATCAGGCGGAGTGGGAGTGGGGTGTTGAGGGTAACTGAGAGAGAAGCGGGCGAGTCAGAAAACAGAACAATTACAGACAAACACATTGTGGTCTAACGTAGGCGAGTGTGCTGTGTCTGAGGGTTTGCTGTTCTGTGAGCATGCAGACAATTAACCCCCCTCTCTGACGTCCTCCACCTTCTCCCTGCACTCAGTCATTAACTGGAGCAGCCTGACCTTGAGAACTGAGCTGCACCCCCAAAGTTATATAACAGCAGCCCAGCTACAGACCACCAGCACTTCTGACAACCTGTACAAATAAATTATTTCCATATGTTCATAACTGGGACATACACAAAAACTGAGAACTGCTCTTTAGAAGGAAAGAAGAAAAATGTGCAGAGCTATGTGTGTAACTCTGTGCGTGTGCTTGCTTGAGTGAGTGTGTGTGCTGCAGTTTCTCAGTGTGTGTTTACAGCCAGTTTACAGAAGATTGAGTTTTCAAGTTATACATCACCATACTGCAGCATGTGAGGACACAGCTGATGGGGAAAGAGTTGTGTAACTTTCACAGCCTTTATGTCACAAAATTTAATTAGTGAGTAAAACTGGAATGGAGTTCAGATTTTCCTTATTACACCTTCTTGGAAGTCTGTCAAGGACATCCTCATCAGCACACCTGTGTGACCCCGAGCAGCCAAATGTTCAGACGGTAAAGGGGGGCTCAGATGATTTCTCGAAATGTATGTATGCATTTATGTGTAATCCAGCTGTCCTGAGGTGGGATGGATGGAGGGAAAGACCTGATTATGAATTCTTTCCTCTTCATCCAAGTCTGCCTGGACTCAGCCGCTCCTCCTCATGTACTCTCTCATGTCCTCTCCTCTCACTTCTCATCTCGTCTTGTCTCTTATCTCCTCTCCTCCTTTGCTCCAAAGTTTTTCCCTGAAAGCTGCCTGACCTCCGGAGAGAACTGTGCAGACTTTATTTCCATCAACAACCCGCCTCATACTCAGAGCAATTCACAGCATGAAAATATCTACATGGACGACATTCACTGTAAAGTTCCAAACAGATTAGACCAAGCCTAAAATCATTCAGGAATCAGTCACTGGACTGGCCTTTCTTCAACATAGGAATCCTCACACTGTTGAGCAGCTGAAATGCTGCATCAGGCAAATATGGGGCAACAGAAACTGGGCCTCTTGGATCAACATACACCTGTCCTAGCTGTCTTAAGAGGACGTAAAACTTTAAATGCACATTTATTTCTTGTGTACAATCAATAAGGGCTGGGCAATATGGCCTCAGATCAATATCACAATATATTGCAGTTCACCTCGATAACAATAAATGGACGAGAACTACTCCACAAGCTGCTCACCCCCTCCCACATTAACTTCGTCTACTTCAGACGCTTCTCCAGCCGCTATAACTTTTCAACTGTCCTCCATCTCCTCACCTGTCTTTCCCTCTTTGTTACAGACTGGATGGGTCGGAGTCATGTCTCTGATGTAGGACAGAGTGTAAAAGGGACATGAGACCATAGCCTACCTACACACAACCAAAACAAACTTTTATTTATTTATTTATTTGACACTGAATATATTGACATTGGCAAAATGATGTCGTTTTTTGTAAATTTGGGTATCGTTAAATTTTCAGTTTATTGCCCAGCCCTACAATCAAGTGTTTTAGTCTCAGTAATATGTAATGTTTCCACTGTTTGCCTCTAAATAACCCTGAAAAGGAAACAAGACCATCAACATCAAGACTTACATTTAATTTGTTGTAACTTTTGATAATTAAAAACCGTGTGTGCTTGTAGGATGATTTACAGCAGACTAAAGAAATGGCTTTTCTACAAAAAACAAAGTTTTGTTATGGCAAATATTCACAGTTAATGATACATGCCAGTGTTAAAAGATGATAGGATAAGGTTTTTGACTAAAAAGACACGTGCTTTGGTCAAGAGAGGAGAGGTGTAACTTTGTTTATAGGGGGCGCCAAAACCAACACAAACCAAAAGTTCCTCACAGCAGCTTCACCATTTTTACACAGGATGCAAACTTTTTCTTGACGTGAGATTTTACCGGGGCAGTCAGAAATAGACTTGAGCAGTCCACCTGTGTATTATGAGTGGGACACAAAGGTCTTTGTTGTGAATTTGTGCTGTTCTATTAAACATTGATTAATAGATCGTTAGTAACATTGAAGACTTCCTCAAATTCCTTATGTCCTTTAGCTTCCTCACCTTCTCTTACATGGTATCGATTTCTTTGTAAATGATAGATAATGAGTTTATGTGTTGCATTAATATCTTTTGGTCCAAACTTACTCTTAAAACCTCCAAAATTTCTTTATAATACTACATACTGACCAATCTTGGTTATAGTAGACTTTCAGCTCCCAAGAAGAGGTAGAACTTTATTGATCCCCGAAATTCAATTGTCTGTAGTCTCATGTGTCATGTCTCAAGTCATCTTAAATGACAGGCTTTATCAAAGAAATCTGGCATTTTTGTATCAATGTAACAATCATTTCTAATTAAAGTTCAGATTTTATTGAATGCAGGAAAACTCAGACAGTCCTCAAAGGCCGTTACAGACATAATGGGTGCAGGGGGAAAGAAATAAATGTTCACAGTGTCAGAACAGGTAGCATGAAGTGTCCGAAATATCTCATCTAACTTTAACCCTCATGTCCCTGCCATACCTTTAGTCATCACAGTAACCAGATAAACTGATAATATTTAAAACAACAATATTACAGCACTTGACTGTTTCAGTAAAGACAAATGATCATTACAGAACACATACACTGAAAAAACTCTAATCAGTCATAACACCTCAGTGCTCTTCAAAGTCTACATTACTTGACAGGATTTTTATTACAAGCCAAAATAACAGCTTTATTTTAACTTTTTACTGACAGTTCCGGCTTCATTTTTTTCCCCTTTTTATATAAAAAAATTCCACTCAAACAAATCCACCCTCTTGAAGTGGAGTGAGATGATTAAACAGGAATTTTGTGAATACACTTATGAGTCTTTGCAGTGCTGTCACCCTGTGGTTCCTGATGATGGGTTTGGGTTCCTAAAAATGTCAGTTAACGTACTGACTCCAATCAACTTCTGGTTAATTCAGACACCAGAAAAGAAATAGTGTTAAGTTTCAGAGGTGGACAATAACAGGGTTTCCACCCGAGGTACCTCACTAAGTTTGTACCCCTGAATTGTCGTCATTTCCTACCACCAGAAATGCTGCTTGATTTAGACCCCGAATCCCCCATCAGAACCTGACACTAGAGTTGTGGTCTGAGGGCAGTAGAAAAAAAGCATCAGGTCTCAATACCATGGGGGGGATTAAAGATCCCAGAGAGGCCCTCATTGAGTCCAGGATCTCACGGCTGCATTATTACAGGTTGAACCCCAGAAAATGATCCCTGCTTAGGAGATGGTGTGATATAAGTCAGCCTGCGATGAGTTAGGTACGTGCTCAGATCCACACGAGAATGTGAAAAATGCACAACTCTCTCTTAATCATCTCAATAAGTTTTGAGAAACTCTTTGGTTAGCCGTTTAACATTTCAGTTAATCCAAGAAATTTCAAAACTTTGGCTCGGTCAAACCTTCCAAGGAGCTTTGCATGAAACATGAAGTGCAGACATTTAAAGGTTTTGAGTGTCCTCTTCATAAAAGTATCACTGCGAGACGAAAAAATCCAGTCCTTCATTCTCAGCTCCTGACCGACAAACACAGGGACGTTTTAATTATACTGCTTAATGAGCCGCCTGTTCGGTGCCGTCTCTGCTAATGAAATTCCTGCTTCATGACTGGAATCTGAGACCGTCACCCAGTCAGCAGGAAAAGCCAAAGGGAAGTGAAGGCAACAGTGGAGCCTCGGCATCTGCTTCTTTTACGGCAAGAGATCAAGTCTGGAGCAGCTTACCTCTGCTCCTGGAGAGATCCTCTTTCACTGAGTGGGACACATCAACCAGCTTACTTTGATTAGGATTTCCTGAGAAAAAAGAAAAAAAAAAACCTGCAGGACGGTTTCTTATTCACCCCCTCTGTAGTAGTGCTTCATGGAAACTGTTCGAAGAAAGTCACAAATTGGAGAAACTTTGCAGTGCTTCACACCACGAGCCCTTTTTAAGCTGTACATCATGAATGATCTAAGGGAGTGGCTTCTGAAATTTTTGTATTAGCTCTGCATCAGATATATTAATGTCATAAGCATCAATAACATGGTCAGAAAGTGTGTCAATAATGCTTTTCAAAATAAAAGCCAAATCTGATTTTCCCTAGAGATAGATTCTCCCTTGTTTTCGTACAATGCTTTTATTTTGAAATTGTGTCTGGGATGCTTATTTGGTATAAGAAGAAACTTTCACATCTCCAAGGCTATGGTGAGCTTTTGTTTAAGAAAGTGAGATACTCTGTTATTTATTGAATAGAACCAGGTTAAAAAGAATTTTACTACTATTTCTATCTTCCCCTCTTTCATCTCTATGTCCCCTCAGCCAATGTCTCTGTGGGAACCACCTGTTACAGCCATAGACTGTACATACATGGACGCCGCCTGCCTCTTTGCCGGGTGAAGCTACCTGGAGAACAGCACCCTCTAGTAGCGGGCTGCAGTATAGATCATAAACCCAGCCTCCTCCAGCAATCCCTATGGAGCTGTGGACAAACTTTAGAAATTTATTAGACAGACTTTTAATTCCCCCTCTGCCTGGTTGCGATGTTGACATGTAGTTACTGTAAGACTGGTTTGTGCTCAAGTCCTCTTTTTTCTGTATAGCGCCATTTTTAAAAGTTGTTAGACGGTTCATGTTTTCTATGATTGACACTTGATACAGCCTATGGGCGTACAACGTTTACATAGCTCACCAGGAGGATACGCTGTTTAAGCAGAGCCTCACCACAGCGACTGCCGCTGAAAGCGAACAACGCTACTGTGCAAGTGGTGGAGTGCATACTACGCTACTGTACAATGTTGGTTTTAGCGAGTGGAGAAAAAAACCTTGTACCGAGAGCTTTTGGCTTCAACTACGTATACTGCTGGAAGGAGGAACCAAGCTGTCCACAGTATATACAGTCTTTGGTTAAAGCACAGTAGATTACTAATTATCATAGCGTTATTAGTTTTTTTTTTTCGGTCCTTGGCTCTAATGTTTATTTAGTGGGGAAAAAAAGATACCCTCCTGAAAGCTGTGCATTGTTGTGATAAGCCATGATCCTTGAATGAGGATCAGCTGACCACTTTTTGGAGATGGACCTGGCTTCAGACACAACAAAGCTGGAACTATGTTAGCAGATGTGGGGTTAGAAGTTGGACCTCCATTTGGATCCCAGTTGTGAAAAATAAAAAGGAAATCAAGTGATTTCACCCACGGAAGCTGGTTTTTTCTTTGTCTTTTTTTCACAAACTTGATCATTTAACAGACTTACATAGTTAAAATAGTTTGATGGAGAACAACTTAACCTCCATTTTGTACTTGCACTTACAGACCTGTACTGTGCCTGCAGCCCCAGTACTCCTGACTTTAATTCATGTAGGATGGTATAGTCCTTTACAGACCTCTTCTGGACAAAGAGTGTTAGCATAAAGTTGGTGTCCTGAAAAAGTACTGTTTATTTCTCAATGTGGGCAAAGATTTATTTTTATAAGGCATCTGCAATAATACCAAGGACAGAAAGAGCTCAGCTGAGTTGAGAGACAGATGGATGAGCTGAAACTGACAATCTCAGCGCCACCTCTTTGTCTGTTGTTAAGTAAACTGAGAGTTAGTGCTCAACATTACCAACACGCTGCCTGCCTCTGTCGGCCTCAGTAAACAACAGTTATAACCGAGGATCTAAGCGGCAGAAGCAGCAGCTGATCAGCCTCTGTGAGTCACGATCCCTTCAGAGTGCAGAGCAGACAGAGTCAGTGTTGGTCCGTTGTGCTTGAGTTGGTTTCACACTTCAAAACACTGTTATTAGTCTGTACAACTCAAAAACATCCCTCTGGTTTCTCTGCCTTGTAAACCAGGGGCAGCTCTTTGGTCTTGGGGGGGATGGGTTCCCACTTATTTGCACAGGTGGGATACAGAGCTGCTTTTATTGGCAGCTCTTATCTGTGACTCCAGGGCAGTTAGTGTCTTTATTTCTACCTTAATACAAAATTTGTCCTCTCAAAGTTTTTCACTTTGGCATCCCTCCATTAGTGCATGTATCATATTCCTGGTATATGTGTGTAGCTTATGCTCAATGACAGGGTCTCAAAACCAGTTTTCTTCATCATCACCATCATCCTCCTCTTCTCTCCTTAACACGACCTGACAATATTTGCCCCTCTAGACTCACTAGCAAACAAAACTCCTGGATCATGACTTCATCAGAGAGGCAGACGGATCAGTTCATTTCACTTTATTCTGCAGGAACTCCGTCTGCCTCCATGCTACTGTTACTTCCAGCTACTTGACGCCGACCAGTGCCAAGTTTAATGACTTGTTAGAAAGATCAGGCTCAGTGCAGCTTGGCACCAGGGTTTCTCAGATGGACTCCCATTACCAGCATTCCTTTTCAGCAGTAGAGCATTTGCCCATCTGTCTCCAGTGACTGGAAGTGAAGCTTTATCTGGCTTATTACTGACTTAATGAGTAACTCTGATAGGTTTTTAATCTGTAAAAATCCTCGCATTTGCTTGATTTAAATAGGAGCTGCCACCCATTGCGGATTAAAATCCATTCAAATCTTTGCAATGATGTAACACAGAACATTTGAAAAAAGTTTTATCATCCCATTTGTGGAGTCCCGCCTGTCAGTGCCAGTTTTTGTTCCCATCAGTGGATGGTAACCCTTATCTTCTAAGCTAGTGTGCCCCTCATGACTGAGGCCAGCTGCCACTCACAACTAGGGCTGGGTATCGTGGCCAATTTCCCAAATCAATTTGATTTCGGCATAAAGGTCCTAAACCCATTTGATTCAATTCAGTCTGCTCTCAAATAATGACTTTAGACTTCAGTTAATGTTGTGCTCTTTCACATCAATCTGACGTAATCATGCCACTGCTTCGTTATGAATGAGAATCAGTATTTCAAAATTTAAATGAAACTGATCCAAAATCGAGTGAATAGACTTTTTTTACCCAGCCCTACTCACCACCATACAACCAAGATGATGAAAGATGGAGAGACTTGATGATTATCTGGAGTCAAATGCCTCAAAGCCTTTTGAATTGTTCAACATTGGAGGTAGGGCCGTAATGCAGATTTTAATTTGAGGATTATCAGTGCAGCAGGTTCACAATAAAAGTACCTGATGGAGGTAGATTAGGAGGATGCATAACAGTTTCCATTGATATATATCTGATGGTTAAAACTTGACAAATTGAGGTTAATTCAGATTTGTTGAGGGCCACTGATCACTGATTGGAGGGACGAACAGAGGAGTGTTTTAATAAAGAGTAAGACCACTCAGTTTTTTTCACATTATTCCCACTTCTACACTGTATGGCTGTCAGTTTTTCAAAAGATTAACTTTGGATGAATATTAAACTTGACATGATGTTTGCAGACATTTGAACTTTGCTGTGTTATTGGTGACGACATTACCCCAAGACTCTGGCGAGGGGCCCACGATAAAAAAGGAAGTCACACAATGTTGCACATTTTCTGTTATTTTGTTCTACAGTGGTGCCACCTCCACTGCTGCCACCTATTTAATGTGGGTGGTAACTAGGGCCCGACCGATTAATCGGCGTGCCGATTAAATCGGCCAAAACTCACCAATTTTCGCTAATATTTTCAGAAATAAAATGCGGAGAAGAAGTTTCTGTTTCACTTCGAAAATGTTCCACCATTTGAAAAGATCCCCCGACTTATCCAGTAGATGGCGCAGCGACCTCATGACAATCTTCATCCCTAACAAATTAAAAACACTTTTGTGGTCCGAGTTTGATCTGTCGATCTTCCTGTCGGCATGAAGATCAGTACCCTACTGCATATCTACAGGATATAGTATACTGTAGATATCTACAGTTTATATATATTTTTTATAACTGAATAAATAAATTTTAAAAATCGACCGATTAATTGGTAATCAGATCCCCCCCCCCCCCCCAATAATCGGTATCGGTCGGGCCCTAGTGGTAACGCACCTTTGAGCCTGCAAACTTAACATTATTGAGTAAAACAGCCCAGTAAAAATACAGTGTAAATACAGCCCAGTCTTTTTTTTTTTTTACTTTACTGTCTATGGCGTGGATCTTAAATATTTCCACTCAGCACTTTTCAGATGTTTTGGTGCAGTGGCTTTACGCATTCGGCGAGAGGCTCGGGGGGAGTTGCTGTGATGATGTTTGGCTCTAACAGCATATCTGGGTGAGCTACACAATCTTCGTATGCCCATAGGCTGTATCAAGTGTCAATCATAGAAAACATGAACCCCCTAATAAGTTTTAAAAATGGAGCTGCACAGAAAAAAAGAGGACTTGAGCACAAACCAGTCTTACAGTAACTACATGTCAACAAACCAACCAGGGAGAGCAACATTTGTATTTTGTGTAATTAATTTCTAAAGTTTGTCCACGGCCTCATAGGGATTGCTAGAGGATTTATGACCTATACTACAGCCCATCACCAGAGGGCGCTGTTCTCTCCATGGCGTCACCCAGTGAGGAGGCGGACAGCGTCCATTCTATATACAGTATATGGTCAGGTTATAATAAGAGCGCCCTCTGCTGGATCACATGGCAAGCTACCTCAGGACCCTTGATGCGCAGGTGCACTGTATTATTATGAGTTAGAATAGCTCATTACAGTTAAAATATGAACTTTTGCTCCGGAGTTTAAATAAAGGTGTAGATTTCAGTTAAAAAGTAACAGTATACCAAGTTCATTTGTCTCCTATGCCTAATTTTTTTTTTTTTTGTACAGTTTTGCCTGTACTATGTAATCAGTAGACTCCTGTGGTAGGCCTTAACCTTGTTTTTCAAGCGTTCAGTTATTGATAAATGCAGCATTTTTTGTGCTGATACTTCAACTACAGCCCCAATGCCTCAAGATATGTGACCTTATAAAACACACCAGAGCCTGAAAATTACATCACTATACTAGTGGCCCCTAGTCTTTCAAAACAGAGACACCCAAGGAGCAACACAAGTGTACACATCTAAGTGGGAGATGCTCGGCTTCATGCAGTATGTATGCAACAATTATTCTGGCCCATTGGCTTCCAATACTCTGGGGCCCTCTTGGTTCTAGTTTGGAAGTCCGTGACTTGGGTGAATCCATAACACAGTGTTAGAGAGAGCCCTCTGCTTTGTCGCAGGCCTGTCAGAGCTTCCCTGAGAACAAAGCATCTATCAGTCACATTTGTACACTCCAGGAAACAAGCTAAACAGACACCAGATGGGCCAAACAATACAATGCTCATTCCAGGCAAGAAGTTGGCCTCCGCGGAGGTGTCTGCTGAGGGCCTCAAAGAAGCAGTCCCACGTTGATGCTGAAGCCCCCGGCTAGCTAAGTACATCAAGGAATGTTAAAACCTCTCAACAGCCTTAACAAGAGGAATTAATGTCAACAGTTATCAAGATGACGAGGATAAGGATAAGGGAGTAGATTGATGCATGTAAATGAGTTCAGCCTGAGTCAGGTTTTGCTCTGTCACGACAATATCTTTGTCGCATAGTAAATATGTTTGTGTTTTAGGCTGTGTCTGAACAAACCTTTTAATACCACCTAATGTGATAACAGAGCTCCAACACTTAATCAGTGTTATGATTGTGGGGTGTGTGTGTTTTAATATCACTTTTATAACATCCACATTGGAAGTACTGTGACTCATAACCATTGGCAATGAATCTAATTAATGCATTGGGAGGGATTTCTTTAAACAGTGTTAGGCAAAAATGTGGAGGTCAGACTGTAAGAGGAGGTGCACATGACTATTTCTGTATTTATTCATTTTTTACACAACTCATCTGCCCAAAAGACACACATAGGTGCAGTTGTGGTGTAACTTCTCAAAACAGATTTTCAGTATTTCACACAGTCTGGTCCTCAGAACAGAAGTGTGCGTTTGGTTGACTTAACGTCATCAGGCAGGACCTGGTTTACTGAATAGTTGTTCATTGATATTTTAAAGATTTTAGGGAGGAAATGTCTGTCGTATATTGTGCCTAAACTGTATCACACTAGCACCGTGGTTCTCAGTCCAGTCCTCGAGGCCCACTGTCCTGCATGTTTTGGATGTTTCCCTGCTCCAACACACCTGATTCAAGTGATCAGCTCGTTATCAAGCTCTGTAATAACGAGCTGATCATTTGAATCAGGTGTGTTGGAGCAGGGAAACATCCAAAACATGCAGGACAGTGGGCCTTGAGGACTGGACTTGAGAACCACTGCTCTAGCAGTTTTATGTAGTCTTTGGTTAAAATGACAAATGAGCAATGTGTAGCCAGCACAGGCGTGTGGACACAGCCATACCAAGCCTCTACCCTGGCTCTTCACAACAAAGATGTTTCATTACAGTATCCTGTGTAAGCATCTTCTCATTACCCGTTACCATCTCCTACTGAAAGCACATGCTGCCCAGTTTTAGAATTATTGTTAATTCTTGTTTTAAATATTCTTCTTCTTTAGCTTTAGCTCTTATAAAATGCACAACGTATGGGGTTTGTGGGAGTCTGCAGCACTTGGAAAACCCAGAGCCAGACCCTGCAGTGCTCCCACAACAGTACTCAGTCCAGATAGAGCATTAAGAAAGGCTTAGACCCCCCCTTTGAGTCTTAGATTCCAGTAATTACAGAGTTGAAGAATTGTGTTAGCCGAGAAAAAAGGGGCAAGATCCCCCAGCAGGCTGCTGTGTTTGACATGAAAGTAGAGCTGAGCTGAGCCTGGAGTGATGGAAACAGACTTGTAGTGTAAACACATGTTCAGGGGCTGTTCCAAGCTTTCAGGACTGATGAACACTAAACCGCCTGCAGAGCTTTGCTATCACATCCAGCTCTTTGTCTCTCGCTCGACGTGATATTTTCTAACACTGTCAGTGTATCAAGGGATATCAAATGTTTATATCCTTTCTTTCTCCTCAACCTGAGTTTAAATTGTTTGATTAGGACTGTGCTGTGGCTTACATGCTTTGTCAGAAAACATGATAGTGCTGTTTGTTGTACCTCTCCATCCCTCATATCAGGAGAAGCCTATAATACCAAAGTTTTATGGCTGCATAATAATAGGTTGGTTTGCCTGTCATTCTACACCTGGATTATCTCTCTGCTTGTGTTGCCGGCTCTATAAACTCACCCTGCAAAGTGAACCAGTATGTGGCTGATGAAAAAAAAAAAAGTGTTCCTCTATCTAAATCTATCTGTAAATGTGGGAATACTCTAAATGTGGAAAGTCTGCTAGGAAAACAAACCACAGGAGCCATAAGGACATTATCACATATGGGCTGACTTATTCTGGCCCTGCTTTTGTTAATCAGAGAATCATGTGACAGTAACTCAGTGCACTGAAAGATTGCAGACACCCAAACAATCAAACCTAAAAGAGGGGAGGGAATGTCATTTTATGGTGTGTTAAGATAGAAAAGATTTTGAATTTTACCGTGAGCTCATAAAACTCCTCCTTCATGCTGGTTGCTTCTTTCAACAGAGGATAGATGAAGGAGAAGCAGCAGCAGCAGACTGCTAGTAAGCTAGCTATAACAGCCCTCTGAGAGATGGGTGGACACTTTTAAAAACTGAAACTCAGAGTTTAATCATGGATCCAGAACCAGTGTGAGAGCAGGTACATTTTCAGGTTACTAATCAATTGGAAATATATACTTCCTAATCATTCTTTTAATTTTTATCTATCAGTTTGTAACTTACGATCTGCCAGAAGCAGTGTAAGGTAAATGTTAGGGGTTGAAGAAAAAATCGATACAGCATAGTATTGCGATATTTTGTCTGGTGATATATGGTATCATCTTGTTTACAACGTATCATTTTTTTAAGTAATTGTGAATATGAAGTCAAATCTATGATAATGGAAACATAAAATCAACTTTTTGTCCAGTGAGGTTGGCAGAGGTGGCATCATAGAGCAGGATAAAATTAGTCCAACAAATATATATAAGGTTTGCAAGATGCTCTACATTAAAATAATTAGCTAAACAGTTGAAAAATGATATAAATCGCAATATATTGTATCGCAATACTTACTGTATTGCAAAGTGTAAAAAATCTTAATAATATCGTATCGTGGCCCAAGTATCGTGAAAACATTGTATCGTGGGGCCACTGGTGATTCCCACCCCTTGTAAATGTATGTTTGACCATGCAGGAAATCAAGCCTAAACCTAAGCACAAGAGGGAAATATCAACATTTAGGACGGATTTGAGACAGTGTCTTCTACAAAGAAATTTGTGTCACGGGGTTAGTGATGTGGACATATCATACATTTTGATATCCTTAGAGATAGATGATGACATGTGAGGTAAGTGCATGTGTTAGTTAAAGGGATATTCCGGCGTAAAATGAAGTTATGGTCAAACACACCGCAACACAGAGTTAGACACCCCGTCGAGAGATGAATGTTGCCGACTGCTTGCTTCTTTAGTTATACCAACTTGAGTAACGACCGCAGATAGCAATACTCAGAGCCACGCGCTCAACCAAAAAAGCCACTCTATAGCCACAAATAATGCTCAGAACATCACCTAACTTCATCAACAGTACATATGTGTGATTTAAGATGTAGGGTAGGACATTTGAACAGCTTATTAACATCTTGATAGACGGCTAGTCTGCTAGCTACAGTGCAAAGTTGTGTTGTTTTGCTCTCCATGGAGAAGTCTTGGTAAGTGTCATGGAGGTCCTTGGCGAGGTTTGAAATGTTTCCTCCTGTTAGTGACACAGTTTCAAAGCATGATTGGCTCACATGTTTTGATAAGCCAGTGGGTTTCCCCCTCACAGTTAGATCTGAAGGGTAAGTAGTCCCTCAGGGGGACTTTGCAGCTGGTTGTGTTGAACAGTTCAGAAAATGACTCGCTGTTGTCGCTGGTCATGGACATGCTGAGTTAGAAGCATTGCTTTTCTCTCTCTCAGTCAAAGTGCAAACATGAATGATAGGAAGTATCAAAAAAGTGTAGAAATCTCTGTGCTGTGCAACACGAGTGAGATACAGTGAAGCTGCGATTTTCCAGGGATGGATGGACAGTCACTCCATGGCTGCAACTGGTAGTTGAGACACAGTTCATGAAGGAGGAGGAGGGGGAGGGGGAATCAACCCAGCTCTCCAGGTGATGTTATGAACACAGACACGGTGGTGTTTGGGTATCAGATGTAAAAAGACTTTGACTGTGGAATGATTGTTGGTGCCAGACAAGCTTGTTTGAGTGTTACAGTGACTGCTGATCTCCTTGGATTTCCTGCACAAAAGTCTCTGAAGTTTTCATAATTTTCGCAAAATCTCCAGTGAGCAGCATATCAAATAGAGAAAACACCTTTCTAATGAGAGGTCAGAGCAGAAGGGCCAGACAGGTTCAAGCTGTGATGTGAAGAGGAGTTACAATAGAGCTCTGCAGAAAAGAAACACAAAGAAACTCACTAAATCTTGAAGATGATTAGAACTGGAGAAAATTCAACTGATCAGTCAAAGTCTTGATTTCTGATGCTGCATGCGGATTGAAGTCTCATACAGTTACAGTGCCTTGAAAAAGTCTTTATACCCCTTGAACTTTTTCACATTTTGTCACTCACCACACTTTTCAAATTTTTGTTAGTTTAAATGTTTGAAAACCATGTATCATTTTCATTCCACTTTACAATTATGTGCTACTTTGTGTTGGTCTATGACAAAAAATGTTTGTGGTTGTAGAGTGACAAAATGTGAACAAGTTCAAGGGGTATGAATACTTTTTCAAGGCATGATATGTGCAGAGTTTTAAATCCATGTACTGAAGTCAATTCACCTCATTTTGAGTTGATGGCGTTGGGAATATTTCCTTCGACATCATAGGACTATATACAAACCGAGCATTAGGTTGTCAACTGCACAGATCACTGTCTCTTTAGTAAATTGTAGAGCCCTTTGCTGAGTCCACATGCCCTTAATTTGATCAGACCAATCCTCTTTTCATCCTGTTTTTGTACCACCTACCAAGGCAGACAGGTGGCAGGTTGTTTAGAGTCCCACTGAGAGGGTGTGGAAGGGTTGGAAAAAAACCTCAGCACATACTCTCTAAAGGCATGTATCCGTGAATGGGTGCAGATATCACTCCTGTCAAAGAGAGGTCTTCAAAATCAAACTGCATTGCCTCATCTCAGGTTACAGTAAGAGTGAGAACGACGACCAGCTGATGACCTGATGAAGGTACAGTCAGATATCTGATATAAATTACTGGGATTATTGGATGTCACTTCCTGGGCCTAAAGACCAGCTGTGGGCTCAGGGGTGAGGGAAAGTTCCTCAAAAGGATCTGGATTAAGAGGACATTGAGCCTGTACTCACTGCACTCGTACGTGTACTCTCTAGTGTATCTCATTCTTGAGTTTCTTTGAAAAAAAAACTTTCTGTCTGTCTGTTCATCTGTGTCTGCAGGGAAGAAGAAGGAGAAGGTGCCAAAAACAGGTGAGGAGGGTCGAGGGAAGAGAAACGCCATCCGCCTGCATGAAGCATACACTGTGGAGACAGTGGTGGTGGCAGACTCTGATATGGTGCAGTACCACGGAGCTGAGGCCGCTCAGAGGTTCCTGCTGACTGTCATGAACATGGTAGGAACCTAAAACCCCAAATGTATCCTCAGTCCTCTGACTTTATCTCATCTGTGCTGGTAAATAATACGACGCTTTTTGCCGTGTTTGGTTACCACACTCTGAAGTTTTAAAAGTAGAACGATGAGAGGCAGACGTCCAGGATTTCCAGAAAGAATGTCAAATTTGAGTTTTCCACTTAGTCCATTTGAACGTTGAAGAGCTGCTGTTGATCCTGGATCATGTCTGTATATACAAGTGAGTAGGTTTGATTTTGACATTGGTGTGACACAAAATGGACCTCCTGAAAGTTAATGTTTATGCACGCAAACACGCAAACCGACCAAATGTAAATATAAATGACACAGTTGATATTAAAATCCATGTTGACAACTTACACTTCGGGGTTGCAGATAGCATGCATTGTCTGCTTCCTGTCCAACTAGCAGGTAACTTTTACAGGCAGATGTAGTGACAGTGGGGACAGCCAATCGCATGTACCTAAGCGAGAAACTGGCAGCCAATCGAAGAGTGATATCTAGGTTAGAGGCAGGACTTCTAGCAGAGACCGACTGTTAACCCTTTGTGTGCCATAATCATTGGTTAAACATTATGGACAGCAGTTGTATTGATAGGAACTACACTGTAGCAGCTGATTATTGGTAGGGACGTGCCCCTAGCATCCCTACCAAATTCTATGCCCTTGTGTATATGATTTCTGAAGTGAGTTTTGAAGCATTGCAGTGATTTCCACTCCAGAGTCCAGAGCAGGCCACTGTGTGCGGTAGTAGGACAGGTGCAGGTGTGTTTTGGGAAGAGGGCTGAAGGGGAGCAGAGTGAGCAGATTAAAGTAATCACCATCTTAAGATCAAACAAACCCACAAAGTACCTTTTCAGTAATCACATCTTCATAAAGAGTCTTCAGTGACTCTAAATGTGAAGCTGTAGCTCTGATCACAGGATGTGTGAGAAGTAATCAGCTGTCATTGGATACAACAATTACCGACACCAAAGGAAGGCGCTTCGCTCTAACAGCTGTAAGACTTCAAAAATGCTGTTTATTCTTCTTTTGAAGTCATATTTAAAAAAAAAAAAAAGAAACCTCTGAGCGTTGTGGACCCCTTGTCATGTGACTCTGCAGGCAGTGTGTATGTGTATTAGTGTGGGGGGCTCAGCTGTTACTGTCTTAATGGCAGTAATCTAAGTTCCCAGGCCACAGGGAGGCATTAGTGCCAAAGAGGCGCTCCAAATTAAAACCCTAATGCTAACAGTGCCATTAAACAGTAACAGCCCTGTGTGTGGTTTGTGTTTGTCTGAGCTGTTCTATTTGTTGATGCTCTCCTGAGGGGAAATCTGTCTAAGCGTGTGTCCCCCTCCCTCAGGTCTACAACATGTTCCACCACCGCAGTCTGGGAGTAAGGATCAACATTCGAGTCACCAAGCTGGTGTTGCTCCACAGCCGCCCAGTAAGCCTGACTTTTCACCTCTCTGACCTCTCTAAAAGTCTGTCGACCCCAGCAACCTGACAGACAGCAGATGCTGCCCCACCCTATGTGCTGGGTTTGTGTGTGTTTGTGTGAGAAAATAGATCACAGCATTTCCAAACTGTGGCTCATGTATTCTTAAATCTGTGGTAGAAACTGTGAAAAAGTACCAGGAGAGAAGAGGGACATAACTCACTTTGTGTGTCTTCTTTAGGAAAAGCTGAAAGTGGGCCATCATGGTGAACGGTCTCTGGAGAGCTTCTGTCAGTGGCAGTATCAGGAGTTTGGAGGACCACGGTACCTTGGCACCAACCACGTACCTGGAGGGAGAGATGATATTCCACCTGTGGACACTGCTGTCCTGGTCACCAGGTAAGAAGTCAGCACTCAGGATAATGATATTCAGATACTGGCTGTAAATGTGGAGAACTGAGTCTTTCAGGGATGCTCGTTGTAGACCCAATCATGGCCCTCACCTGTTTCCAATAAACCAGTTCACCTGTGGAATGATCTAAACAGGTGTTTCTGGTTCAGTCCTTTATTTTCCCAGACTTGACCCTGAACCAGCTTTTTAGGAACATGTTACAGCATCAAATTCAAAATGAGCAAAAATTTGCAAAAAAACAAAAGTTTAGCAGTTTGAACTAAGGCTGGGACTCGATTAAAAAAGCTAATCAAATTAATCAGAGGCTTTGTAATTAAATAATCGCATTAATCCAGTGGGCCAGAGAGTTTGTTAATTTTTCTGACGTGGACTTAATCATCTTAGCTCAGAATCCACTCATCTGGTTGAGTGTGGGTTGGGTGTGGGTCACTGAACTCGGAGTCGGACGTACGTTAGCTTCCATGCTAGCTGCAACATCTTTAGCATTCAGGTGATACCAGAGGCTTGGCGTGCTGTGGTGATATGCAAATTCTTTTTTGCATAGTTTGCACAAGACTATTTTTTTTCCAGGCTTCCATCCATCTTTTTTTTAAACAAAAATTCCCATCCTTTCCAGAGCCAATCAAAGCACATTCATCCGCGACTTTGTTCATTTTTTTATGCGCTGGGTGGGACTGTAATCACTGCTGCACTCACTCACATTGAGGTGTGCTGGTATAAGCGGTATACCTGAAACTCGTCCAGTGAGAAACGTTCCGCGGTGCAAAAATACAGTAGGTGTGATTAATATGCGTTAATATTTTTAACAAGATAATATTACTGGGATTAAATAAGTCCCTGCCCTAATCTGAACAGAAACATCTTTGTTGAATATTCATTTGAATACACAGTAGGTGGAAAAGAAATTTGCAAATGTATAGGTCCTTTCACACTGGGACCGTTTTTGTCGTGCGATTATTTCGGACGTCAATATTTTTTTTTGAACCTGTATCCTGTCAATACAAGCGTTCACATCAGCAACGTTTCTCGTCCTGCGATATTGCGGCATTTATTTTTTCGGATCACGGCCGATTTTTCTAAAGTTTTGCATACTGTGTGTTCACTTCTGACCAATCAGATTGCGTGTTGTTGCGACGTCAGATTCACCGGTATATCCAACATGGCCGACCGGCTGATTTGTTTACGTGTCGGAGAACAGAGTGCTTTTTGATAAAAGACACAAACATTACAAAGATAACGACCTGAAGGACAACTTGTGGAGAGTCATAGTGTCAGGTTTCTCATATGACGATAGTTTGTGTGCTTTAACAGTTTGCTAAACATCTTTGTTTTAACTTTCATCTGTGCTAAGTAACTTTATGTTTTTATTGACACTTGGCACAATGTCCTGACTTCACTGGAATTAGAGTTTGTAGTAAAATGTGCTTGTACATTAGGGTGTCAGAGCTGCTGTCAGAGAGCTGGACATAATGTGATAAAAGAAGGAAGGGATCTGATTATAGATCCTGTCCTTCCAAAATATCCAAATTATCAGTTGCTTAATTGCATTTCTGAAGATCTTCACTGATACTAAGCCCCTGAAATAAACTGATTACCCAATAAAAACAAATACAGTCCGTCCACTAGAAGATTTGATCAATCAGAAATCTGAAAATGTTTTAGCTGTAGCAGTGATACCTCAATCAGTGAAAGAAGGTTTTAAGTTTTGTTTTTCTGAGAAGAGATGGTGAGGCCTGGACCCTGGGAATACTCTGGTATAGTTTGTGAACTTTGACCTTGACCCATTAGCACCTTCAGGTCATGACACTATGCCTTCACATGCTCAGAGTATGACGTAAGACTGTCACAGCAGCTCAAATACTTTACCTCATTGCATTTGTAGTTGATTTCTCTAATCCAGTAAGTGATTGAAGTGGTCGCCCAATACTTTTATTATGGAAATGATTCAGAAAACTCAAAGAAAAGAACAGGCCCACAGTTTTTGGAGCTGTTCACGGTGAAATCTGAAAGTTTATTAATCTCTTTCATTAACATCCTGCAGAAGTCAGTACTGGAAGTCTTGGCCCCTGAGCCGGGCAGTCCTCCTCCTGTTCATGAAAAAGGGGGAGGAACAGGGGGGTTCATATCTAATCACGTCTTCCTCAGTCTGTCAGTGAGGCAGGTTTGTTCTTCATCCTCATGTTTCAATCCCAACAAGGCGGCATCTGGCACAACATGACACATTCCTAATTTAGGATTAGCTATTATTATCTGCTGTAACTCCACTGCTGGGGGGGGTTTACCAGGAACCCTTTGGTTTTAAATGAGTACTCATGTCTGCTGTCAGATCCTATCCTGTCTCCTCTTGCTGCGGGGGGAGGTAGGGGGGCATAAATACAGTGGCCTTTTGTTCTGGAGCCGTGGAGCGGGAGGAGCGGGATGCTGCCAGCAGCAGTCAGTGAGAGAGAGGCGGCAGGCGGGCAAATTAAAGCGTGTTGCAGCGCTCTCTCGTTTCCTTTTATGCCCGCACACTCAACGCTGTGTGTGTGTATGTGTGTGTGCGCGCATGTGTGTGTGTGTGTGGTCACTGTAGCCAGGCTTATATGGATGACATGTCTGTAACAGCTTATTAACAGTCTCTTCTGAGACGATAATCAGATATTTGATCCTGGTCCATGTTGGTTTCAGGTCTTTGATACAGACTCCAGTGCTGCCATCCTGCTGCCACATGAAAGGGTTTCTAATCTGTGCTCGGATGAAAAGTGAAGCAAAATTTAGCTTCATGTTTCTCACCCAAGTTTGAGCGCAATATGATTTTTTAATTTTTGGTCTTGATAATAACAAGCCATGAATATTTTCCTGGTGTTCATAAAATCACCTCGAATCTCTCTGAGCTGATGAAAATAATAGAATCCTGACTGAACACTATTGTGCCGCCTGCTGTGTCTCACTCGTTTGAAGCAAACCCTCTCTGTCCTCCTGAAAAGCAAAGTACGAGCTCTGACCCTGCCCTCAAACACATCTAACTTTCACCTCATTATCATGAGGTCAGATGGGTGTGCAACAAAGTTTGAAAGCGTGAGAAAATTGTGGATTTAATTATGGACCACTGTATCCTCAATTTGTGCTTCAGCAGTAGGGGTCATTGTGCAGCTGCAGGTGGAGAGAGGAGAGCAGGGAGAGGAGTCGAGGAGGCAGGTGTGTGTAGTTATCTGTGTGTGTCTGAAAAGCCAAGGGACATTCTGAGCATGCATGATCACTCAATACTGCCAGGCTAAAAAGTCAGCGACATTCTCACTCAAGTTGTAAGACCACATGCTCTTTGGCATGTAAGTGAAATGGTCTATTGGTATCACCAACTTTTTATCACCTTTCTCTTTCTCTCTCCGGCTCTTTCCTGTGCCTTTTTTTGTGTGCAGCTGCAGCCCTCTCCATCTGTTTACCTCAAACTCTTTCCAAATGGGCGTCAGCTCCACTTAATGTTGCTTCAACATCCAGCTGATCAGGCGCTGGAGTCTGGGAACACAGCCAGCTGTGGTGACCATTCAGCAGCCGCTGCACAAGTAGAACAGAGCTGAGTTACTCAAACAGGCTGAGTCAACTTGAGTTAGAGCGTCTGAGGGTGTAAGGAAGCAGATGAAGGTTAGAATTTAATCCCAGGTCAGATTAATAACATTTTATAACGATATTTATTAGATATGTTACTGTGTTTTGGGAAAGGGAACATCTGGTCTGGAAGCATAGACTTTAACCCTTAGAGGTGGTCCGCTCACCTCAAACTTATTGGTTACTTTTAATCGAAGCTTTCCTAGAACAGTGGCCACGACAGATGCTGATTCAAAAAGAAAAATCAGGGACCTGAACTTGTTTTTATGTGATGGTTTATTTCAGTGGCCTTTACAATTTGATATTGGCTCTAACGCACATCGTTGTATGTACACCATTTATCCATTGTTACATTGCTAAGAGGATGAGTTTTATCATTATTTGTTGGTTTTTAAGTCATAAAGGTTACACATTTTGCATTAAGCAATCAGAGAGCAGCTGAATTGGCTAACAGTCAGGATAAATATATAAGTTTAGAGTAGTCATTTGGAGTCAAAATTGGTTGGAAACTGTGCTGGTCAGCTCGAGCAATAGATCGAATATTATGAAAAGAACTTGACATCTAAAAGATTAGTTATGTTTCTTAACTCCAAAAAAGAAGTTGTGCTTTAGTTTGTAGAAATAATTTCTGCTATTTTTAAGGTTTTTTGGTGCTTTTTATGACATGAGCTCTACAGTCAACATCACTGGATTACCAGGAACCTCAAAGTTTATTTTTTTCCTCTGAACATTGCAAAGCACTTCTATCGATGGATAAGAAACATGGCAACTATGAAGTTATCAGAAGATATTGAAGTGATCCCAACCTATAAAAACAGATATAGGCAATTTGTGTTAAATTTGGTTTAAGGTTTGACCTTAATTTTCCCAATTTTTAAAAAAATTATTTGTAAACACTAGAGGCTTTTAATGAGGAATATGATGTATGTGGTTGCTGTTTGATAAATTGTGTTTGTGATAAGAAAAAATAGATATATATTTTGCTTTTGTTTTTAAACTGAAATAAAGCATTAATTAATTCATTCATTCACTCATGAACCAGGAGGCTAAAGGCTTCCCTTTGTGCCTCTCTGCTAAGTCTACAAGAAATGGAGTGTAACCCACGTAGCTCCACCCCAGCTCCTCTTTTTAATGCTATCTGATTTTTAGTGTCAGTGTCAGATTGTTTGTCAGAAAAACCACATGGCAGATTTTGGGCTGTCTGTACTTAAGTGTCATCTTCAGGCCAAACAGATTTGGATGTCTTTTGGTGATTAATGACAGCTGCTCAAGTGTACTCTACAGTTTCCTTTGCCGTTGGTGGCGATGGAAGCTTAATGTTGCATGCTGCTCAAACTTTGATTAATGTGCTTTCGCTGTAATTGAATGAATCCATTTAAAAAAAATAAAATTAAATGAACATGTATGTGTTAAATTCTACCCATGAAATGACAAATGAGAGCTAAAAGGTTAGTATCTGGTTTTTAAACCATCTGTTAACATTACTTAGTTATTGTAAAGTTGGGGTTAGGATTTTAAAATTGTAAAATCTACAATTTATTAATGGTCTATACACTATTTATAAATGATGATTACACATTAATAAACTATCTGCTTACCATTTATAGGTTATGGTTATTGTAGTGTTACCATTAATTCCAGTAATGAGTAAAGTGACAAACAGATCTGCATCCATTTGTGCAAAAGGTCATAAAGGACATGAGACACGTGATGTCCTGCAGGTCACATGTTCCCTGCATGTATGGATGTGTGTGAAACAGTAGCAGAGTACAGCCTATACTGTTCTCTGTCACACAGGCGTTTGGAAATTGACCAGAGTATGTGTCATTCAAGAGTTGATGTTTAAATTACACATGAGAACAAATATACAAATCACTCTGTGTGTTTCTGTCCATGTTCTTTTCCAGCTGAACTCTTCAGCAGAGGCTTGTCCAGTTTGCCAGGTTTTACATAAATGGGTCCTTATTTTACTGAAACCTGCTTTATAACATCTGTTTTGTGTTTCTCAAGTATGATGATGAAAGAAGGACTGAGTGTACCTGTCCCTCTTTCTCTTTCAGGACGGATTTCTGCGTTCATAAAGACGAACCCTGTGATACTGTGGGTGAGTAATACAAAGTCTGTTCTGTCTCATTTCAACTCTGTGTGTGTGTGTGTGTGTGTGTGTGTGTGTGTGTGTGTGTGTGTGTGTGTGTGTTTGCTCTTGTCCTCCAATGCTATGGATTAATTTCAGGTTCTGAAAGTTTAAGTCCTGTCTTTCAAACTTCTTACCATGAAACTTATGCACATGCTGCTTCTCTTAGGTTTTTTACAGGCCTGTAACAAATCCAAACCCTCACTTTGTGTTTGTTATTTTCTAGGCCTGACAATGTCAAACCCTTGTTACATAGGATTAATCTAGAGAGAGCCAATAAATTAATTCATAGAAATTGCACAATTGACTTTCACTATGCTTTAAGTTGGGGTATGTGTGGGATCATTTGGCTATAACTGTGCAAAATGGAAATGTAGTTTTCTTGGTGATCCTGGGTTTGGAGAAGACGAGGAGCATTTTCAGTGATACTTGAGGGACAATCTGACTTTTACAGTTTCTTACTGGCAATACTAATACAGAGCTGGTAGATACGCACACACACGCCAACAGGACTTTTAAGGAGGTATGTCAGAGTGTAGAGCTGCACATAAACAGGCTGTTTATAAGAAGCAGAGTTTGGGGGTCTAGTGTCCAGGAAGTGAACTGGAATCTGTCCAGCTATCAGCCCAATTCACAAACTTTCAATTGCTCAAACCAGAAACTCTATGGTCCCCAAGCTGAGCCCCTACAGACAAAGTCACTGCTGCATCTGTCCTGTTGCATAACAGGTGCTTCTTTATGCATGGTGGTGAGTGAGAGGACCCGCACAGGTTAATTTGGCAGAGGGGCACAGGCAGATTTAGGGGATTGACAGGGTGAACTGGACTTTACTCATTATCTGGGGATGCGCTGCAGCAGGCTGCTTGTGTGCTTTTAATTTTTAGACAGTGATTAGTTTTTTAAAGCTGAGATTTATTGGTAATAATCACAGCCTCTGTGACTTATGGCACCAATGATTGAACTCAAAGTTAAAAACTCTGCTGCTAATATTGTTGAGGGGCTGCTATCCTCCTCTTCACCCAAAGCAGCCTCGGTAAGCACAGCCAGACTATATAGCAAATCCTGTTTGTTAAAAATCGTAATTCAGTGATGAAATCTGTGTTGAAATCAGCAGGATAAAAGCTAATTAGCTAACTGATTAAGGTGACAGACCATTTCATTGTGAGGTGTTAAAGGATGGGTCTGTAAAATGAGGATTAGGGAAATGATAGTTATTGTGATGTGTTTAAATGTCATATCCAGAAGAAAAAAATAGTTTTTGACAAGAAAAATCTGTATAAATACAATAGTTTGGAGGGAAAAAATGATTAAAAAAAAAAGACTTTAAGGTGGGGTAGGCATGATTCCATTAAAGAAGCATCATTTTTGTGGTGTATATACAATAAAGCTTTTAATATCAGTCAATAGCTATTAGTCATTGATGACATTTGGTAATTTAACAATATTGCTATGTTTTTTTTTATGTCTGTGTAGTCAAGATTTTGAATTTTTTGAGCACTCCGCTCTTTCTGACTGTAAACAAAGCCATTCTCCGCCTACCCCAACCTGATAGGTTGTGAGACAGATGCTGCTCTCCTTGTCGTTCACGAGCCTAAACAAAGTAAGTGAGCTACAATATCAGACAGTAGAAACCAACCAGAAAGTACAGAAAATTGTCTGAATCCTCCTTTGGCCTCGACTGCCAACACAAGCAAGAAAATTAAGTAAATACCGGAGACTCTGGAGGAAAAACGGGCGCTTAAAATGGAGGTCGACTGGACAAGAGCTAAAAAGCCAGGTCAACATCAATGACTAAAAAAAGATCAATCCCCATCCCCGGTGGTGACCAACTCCCAGAATCATAGCTGTGCCCATGCCTGGGTTTACCAGCATCCATTGTTACTACTTTACTGACTTGAGTCATGTAACTCAACCTCACTTTAGAAATACTGAAATATCCCTTTAAAAATTGTAATGAGTCAGGAGATGTTATGTAAGGTAATGTCAATTGGATGAAATGCTTACATAAAAAGTTTTCTTTACATTGTAATGAGCCTTAAAGCTCCGTGATAAATAGTATATAGAGAATGAAGGCATTGAGATCCTGCATGCAAAAATAAACCATAATCTCAGTCAATTAGAGGCACAAAAGTAGCAGCAGCGAGTCCATTTTAGGCAGCAAAAGAAAAAACAGGACTTATTTCTGACACAGACGCCCAGCTGCAGCTTCCTCTTCTCTACAAGTTGCTAAAAATGATGCTGAAAGGAAATGAGGATCCCTGTCATACAGATTCAGTCACAGCATCCTGAGATCTGGTGATAGATTCTCCTTGGTAACAAAACAGCAAAGAAAGTACGTCATATGGTGATCAGTCGAGTCACCTTCTGAGATAACCTGTTGAGCTGCTCTAACACTGATTTTGTCTTTCTTTTCTCTTTGCACCTAATATGTCTGCATCAGCCTGTAGGGAGTATCTGAGCTCTCCCCTGCTTACAGTAAACATGCAGAGTGTCTGGAACGAGTAGTTTGGAGTCATTTTTGTAACTTTACCAGCCTGCAGTCTGTTAACTACTTCCACACAGGTGACACAGGAGGTTCAAACACGCAGACTCCTGTTTATGGAGGAGACATGTTGTTCTCACTGTTACTGAAAGACAGAGGCAGAGCTGTCTCACAGAGAACAGAATCAATCAGTCAAGAGTGGGTTTACCTGTCAGCGCAGTTTCCCACCTGTACCATACCTCGCTCAAACCACCACAGAACTCAAGTGTTGGGAGAACTCATATATTTTAATGTATTCAAAATAATTCAGCCTATAAAGTGTGCCATCTGTTGTTTACATTCTTTCTCTGCATGGAGTTCACTGAAATACTCAGAGGATAGTACCTCAGCCCGAGTACAACCCTCTGTGCTGCAGGGCCTCCTGAGAGGGTGAACAGGCTGATAACCTCGTATCTGCAGAATGTCTCAGTTTTCTCACACTGATGATCAGAGCAAAAATAGCAGTGTGTTTGAGAAACACAAGCCGCTGCGCTGAGGAAGGTTCACAGCTCCAGATACCTAAGAGGTCCTGTTAAAGTAAAAAAAAGAGGGGGCTACGGTGGTGGTACTGTGAGGAGACCACATCACATCCAAACACCGACTTCATGTTTGAGGATGATGTTTGACGTCTCCGACGAAGATTGCTTGATATGAATTTATTTCTGGAAATTTCTCCTGGTGATTGTTTTCTTCATTTCTCTTACATTTTACCAACCTACCTACTTACCTATCTTTCCTGCCTGCCCGTCTTCCTTCCTTCCTTCTTTCCCCTCCCTTTCTTCTTCCTGGCTCAGCAGGAACTGACTCTTTTTGCTCCCAAATGGCTCTACATAGCCTCATATCCACACAAGAGTCTGGTCAAATGTGGTCAACATATCATCCCCAACTCAGTCCAGAGGGGGTCTCATTGCTCCTCAACTCTCGAACAGGCTTAAGATCTGTTGTATGCAGTATTTTCTTTCTTTTTCATTGACAGAACTGTCTTGTAATTCCATATACATCTATATCAAAGATGCTACATGTCATCCAGTTGTCTAATTTGACATGGAGTCAAATAAAACCTGCCAAGAAGACTCTAGAAGTCATTCAGTGCATTAATTCACAAAACAGACTGTTCCTGCAGAGTTACTGTAGACTACTGTAAAACACTTGTTGTTGTAAATCTGGTTTACTGCACAAGTGCTTTCATGCACTGACGTTTAATCTGCGGTTGGGGGTCCACATCAACATCTTGCTGGTCATGTTCTTGTCACAGAGCATTTAAAAATGTCTGTATTGGTCTTGAAACTTTAGTAGAAGTTGTGACATCCCTTATTAGGATAGGTTGTATTCATATTGCAACTCCTATTTTGGTTTGGAGGTTACTGTAGTTGCAGCATTTTGATCTCAGGTAGCCAGCCCCCTGATATATGGTCAGTATGACTCTGAATGACACTATAAAGGTGGGTACACACCGACGAATTAGAGAAGCGAATAATTACCTTTTTAAAAAAAACTCATGAAGTCAATGCAGGCTTACGCACCGGCTACAAACTTAAGCAGAGCGAAAAAAGCGACTGAAATTTCTTTGCCCCAGTTGGGTACATTTGCAGGTGAACTGCTCTATAGATTTGTAGCCTAATATAAATCTTACCTCAGACATGTGGCAAGCCTTTGCTTTGGATCAATCGACTCTCTGTAATTCGTCCTCTCCTTCTGCAAACGTGGAGTCAGCTGATGGAGCAGTTCTTGAAATTGTCCGACGGACAATCAGAAGTATTATCGGAATATCTCGGGATACAATTAAAGCTCCTGGATCGTTGTGTGGAGCTCCCCCATCTCCTGTTGCAAGGTCAGTATTGGATGTAGCCAGGCACACTGATTCTTATTTTTCTTCTTTTATTTAATCGGCTTACAACCATGACCAGGTCATCATCACTCGAGGATGTAGTCGCCATTGTTTCTCCTCCTCTGTTCCCCTGTGGCATATTTTTACGTGAATATGCTAATTTAATTTGCGTTGCACCAGGTGTGTATAGGAAAAAGCTTAAGCCAAATATTTCGCATTTTCGCGTAGCTTCGCTCATACTCCAGTGTGTAACGATGTTGATTGATGAAAAACAGAAAGTGAAACCATAAACTCATTAGGAAAATCTTAACTGAAAGTAGAGGGAATACACTTGATAAAAGGTATACCTTACTCTCATTGACGTCAATTCGACTGATGTGCGTCACACAGCATGTTTGTAATAGACGTAACTATCAGCAGCTTCAGTTTTGTTACCATGTCTGTTTCTCAGTTGTGGTTTGTTCAAGACTCAGTCAGCAAATCCACATTTCTTCCCTCGTCAAAGTTTAATCAAAACTACTAACTTTACCTAACCTGAACCAACTGTTCCAGTGGTTTAAAGCTAACAACACGCGGGATGCAGGATGTGGATCCTGAGCTTGGATTCAGAACCATCCTCTGAGTTGTGTAATAACATCACATTTCCTGGGTTTAAAAAGAGTTGAATGTAATCATGGCAGCAATAATGTCCCCTTACAAACATGTGTTAGAAGATGAAGTCGGTGTAATATAACATACTTGCTCAGTCCAGGCTGCCAAAGCATGTTCATTTTGCTACAGAAATGTTTTCAGCCTCTGCAGCCTCTCTGCTTTGTATTATGTAATGCTGGAAGTCGTCCACCTACGACTGTGATTTATGCCCTTGGAAGTCAAAGAGTTGGCCTCAGTCCCAAAAAGTCAAAGCACTTTTCTTTTTTACTCGTTTCCCCATCTGACCACATGAACTGGGAGTGTGGTTTGTTTTGGCTTTCTTTATTATATGATATTTCCCAGAAGGCAAAAGCATTCTCTGAATAATAAATGACATTCCCTGAATAATGAATGACACAGAGAGAGAGTGAAAGTAGTAAACAAAACAGAGGTCTGCGATGACTTTGTGTTAGTTCTGCCTGCCCTGTTACACACGGCTGTCAGGGTCCCTCAGAGAGCAGTAACACCTCACAGATCTTTGTCAAAGGGAATACACCTTTGAACAGAGGCCAACAAGTCTGCAGTTCTACTCACAAAAAGGAATTCCCCATTTTTTTTGGAACACCAGGGAGGAGTATGAGAGTTTCACAAAGAGTCAGCACCTGAGGCTCAGGAAGGACCCCTGTAAGGCATCTAATTATTCTCCTCTGCACATAAAACAGTGGAGTAAGCATGAAAGCATCCTTGGGAAATGGCATATCTGTCTGGTGTTTTTATGCAGCAAGACGTTCTCCACAACAAAGGCCTGTGGTCAGGCTGAGCTGCGACCTTCTCTGAGGAGGAAGAGACGGTCAAATGAAGATGTCAATAAAACTCTGAATCTTTTGAAGTCTCTGGAGAACACAGTTTTCATGGACTTTTCAGACAGTCTGAGATTCTCCACAAAACTCCTGACTGTCATCACAAATCAATCCATCCACCCGTCTGACTACCTTGCTTTAATCCTTCCATCCTACTCCCTTTTTTCATCTTTTCCATCCTTCCCTTCATCCTTCTTTCCATCTATCCTTTCTTTCATCCTTCTGTCCTCCCATGTGTCCATCCAGTCACACTTCCATCTTACATCCATCCTTCTGTCCTTTCTTTCATGCTTTCATATATCTTTCTATTCATCCTTTCTTAAATTATTCCATATATCCTTCCATCTTAAATCCATCCATCCTTTCATTTATCCTTCCACTCATGCTCTCCTCCTTTCATCCTCCTATTCATCTATCATCCTCTCATTCATCCTTCCATTCATCCTCTTATCATGCCCTTTATCTGTCCATCCTTTTTTTCATCCTTCTTCCATCCTTTTATCCTCCTTTGTCTAACCAATCATCCTTTCATCCTCTCAGCTGTCCATCTTTCATCCAACATTTGTCCTTCTATTCTTTCATCCAAACTCCCATTTATTCAGCTATTCATCTTTTATCCATCCCTTGCCCCCTCTTGTCTTTTATCCACCTTTTCTTCCTTTTTTACTCTTAATCTGCCTTTTGTTTTATCCTGTTACCCTTCTCTAAATCCTTTTAGCCTTATGTTCATCTTCTATCCAACCTTTTCTTTCATTCTCTATCCTTCCTTTTTATTTCTATCTTTCATTTTTTCTCCCTTCCATCCATTTTCTTCATTGCTTCCGTTTTCCGTCCTTTCATGTATCCTGCTTTCCTTCCTTTCTTTTTCATCACTACAATTTTCTTTTTCTGTCCATGCATCCAGCTTTCCTTCCATCCTCTTTTCCATCCTTATATCCTTCCTGTCTTCAATCCTCTCTCTTGTCTTTTATTATTCTTTCATCCCTCCTACCGTCTGTTTGCTGTAAGTTTTAGAAATTTTATAAGAGTCCTCTTGTCCATGACTCAGCTGCTGTATTTGAAGGGACCTTCCTCTTAAAGGTTAAGTATATCCTATATTCTAGTACTTGATGCAGTCCTGTATTCTGAAAGTATTCTGAATCTGAAAGTTTGTTCACTTTGATTGATGTATCTGCTGGCCTGGTCCTGTGGGGTCATGGAGTGTTACCCTACATCCCACTGTTCCCACACATTATCACTTATTATCAGCATAGCTATGAGGTCATGGAAGTGGATCCAGACAGAGGCAGAGCTGTGTGCTGTGAGGCTCTGTGGCACCTCCTTGCCATGCCTGGCCCTGCTCAGCTCTCTCCTACCATAATACTCTCAACCTGCTAATCGTCCTGCACAATGAGAACACTCCTGCTCTTTGTTTGAGCAGGCCCAAAGTGTGTGACCTACTTTGAGCCTCACTATAATCACAGCACTCATAAAAGGTCCTGCTTCAAAAGCTCTACCACCCACATTTCCCCTCCCTGTTTCTCCTCTCTGGGCCATCTCAGGTCCTTTCAAGTTAAAAGCCCTCAAGATTCATCTAACAACATCAGATAAAACTGCACAATCACCTCCATTATTCTCAGAAAAATGAGGAGGATTTGGCATTTATTAAAAGTTGCACGAATAAGTATTTCGTGTTTTGACCTGATCTGTGAGATGAGTGGGTTGGAAAAGACTCTTCTTTTATTTCCTAATAAAGGACAACTCAAAAGTATTGTTGTGTTATTGTTCACTATTAACAGAAAGAAAGCCATTTTAAGATATATATGTATATTTTGTGTTCTGCAATCAAAATTCAATTGCTTTCTGTCTGTGGTGCCTCCTCTGCCACCTTCAGATGGGTGGCAATTAGGGATTGGCGATATAGGCAAAAAAATGTATCACAGTAAGATAGGCCATTCTGACGATAACGAAAAAGGTCCCAAAAAGTATTATTATAATTCCGAATTAGGCCTGTCGCGATAATCAATAAATCGCCTTATCGCTCGATAAATAAAAACGAGGTCGATAACTTTGCCAGCCTCGATAATTGACGTGCGTTTGTTTTCCTACTCTCTCGCTACCAAACACGCTGGATGAGAGAAGAGGTCTCACTCTGCGCATTGTTCTCGGCACCTGGGGGCGTTGGCTCTATAGCGGAATGAACGGAGTTAGTGAACCCTCCTGTCAGTCATTCAGTGTCTTTGTTACGAGGGGGCGCGCGCGCAGGTACACGTAGGCGCGCACAGGCACACAGACACAGACTTTTGGATACGGTGCTGCAAGTGAGCGTCGTGAGTGAAAAGCAAGCTAACAGAATAAACACGACAGCTTTGGTGTCTAAACCGAACGCAACAGCCCAAGTGTGGGAATATTTCGGCTTTAAACCAGTTTTGTTTTCGTCAACCACAAAACTCCACGTGTGTGTGTGCGCGCGCGCGTGCGTGTGTGCCTGTGTGTTGGAGGAGCACAGCAGGCTGATGAGAGCTGTCAGAGGGGACTGAAGCTGCTCCTATATGTTTAGCGTTTAACTGACTGAGTTTTGCAACTCTGTTCGTCATTTTCGTCTCGTCCCATCAACGTAAACGCACTTTCGTCTCGTCACATTTTAGTCATCTCCGACTTAAGTTTAGCTCGTCAACGTTACGTCTTCGTCGTAGGAGAAAAGGGAAATATTTTAGTCAACGATAACAACCAGTGTTGTTCTCGTGTGGAAATTAAAGTTTATCACTTTTGACAGGGTGTACTCGCATTATTATGCCATATAATATCATTATCTATAATTTAAAAAATGGTGTCAATAATATCGTTTATCGGCGATAATTTGTAGCACAATTATCGTCCAGCAAAATTTGTTATCGTGACAGGCCTAATTCCAATCTATATTTTTGACTCATTTTGTCTTGCGAACATCAGTTAGAGTAGTCAATTAAGATACTTAACCACAAGTTTGAGTGGTAGGTTATGGAGAAAACTAATGACATCAAAAAGTCTCAAATGTGAAAACACTTTCAACATTTGTTGAAAACTCTTATTACACAGAGTGAACAGCAGCAGATCCACTTTCCGATGTCAGAAATACCTGATTGCGCTCATCCCTCATGTGGAGCCTCATTCAGTAACGAGCTGCTCAGAAATCTCTCCTTCATTACCTTCGGCCATGTTTGTTTGTTATTCTGCTCTGTGTGGGCTATGGCTATGAGTCTGTTGCTCACGCTCATGTCATCAGTTCGCATTTATCATTTTTATCATGAGATGGCAAATATATATCATGACGATTTATTGTGAACTATAATTTATTGCCCATCCCTAGTGGCAAGCCATCATTTAAGGCCACAAAACTGCTATGGTGATATTCTGGATCATCATGAGCAGCTCAGTACAGTTTGAATATAAACTTCTCCAGAATTTGAATCAATGTTCAAATGTTGGATAAAAAGTGACAACCCTATTATGTGTAAATAGTCCTTAACATTAAGTACAGTAGAAACCAGCGACTATGGCTTAGGCTCTAAACATGCTCCCAGTGGGTCAGGGTCTACACCCTCAGAGCAAAAACAGACTGTGAGTACAGATTTATGATCCATGTGCATGGTTTGGTTTTGGTATGACTGCAAATCTGTGTGATTGCAGTAGAAACCCAGAAAGGTTGTAAATTTGAAGAGATGATGTAGATTTTGAAAGTACCCAGTTACATGGTATGCAGCACTCATTTTTTTCTCTCCTTTCCTCCCATTTGACTAGCAGCAGTCATGTGACACATTCATGTCCTTGGTCTAATGTCATCCCTTAAGTCAACAGCGAAGCATTTTACTCTCAGAGTGATAAATCAAAGAAGAAACCACACAGACAGAGGAGCTGGACAAAATTGAGCTATTTTTGATGCGTTTAATGACTAAACTGATACAATTGCTTTTTTAAATACCCCATTATACTGCTCTTGTACCACGTCTGAAGCAGAAACCATGCATGCAGAGGTGCTACCATGGGATGGATGGTTCCTCTGAAACTATTCAGATGGTGATCATTGGTCACCTTGCAGCCAATCGGACTTTTTGTTCTAACCAAGTTTAAAGTCAGGACATCTGGGGGTTAAAGTCGTGTTCCTCACCTTCTTTTCAGGCCTCATTTCGTATCATGGCCTTACAACAGTGCTGTTACAGATATATGCCCTTGTCATAACAGGCAGTATGGAAAGGGGTTTTAACTAGTGTGCTGACTCAACTAGTCCCCTTCTTTTCTGCTTCATCAGGTTGAGTATTTCTGGAATGATGCAGAAAATCACTTCAGATCTGCAGAGGGACATTTGGTGTTGAACTTAATAGTGTATGAGTCCCGCACAGGTCTCCTGAGTTGTTGCACTGTGGTGGGATCTTCAGCTAGTTTTATATCTAACTTGCTCGTCAGTCAGGGCCTCTTTACTTAAAAAAGATATCTTCATGCAGTAGTTATATTTGGTAGTATGAGGCCCCTGCCTTTCCACGTGTGTTTGTGGAATGCCAAAGCCTGAATGGGGGAGAGCACGGTTCTTCTGTTTAATGTGCGTACATGAAAAGTTATGGCAGGAAGAGCAGCATCAAAGATAAAGAAAAATCAGACACAGCATTAAAGGGATATTAACACACCGTAACACTGAGTTAGACACCCCCTTGAGAGATGAATGTTGCCGACTGCTTGCTTCTTTAGTTATACCAACTTCAGCAACGACCGTACAAAAGCAACTCGGTGATCGACTCGTCAGGGCTCCCCCCACAAACAAGCATCTGCTGGAGGAGAGTAGGTGAGTTGTGTTTAGTCTTGTTGCTCAAGAAACCAGGCAAAGCAAAAAAGATGTTTGATGGCCACTATGGCTGAGACCTTATGTACTATTGATGAAGTTAGGTGCTGTTTCGATCATTGTTTGTGGCTATAGAGTGGCTTTTTGGTTGAAGTTTGCGCCATAAACCACTGTGTATTGCTATCCTGCGGTCATTACTAAAGTTGGTATAACTAAAGACACAAGTGGTCAGCAACATTTATCCCTTGAGGGGGTGTCTAACTCGGTGTTACGGTGTGTTTGACCATATCTTAAATTTATGCCAGAATATCCCTTTAAAAGGAGGACCAGAGATAGAGGTGGGTTAAGTGAAACATACCGTGGGCCTAGCTTAACTTTGTGGCCTGTCTGGACTAACACTATGCTCCAATAAATAATGCAGCATTTCTACTTTATGTGCTCCCAAGGTCATAACTACTGCTGGAAGGATTCACCTGTTTTTATTTGTTTTTTTGTTTTTTTTTCCCTATTTTGATGTAATATCAGCAGACGGTTCAGGCTTATGGGGTGAAGATATTTAACGAAAGACAGGGTCTCACGTCAGAAGACTGATGGAGGTCTAAAATAAAGACGAAACAGCAGGGCAGGAACAGAAGCAGTATTGGTGGTGGGTGGGACTGGGCTCCAGTAATATTTGTAGCAGTATCCCATTTCCTGTGTTTGCTTTACTGGAGCAGATATGTAACTGGAAGATTAGGGCCTGGTGGGATGTTGACGTTGAACAAGGCCGGACTGGAGATTGTGGATTGACTTTGTGGTGGAGCTGCAGCCTGGTGGGAGGTAACGCTGCGCTGAACCCAAGCAGAGATACAACAACACAGAGACACAGTGTTGTTTCAGTGAGGGGGCCTTCTATCAACTGGAGGTCTGCGCTGATTGCCTCCATAGATTTTATCAATTGTCTCTCCAAAAGGCTTTTAGTGTGCTTATAAAGAAATGTAAGAGATCCGCTGTCATGGCAGTGTGTAACTGTACAATGTTGCACAGCAGGGATAACAGCTGAGAATGAGCCATGGATGAGGCGAATAGACTTAAGTTTGAATATGAATATATGGACACACAGTCACACTACAGTCACTTAGGATTTTGGTGTCTGTGAGTCTTTTCCTGCTCTCAAATCAAAACTTATATACTCTGACTTCTATTTTCTCACCTTGGGTCTTACCTGACAGTGATCCTGACAAGCACATGGACAAGCCACTGACATTGATATGGAGCATAGAGCTAATAAAATGAGGGTGTGAGAGGTTGAATTAAAAAAAAAGAAAGAGAGAGAGAGAAGAGGTCATGTTTTAAAATGTTATATAGTCCATCTAGCTGCAAAGTGTTGTTTGTCAGGTCTTTGTGGTCAGTCTTGGTAGTTTGAGCTTCGCTGCTTCTTTGCATCTTCTGCTTTCTTCATTATGTCTCCTTTGACACTTTGTGTTAACGTCAAACAGTCTATAATTTATGATCATATATGAAACAAGTATCAATTGAAAATATGCTAGTATGTGGACAGGAAATAAACAACCTTTGGAATATTACAGAAGAAATACCATCACAGTCATTTAAACCATCAATTCATCAAAAATTAACAACATCAGGGGGCAAAGCTTATTCACTTCTGACACGTTGATGTTGTGATTACAATTTACCAAGTTGGAAGCTGGTTGAAATGTGGATATTTAGACCTGACTTCACCCAAGTTTTAATGTACAAACTTGCTTAGTGTTCTTTAGATATGAGCACTGCTGGTGTAGAGACTCCATGACATATCTCCCAGGTCCAAATATGTAGACCGAGTAAGGCTGGGTGATAAATTGAAAAATTTACAGATTCAGAAATTGGTATATTCAGTGTCAAAAAATAAATTAAAAAAAGTTTGTTTTTAGATGTGTGTAGGTAGGCTATGGTCTCATGACCCTTTGAGACGCTGTCCTTTGTCGAAGATGTGACTCCACCCCATTCAGTCCATAACAAAGAGGGAAAGACAGGTGAGGAGATGGAGGACGGTTCAAAAGTTGTAGCGGCTGAAGTTGACAAAGTTTATGTGGGAGGGGCTGAGTAGCGTGTGGAGTAGTTATCATCCATTTATCGTTATCGAGGTGAACTGCTCAATATATCGTGATATTGATTTGAGGCCATATCGTCCAGCCCTAAGACAGAGCATTAGAAGCGCCAGGAGGATGTGTGGCTGGTTAGTGGAAATGCCACCCACTGCAATCAATTCCCTGTGTCACTGAGACAATACCAGCTACCAAGTTTTTTATTGTACCTTAATTTTGGAAAACATGAAAATGAAGATCGGTTTTTCATAGTACATTATGCATTTTTAGTCATATAATGAGCAGACACATAAGGTAAATTGGAAAATCTAAAGGAAGTCTGGACGCGTTTGTGAGAGCGCAAGGTCAGTGTGACATGAAAGCTACTGGGGTCAGTTTACAATGAACACGTTTTTTGCAAGTATTTTACATGCAAGCATGTGTGCATATTTGTGTGGTCTTGTACGCGTATGTGTGTGGTGTGTGTGTGTGTGTGTGTCTCTTTCAGGCTGACTCAGGTCTGTGCTGTCATCACTTGGAGCTCTGACCGTCCAGGATTCAGCAGCTCTATGGAAAGCCCTTCATGTTGTAACGGCTAATTAGCTCTGCATAAATGACCGGCTCAGGCTGCTAGCAGGCCGCGCTGCACTGTGAGTGCAGAGGCCTGATGAGGCTTAATGGGTCTTTTGAGGCTGTCTGGCTGGATGTGCTGCCAGCTCTGTGAGCCAGCACATCACTGTTTGATCAGCCAGCTAGCCCCTAACACTGGGTCAACACCCCGCGCTGATAACGCAGCCCTGTGGATCGCGGCTCTTTGTGCGGGGGCTTTAGCCTCAGAAGTGCTAGCTTCGACGGATCTTTGATGCTGCAGAAAATCTCAGGCACGCTCTGACCTCACTGTCCAGCTTTGTTTTATTCACGTGGGCTTTGCACGGCTGATGCTGGCATTCAGGGCCATCGAAAGAGAGTCTGATCAGCTGATGAGGACCTTGCATGGTGGCTCACTGATTTAATTCAAGCTCTCTGAGACCGACAGATGCAAAGTCGTATTTGTGTCCCGCTTCTGTGAGGACTGTCCACACATTGACATGATTGACACCAAGATACTGTTAAAAGTGTGAATGAAGTCAAAATATGAACTTTTAATTGCGCATACTAAAATGATAAGGTTTCTATTAATTACATGTTAAAAAAAGAAAAGGTCCCATTGCACGGCCTGTGACCCTGAGGATGTGTGTAGACCAGTTGGGACAGGACAGCAACCTAGCACTGTCAATAAGTCTGAACTTAATCATCCCATTAAGGCAGGGGTGGGCAACCATGTGCCATGGAGGGCTGAGAGGCTGCAGGTTTTCTTTCCAACTCAAAACTCCACCAGGTGATTTCACTGATTAGTCCCTGCTCTCTGCTTGGAGGTAAGGTGATCAGTGAAATCACCTGGTGGAGTTTTGGGTTGGAAAGAAAACCTGCAGCCTCTCAGCCCTCCATGGCACATGATTGCCCACCCCTGCATTAAGGTAACGAAGTCAAATATTACACAAATTCACGTCAGGACTTACATGTAGCAGATTTAAACAATAGTTCAATATCGATTTTTGAATCAATTTAATTGTTTTAAAAATAATTTGTTTGACTAAAAGTAAAGTATACATTTTAATGGCTTTGTTTTTTACTCAAACTCGACTAAAATGTTTCGGTTTTTCGTTGAGTTACGCCTGACCAGAACTTCAAAGGGCAGAAATGACTTAAATGAACCTGAAACTAAACTGCCCTTCAGTCCAAAGACTCAGACTAAATCTGCTCCTACAGTGTCATTTGAATGGGCTCCTGTCATGAGAAGAGTTTGCATGAGTTTCCATGCCTCGGTCACTTCTGTTTCTTCCCATGTTGTTGTACTTTTGCCTCAATGTTGGTGTTGATCAGTGTCGATTAAGATCTCAAAGGACACGCCAACTGCTTTGTTGTCAGTTGCAAAAACCAACGCAGTTGTCTCCATTCTTTCCAATCACTCAAAGTGAGATATAAAAAGAAAGAAAATAAGAAAATAATTCTTTTCAGTACTTCTTGCATGTTTTATCTGTACTTCTTTGGGTTGAGCGGTCCTCTCATCCTGGGCATTTCATTGCATTGTTGACCTTGTTGAACCTGCACATGACAAATAAACCAATCTAGAATCTTGAATCAACAGAGTTGCCTACCCCTGTTCAGATCCTGCATTGCATGTGTGGTGTACTGGTGTTGGCTCTCCTGGAGCACTCGCCATTTTCAAGTTTGCTCTTGTCCACTGCTACATTTGCCTGCACCGACCAGCACCCTCCTTCTTAGTGAATATCCAGACAGCCAATCAGCACTTCACTTTGTTATCACAGCAGCCCTGCCCACTCAGAAAACTGCATAAATAATAAGGTTAGGTTGCGCATCCTCTACAGGAACAATTTGAGACGTTTTCTTTTCAAATAACCTTAAAACTTTGAGTAAGAGACAACAGAAATGGTAAATAGCTAGAAATGAGACAATGAAAAACAAATTTGATATTTAGGTTTTTTATGTAAATATCCAAAGAGCTGAATAGTGACACCAGAAGACCTAAAGGTTATCAAAATTCAAGTATTGATGAGCCGTCTAATGATTTGCAGTCAGGTTTTTCACCAGAACCTGCATCGCACTAAAGAGAGGGAGAGTAGTGGCAATGAGGAAGCACTATGAATAAATATGAACCAGAAACACTGAGAAAAGATCTGTCATTTTTATTTTTCCCCCAAGTTGTTAAAGTCAAAATCTGGATTCTTTTTTGATTCAGCTTCTGTTCATCCAGTGTGCTGTGTCTCTGCTCTCTCACACCTGCAGCTCCTTCATCCATTAAACAGACAGAGGGCAAATTGTCTGGAGATGAAGACGGCATGCTTTAACTGAATTACATGTGATAATTGATCAAGAATAATTTCATGGAGGTCCTAATATTATTTCAAGGGTAATTCTTTTATTCAGCCTGTCATCACCATTAGCAGCATTGCAGATGACGACTGTGTTTAATAACGTTTCCTGTGCTCTGTGCACACTCTACACATGGAAAACAACAGAATTAATAAAATGGGAAAAATTGAAAGACGTTGTCCAGGCTAAAATCAACACAGCTGCATTTCCAGGATAATGTAATAACTCTTAGAAGAAGTAAACATCCATCATAAATGAGCAGGTTTAGACTGTGGCAGGCCTTTATGAAGTGTGGAAAAGATCTGAGAACAATAACTTCTGTTTTTCCCCTGAAACTGATTTTTTTGCTTTGATTTATCCTCATAGTTTGATATTTTAGGTAGAGCTCAGGCTACATCAAAAGGGGCAATAAGATATTAGAGATAAGTAGTTGACAAGTAGTCGGGCATTCGCAGAGGGGATCGGGCATTCGCAGTTGCTGCTCCCACTCTGTGGAATGCCCTGCCACAGTCTGTGCGTTCTGCAACCAGCCTCACCTCCTTCAAAATGCACCTTAAAACCTACCTGTTTACCCTAGCTTTTGGTTGAGTTGTCACCTGCTTTTACTCGCGTACGCTTTTCTTTTATTGTTGTTATTGTATGTTGCCCTTTTAATGTTGCCATACTTGTAGCTTTTATTATTTTATGTCTTTTCTCCTGTAAAGCACTTTGTCTGGCCTGTCCTATAAAAGTGCTATATAAATAAACGTGACATTGACATTGACAAGTAGTCAGAAAAAGTGTCCTGTTGGTTTCTCTCCCTCGTTGTGCACTAATAGAGCTCCACGATCACGCACTTTGATCATACAGTGAGCAGAGTTTTTCTACAAACTGATTTTGTATTTTGGACAAAGGTTAAGAATCCAGCACAAGTAACCATGGTCATTTACTTCAGTAAGAAGTGACTAGGTTTTCTGCTGACACTCTGAAGCCACAACTCCTGTGTCATAGTACAGGCCCCAGGTGAAAATAATGTTTATCTCAACTAATCATGTTTCAAAATTCTGGTATCACGATATCTAAAGCAGCTTTGAGAGGAGGTGTGCTCGAAGACCAAAGCATAAAAAAAACATATTTATTTTCATTGAATGACATTTACACCATGTCTGGTCTGCTAAGTCAATCTGCATCAATCAATCTTTATCAAAAGAGCGCCAATTCACAGCAAGTGTTATCCTAAGATGCTAAACAAAGAAAGCAGGTCTAAACTCAATGTAAAGATGGGATCAGACTGAGCCTCATCTTGTAAGATCAAACCCACTCCCATTCCATTTTCAACCACAGGAGTGAAACATTTTACAGCATTTAGGAGAGTTAAAGTGGAGAGGAAGAACTTTCTTTAACAGGCAGAAACCTTGAGCAGAACTAGACTCATGTTAGACAGTCATCTGCTCAGACTGAGCTGGGTTTAGAGAGGAGAGAGAGGGAGATGGACAGAGGAGAGACCGATGCTTTTAGTTGAAACAGCTGTAAAGCAGACAGGTCCTCAGCAGCTAGATGTCTGCAGCAGTGATCCAGAGGAAGCTACGCCATAATGGAGCAAAGGGACTCCCAGAAAAGACTGAGTATAAGTGACTCTAATGGGACATGATGAAAAGTGTTTCTAAATTTTACACAGTACACCTTTAAAGGATAATTAAAAATGCCTGCATCTTTGCCCATCCATCTCCCCTTTGGTTATCTTTTTCTCTCTCCCTTATCCTCTTCTTATCTTCTTTGTTGTAGTTGTCAAGGCCTATATTTATGAAGTTGCATATGCCATCATCAATTTTGACATCAAAGTTTCCACTCATGGAAATGTAAATGAATGGAAACAAAGGCACTAGTAAAGTTATATTCTTCCCGAAAATACTCAAATGCTGCAGTGAAATACTTTGACTTTGCCACATTACACAGCTGCATGCACAGACAAAAGAAGCAGTGCCATCTGAATCGAAGACAAACATTGAAATGAAGGACAGGTGGTGCAGCTCAAAATATAAATAAGAGCTGAGTGTGTTGGCTCCCAGTTAACAAGAAAATTCCCATTTTGCATTAGCAGGAGGGGCAGGAGGTTTGGAAAGGATCGTGCTTTTTGAGTGTCAGTGGGTTGAAATGAATCTCTGCAGTCACCCACACCCGATCCTGAGGCTTTTTAAGTGATGACAAATGAAATGAAAAATGCAGAGTCATTGTTTTTGGAGCAGGACGCTGAGGTCACTGAGGATCTTCAACAGGCTGTTAAACTATTTTATAGTCTCTTGTTTTCTGACCTCCTGTTGTTTAATTGTTTGCCCTTAATTCTCTTCATAGTCACATTGTTGGTGTGAATCAGCACTTCTCCAATCCTTTTCTTACACTCTGCAAAAATACAAAGATGAACAGCTCTCTCAGACGGCAATGACATCTCTGTCTGCCTTTTCAGAAAACTGAGCTCTGTTCAAGAATGTGACTTCAAATATTTTATCTAGTAAAGGCCAGACTGCCCCAAAAAACCTTGGTTTCAAGCCCAAGTTTTCTTCTGAATGTGTCGTGAAACCCTGTAAAGCAGTTGTTGTTTTATTCCTGAGTCTCTCTGTCATGTTGCTGTGTTGCAGGTATTGCTTACCTCGGTGGAGTCTGCAGTGCAAAGAGAAAGTGTGTCCTGGCTGAAGACAATGGACTCAATCTGGCTTTCACCGTCGCTCACGAGCTGGGACACAAGTAGGTTTCACTCCATACAGTATCATGTGATCATACAGTATCAAAGACTGCATAATACATAGACACACAGTGTATAGACATTCACCCAATAGTGTGTGGTTTTGAACCGGGCTCTTGAGAAGGGCTGTTTTGAATGTGTATGTGTGTGTGTGTATTTTAGCTTTTGCAGTCAGCCTCAAGTGGATATTCAAGGAAGTGCAGTTTTTAGCATATCTACTTCATTTTTTAAGACCAGTGTATAATGGTGAGGTGAAGCAGAACCACTCCTTACTCTACCTCAGAGAAAGTAACAGAGGTGAAACGTGGGGAAGAGGGTGGCGCTGTGGAGCGTTGGAGCCTCCATCCTAGAGTAGTGCTGTGGGCACATGCATGTCTCTGCACGTGTTAATAAGCTGTACCTTTTGTGCCCCCAAAACAATGTAATGCTGTTTAATTATGTACTTTTTCCCACTGAGAAAATATGATATGACATTGGCCTTGTGAACGCCGATGCTGATTTAGTGCCAGTTACTTGAAAGCGCTAACAATTGGCCCGATTATTCAGCCTGTCTCTTACTAGTGCTGATGTTCCACGGGGTTGAGGTTTGGTCCATCTCTGCTCAGATCCAGTTTGACTTCATGCTCTGTTGTCTATCAACACCCACTGACTGCATTTTCTGTTAACTCTGTGTTCGACTCCACTCACTATCACGGTTTGGTTGTTTAGTTAAGTGAAATGCAATCCAGTGTCAATACAGAGAGTTTTGTTTTGAGAATTTACCAGATTTGGTGAAATTCAGGGGTTAGACATGACCAGCCAGAGATAGAAAATAGTTTTTCTTACCACAGTATCAGCAGGCAGCTACTAAACCAACTAAAACTAAAAACATAGTTTGAAGCTGCCCTTATCTTGAGGTTCAGTAAATTGGCCTAAGTTCATCCTCATTAAAATTATTCCTGTTTGGTAAATGTTAAGTTTACATTGTTTGTCATCAAATGTTTTTTTATGTATGAAATGAACTCTAAGTGTGGATTCCTTTTTTCTGACTTTGCAGCCTAAACTAGTCTTTATTTTAAAGTATGCATTATGTATATAAAGCCTTCATTGACAGGCCAGTTACACCGAGCTAAGACTGCATTTATACCAGAGAATCATGATGAAGTGTGTGAAGTTTTGCAGCAGCTCTGACTCTGCACAGACCCTCAGGACTCAGCACACGTTTTACTAAACAGTTTCTGCTCCAGGTCTGAGGCCAGAAAAGGGACCAGGCTGGCACTCTCTGATTCTGATGCTGCCAGTGTGCACGTTATGGAATCAGAGCTACACAAGAACACACTCGTACACACAAGAACACACTAAAAGGAATTATTGTGTTATGTGTTTTAACAAGCTGAGGTGGTCACATAAACTGTTAGCTCAGGCTGGCATCATGTCCCGGCTTTAACGGACCATGTTTCGCAGGCGGAGCACAGCAGATTATGAAACTATAATACACATAAATTCACACCTATACAGGCTGTATGTATACACATAAAGTTTTATCAGTTATGTACCAGTGAGGCATTTTGAAGTCCGACAGGGTTAGGATTTAAGAGAGGAAAACTACAATGTAAAGTGATATTGATGCCAACAAAACATATTTCTAACTGTCGTTATATATTCACGTTTTGGAGATCCAGATCAGCTCTGAGAATATGATTCAAGATAAACCAAAAGCTAGTTGTTGCGCCATCAGCACATTTCTCCCCTGCAGTGGGCCTTGTCCCCTTTGCCATATAACTCAAAATAATGGATAATTTCCAGTAAGTAAACACTGAGATGGTGGGGCTGCCATCTCGCTCAAGCTCTGCTTCTATTGGCTTACACAACCAATGGCAGCTGTTCAATACAGACTGCTAGAGAGCCGCTACTCCACTCTTCACAAAAAGAATAGCAGACTAATACATAGTAAGATTATCTAAGACTGAATTAAGTAGGCAAAGTTTTTAAAAACAAGATTATTTACATATCTAAAGTCAGAGTTTTAGAGGAAATCTTTGCAGGAGAAGCTGAGAGTTTAAGAGCTGCGTATGCTACTTGTAACAGCGAAAAAACATTTTTTCTGAACAGATCACTTTGTAACACGGTACTCTCCTGAAGAGTAAGATGATACTTAAAGTATTATCCCATATAAAATTATCCGTAGCTGAAGCTACAGTAAACATCGATGAATGAAACCTTAAATTTGACAGACTGGTAGAGGTGAAAAACAACCACAACAGACTTCTTTTTGTCCTGTCACTTTGACTGAGCCTATCTTGGAAGAACAAACAATAGCCATGTTCATATCTGCAAAATTTCTTCATCCGATTAAAAATTTGAGGGATCGGAAAATCTGAATCCACTCTCTATACAGGCACAAGATTAAATAATATAATCATGACGTTCGTATACATGCACCAAGCTTTATTCAGACAAACGCGGTTGTGGCTCACTCCATCCAATTCAGGATTTTTCCCCCAGTTAAATGTTGTCACTAGATGGCGCCGTGCTTACTTCTTTTACTTTTCTGTCAAAGGTTGCTCTGTGCGTGCAGATGTGACATCATTACGCTGTTTGTACGCCTTGTTATATTATCGGAGGAGCAGACACAGCGCCTATGGTTGTGTTTTATGCCAGTGTGTTCATAATGAAACCCCCCGTACTGGCCTCAATAAATCAGCCAAAGGTTCAAGAATGACGACCAAGTCAGGTGAGAGAGTCACGATCGGGATAAGTGTTTACATGGACGCGTTTCGGAATAATGATCGGCATAAACCACCCCTCTTGTTTGGAATTATACTTTCTTTCCAGTTAAGCTGAATTGGTTCAGAATTTTCAGATAGACATGTTTACATGACGGTTTTTTATTACGATCGGGCATTTATTCTGATTATTTGTGCCCATGTAAACACAGCTAAATTAAGGTCAGGCACCTTTGACACACCAGGCTTTCTGAAAGAGCTTCAACCATCTTCTGAAGGAGAAATGAACGTATGAACATAGAAGCATGATTCTATTCTTCTCTGCTTGAACCTGAAGAACCCGAGGAAGGAGTCTGCACCAGAAATGTTTGACTTTCTGAGTCTGTGGCTGCAGTTCAGAGCAGGTTGTTGTTTTTAATTTGCAAATGTAGGTCATGGCTTTGGGTGGAAACACACACATACACACATACACACATACACACACAGACACGCCGAATACACAGTGCCTAAATGAATCCTCTTGTTTCAACCAACACGCTGTCCCCAGTTGTTCTACACTTTTATCTGACTCCAAGACATGCATTGTGTATACACAGATGCATTGTGGGTAGACAGCTCCAGCCTAAGCCTCATTTAGACTCTGACTTTGCCAGTTCAAGAAGTTTTAGATCTGTTACTGTAAGTTGTGCCGGTGCAGGTTTTCCCACAGTATCCAGAGCTTAATTCACCTCAGCCAAATATTCTGACTATTGTCCAACCGAGGGAAAACCAGAACCCTGAGGAACTGGCTGAGATCTTTGAAACAGTGGGAGCTGGACAGAAGTTTGTTCAGACAAAAAGATGAAGGATTTTGACGCTGCGGGATCAGATTCTAAAATTTCTTACACTCTGAGAACTGACGAGTGATTTCCAAGTCAGTCGAGACAATCCGTTCATGTCCAGTTATGGAAAACCGTCCAGTTATGCAGAAATCCCCTCCTTTTAACAGACATCATTTTAGTTGCCATTGTCACTTCCTCTGTGATTTGACTGGAAAACTCTGCACTGTGAAAAATTTGCATCTTCTTTTTCCTTAATCACACAACTACCTTGCCAGAGTATTTCAGGAAGCTATTTAACAAAAATCAATGACTGGAAAAGAAAAAAAAAAGGTTCAAATATCTTTAAAAAAAAAACAAAAAAAATCTCAGAAACTTTGAGCAGGGGTCAACTTGATTCAACCTCTTTGTTTCCATGTATTTCTTCAGCATGGGAATGAGCCATGATGACGACCACGCTACCTGCACCGGTCACTCCCACATCATGTCTGGAGAGTGGGTGAAAGGACGAAACCCTAGTGACCTGTCCTGGTCTTCCTGCAGCCGTGATGACTTGGAGAACTTCCTCAGGTGAGACTTGTTTGGATGCAGCCAAGGAGGATCAAAAACTACCATAAAAAACTGTCTGTCAGCCCCTGTTACAGAGTAAACCAGTTTTTCGCTGCAGGTCGTAGACTTAGTACAGATAGAAACTCCACAAACAGAATTATGATTCAGGTAGGTAAAATGATTAGTTATTAACTTTTATACAGAATACAGCAGCTGTCTTCAAGCTTCCTGGATGAAATGTAAGTGGTAACCAGTGCTGCCCATCTTCAGCACAGTAGGCATGACTAGGCTGGACTTTAGTAGAGAAGAAAACAGCTGCTGACAATTGAGGCAAGCAATAAAAAGTACTCAACGTTTATGTCATCAACCTGCCCACACTGTGCAAATCCTCCCAAATTTCCTCACTGTTTTGGCACATCAAGTCACTCCAAATTCACACAGACTTTTACCAGAGGGCTGATAGGAGAAGGTTAAGGTGGGGCATTCAGCTGTTTGCATTCACACATGCACCCTGGCTGAATATAGCTCTGGAGGTTTTTCAGCGCTCCTGAGCCTGTTTGGAGGAGGCTTACAAAAGATTGTCAGTTTGCTGTCTTTTGATCTTGAAATAGTTTCTTTAAATAATTTCTCCTCAGAGGAACAAATTTAGAAAACCGATCCCAGCCAGCAAAACTTTGAAGAGAGCAGCTAAACTTAGTTGTGGCGGTTAACCTAATCTTCCCACTTTGATGCAGAGTAATAAACCAAGCGCACATCCACGAATAGCTCTTCTTTATCCCTCTTTCTTTTACATACATACACACATAGACAGACTGCCAAGTTTGCTGAAGGTTTCAGAATGTTGCTGGGGCCCTCTGTGGGGCCTGGACGAGCTGCTCCACCGGGACTCTATGGTGGTTTTTTAACTATAGTCCATTGAAAATAAAAAGGAAGTTCAAACTCAGCTCTGCTCAAAAAAAACCAAGAGCGCAGCAGTATTGGACTTAAATTGAAACTTGCAGAAGCTACGTCCTGCAAAAGGCTAAATGCACTGCAGTAAACGGCCATTTAGAAAGCACTGATTGAAAAATCTACCAACTTGGAGACTGATACCATTATTTATCGCTACGTCCTCCGGCCACATTTGAATTTCACAGTTTATTACAAATCTTAAACATTTCTAAAGCAACCCTATCACATTTTTCACCATTGATACAGGAGCATCATGTTCACTGTGGGCACTAATTAGTCTCAAAAAAGTGTCCCTTGTTCACTGACCTGGTTCTCTAGTGCTACAGAGGCAACATACAAAAAGTGTCAGGTAATGTTAGCTTGTTGCTCGATGCTATTTAGCTGTTAAACTGTTGTTGTTGTAGGTACAAATAAGACTCCAAATAGCTACAGCTTAGTACACTTGTCATCAGCACTTTTGGGTCACGGGTTTTGAGAAGACATTCGGTTTGCCATCAGAGAAGTCCATTAGAGTGTGGTGTGGAGGTTTACTTTAGAGGGATGACATGTTGAGGAAGAGGCATTGCTTTTCCCTCTCTTTCTTAAGTAGAGGCTCATGCTGTATAAACATTGACACTCTGACATTCCCTCCTTGTTGATAAGTCTTACCCTCACCTTTTGTCAAGTTGCATTAAATGCATCTCATTCTCTGCCAGTGGATGGAGCAACAGGTTGACCTGTATAACAATAATTAGAAGTAAGCTACTCTTGAAGTTTGTTGGCTGCTATGTAATATGCAAACCAGTATAAAACAGCAACACATTTCCTAACTAGAAAAGCACTCTGAGAGCACAGACCTCCGCCAAGCAGCTCATGTCCCCCCTTATATTGTGATTCACACCAAAACTTTTACTGTTATGTGTCTTTTATTAACTTTTATTTGTGTCTAAACTGGTATGTTCACTGTTCATAATGTTCCTTAAACAAGAAATGCCCTGACCTGGATTCGAACCCAGGACCTTCTTACTGTGAGGCGACAGTGATTACCACTACACCAGTGTGCCGCCCATCTACACCACTGTGCCGCCCATTGGTTATCTTACAGCATTGAAAATTCCAACGACACCCTTATTTTTGTGTGTTCTGGATCACAGTATCCGGAATTTTGTCTGGATCAGGATCAACCTTTGACACCTCATAAAACTCATTGAGATCCTTTTGTGTAATTTTCACTAAAGACTCAGGCCATTTTTATAGAGTTAAATGCAAAAATTCCAAAATTTGCCCTATCGCACAATGATAAAGAATCCTTCAAAAAATTCCTGGATCCAGAAGGCGATCCGGATCACCACCAAAATGTAATGAGATCGTCCTGGGGCTGAGATGCACCTCCGGTGAAAATTTCAGGTCAATCCGTCTGTAACTTTCTCTATAAAGTTGTTCACAGACCAACAAACAAACAAACAAACCAACCAACCAACAAACCAACGCTACCGAAAACATAACCTCCTTGGCGGAGGTAAGCCAGCATCACTGGGGTTCATATAAGTGGAAGCTGCAGTTTCACTTCCAGTTCATAATTTAAACATTTAGATGAAACATTTATATTTAACATCATATCATTCCTTTGAACTTAGATGAACTCTGCTCATAAACTGTGAGAGTCAGAGAAAGACGAAGTGTGAGAAAAAGAAACCAAAACCTGATGTTCTCGTTTGGGTGATTATTTAGGTGTCTGTGATAATTTTTATGGTGTGTTTAAGTGTTGATGGAGGTTCGTTAAAAGCCCTGCAGATGACCAAAATAGAGGGGTGTAACTGATAATGTGGTTAACACTGAAACCTTGAACAGTTGGTACTCTTCCTGCTGTCAAACAGAAACCATTTCAATCTTCCTCTGATCGGAAAACAAGTCTGATTTTGATTCAGATGGTAAAGTGCGAAGTAAAGTCTTTGACATTAATCAGTTTTATGTCAAGGACACAGTTTGAATCCCTCACTTGTGCATATAAACAGGTCCAAATCCAGTGCCTGCCTCCTGCACACAGACCCTAGGAGCAGGTACCAGGTCCGGCTCCCGCCCAAACTCCCCGGCATGCACTACAGTGTGGACGAACAGTGCCAGATCCTGTTTGGAACCAACGCTACTTTCTGCAACGACATGGAGGTAAAACACACTTCATCAGAGCTGCAGCTTTAAATGTCACAGATGATTCATTTTTAAAACACGTTTAGGGTAACTCTCACCTCCTTCAACAGCAAGTGTTTCACTGATATTTAGAGTTTGAAAGAAAAGTCTGTCTGTGAAATGACAATGGTGTATTTGCTGCCAGGAAAAATAAAAAAACAAGATTATACAAAACAAAAGGAAACCTTTAAGTAAAATATATCTAAATATACTTTTTTTTGGTTGTGTTTGTCAAATCCTTTGGTTTCAAAGTACAAGAGTCAGGTGTATTGTAGCTGCCGGCTCTGTTCTGTACCCCTCTGTCTTTGCTGCCGCTCTCCCTGCCTAGGCTTTTCATGTATGCACATGCAAGGGGAAGGAGGTGTTTGCATTGTTTTAATGTGAACACTTACCAGTATTTGTTTTCTATCAGCTTACAACCTTCTGAATGCTCTACATTAGGGCTGGGCAATAACACAACAATGATTTATATCAAGAATTATTTTCCCTTGATATCAATATAAAACATGGTCAATATGCTTTTCAATAGTCTGCTTTCTGACTATACGAATAGCCAATGAAAAGGGGAGCTGCGCCATGCTGAACCAATCATGTGCTGAATTAGAACCAAGTAGCAAACAACTGCGTAGTAGCAGGCTGCAGCTACGTGCAACCACAGCACTGTAACACATGAAGCTGACAGCACAGCAAAAAAAGAAAATGAGTGCTTCCCCCACTCTCCTCTGAGAACAGTGGCACGAAAACGTAGGTGGTGTGGAGGTACTTTGGTTTTTGAAGGCAGACATGAAGCAGAGTAATGTGTACTGCAAGTTATGTTGAGTACATGTTAAATTTCATAAACAGGAACAGGAAATACTTCTGATTCATAAGTGTTTTTTTTTTACATCGTGTTATATATCGATTTCGACTGATATGTAAAAAATCTATCTTGATAAACTTTTTCCCATATCACCCAGCCCTACTCTACATCTTGCATGGCCCCACCTGCTAGTTCTGCTGTAGTGTGCTGGTCACATGATCTGCAGAGAAACACCCAGATAAAAAGATAACGCTGCATGAGAATATGTCCCCTCTTTATTGATTGTGTTGTGATACTTACGATCAAAAATCAGTTCTACTACGCTGTTCTTGTGTTTTGTACGGGGATGTTTCCATCTTGTATTTAACAAAGAGACATATTTCCCATCATGCTCACAGGCGTACTGTAAATCTGATGGATGTGAGCTGTTTCTGGGCTGGTTAGTGAAGGAAAACAACCAGGAGTGGGTAATCCGTGTTTGTTGTAAAAATACTTGAGATTCCAGCAGTGGGAGCTGTGTGACTGGAGCCTGATATTAAGTCGGGTGCTGCTCTTTGAATCCACCTGGTAGTGACTTAATACATAACTTTAGCAAAGGCAACACAAGCCCTCTGAGCTCGAAGCATGTCATTTCATTGTGAAACATAGAAGTAGCCTAAAGAGCACTGTCCTCAGCCCGGGGTGGTTTCCTCTGACCTGCATATTTACTTCTTTCACCTTCAAAAGGAGACAGTCTATGAATTCCCAGTTGTTTCCATAACAATAATTTACCTTCACTGCATGGAAAAAACAGGCTTTTTGTGTCAAGCATTTCTTAGCACACAGGTCTACTCAGTCAGGTGCACTCATGTTGTGTATGTAAGCCCTCTAGTGGCTGAAAGAAAATAACTTCTTCAGTACTTCCTTTGACATCGTTGGCTTTGAAGAAGGAGTTTTAGTGCCTTCAAGTGTTTACCTTATTGCTTTCTTTTAAAGGACTAATTGATAAAATTAAAAAATCCTATCCCAAAACATTAGAACATTTCATTTAGAGTTTAAGTAAATATCTGATCAAAGAGTGAAAAAAACGGGCTGCTCTTTGTCTGGTTCAGCGTGTGATCAAGGGAGCGAGTGCTGACTTTTCATTTGTCCAGAAGATAATCATTGACACTCTTAAGGAGAGTCAACCAGCAGGGAGAAAGGTTGGTGATCAAGCAACAGAGATGACCACAGCCATGAGGACATGAACTATCACATGCTCAGTAAAGAGAAGAAGGGAAAGAACTGGACTATTGCTCAGTGGACCAAAGTCCTCCTTTGGGATCAATTTACATCAGCATTTATTTGCATTTCAAGGTGTTTGAAGTCCAGTGGGAACTTCCCACAGTCTGTGGTGATTTGAGGTATCATGTCATCTGCTGCTGTTGGTTTACTGTGTTTCATCAAGTCCAGAGTCAACACAGCCTGAGAAGATTTTAGAGCCCTTCATGCTTCAGTCTGCTGAGAAACTTTAGCGAGATTCACATTTCCTTTTCCAGCAGGACCTGATACCTGCCCACAGCGCCAAAATGACAGGAGCGGGTTTGCTAGTCTACTGTGCCTAAATGAACATGAGCTGGGATTTCTGTATTTTGAAGTCCTTTTTTGATGATCTATGAAAATATTTGAATTATTTAAGATTCTGGATTTCAGAAATTTTGCAACTTTGAGCCAAAAAAAAATGACCTCTGATACTTCACTTACTTGTAATTGATATAAAACGTAACACAATTTAACCTTTTTAAATTTAATTTCTTAAAAAAAGGGCTTTCGACTCTGATTTTCAGACTGCATCTGTATAGCCACCGGATGTTTTAGAGTTTTGCAACTGACAGGCTAAAACTGTAAAAAGTAAGAAATGTTCCTTTTGTGTGTGTTTGTGTGTGTGTGTGTTGTGTGTCAGCACTTGATGTGTGCCGGTCTGTGGTGTTTAGTAGAAGGAGACTCATCCTGTAAGACCAAACTGGATCCTCCTCTGGATGGGACGGAGTGTGGACCCGACAAGGTACAGCCACACTTATTTCACAAACACATGCAGGGAGGCAGGCTACCTTTTTGATAAGTGTGTTAAAATGATTGTTTGTTTGTGTATGTGTGTGTGTACATCAGTGGTGCAGGACAGGAGAGTGTGTCAGTAAGACTCCCATCCCCCAGCATGTGGATGGAGACTGGAGTCCATGGAGCCAGTGGAGCATGTGCAGCAGGACCTGCGGTACTGGAGTCCAGTTCAGACAGAGGAAATGTGACAACCCTCCGTATGTCGTCCGTCTGTCTGTCTGACCATCCGTCCGTGTGTGTGTCTATCTGTCTGCTTGTATGTTTGTCCCTCTGTCCCTCTCTTTGCTTGTTTGTGTGTTTGACAGAGAAACAGATTGCATGAGCAGAAACATTTCTCACATTACCTCCGAATGTCTTCAGATTTAATTTGTCACACGCTCAGACATATGTGCAGTAAGATGCTGCAACTGTTTCACCGTGCAATTAGACACTCATTGAGGCATTTCTCTGCAAGATGCAAAAATGAAGGAGAAAGGAAACTTTGAGAAATTATAAGATGTAAAAATACTTTTAAAAACTTTTATTTGATGATGTAGCCAAACTATCATGACGTTAAGGACCCGCGGGACTCAGTAGATGTGATGATAAACTCTCAAAACATAGGGGTTACTAGTCTGCCTCTGCATTGATTGATTTTTGTTTGTTTATAGGTTGTGTGATTTTGTGTTATTGTGCTGTGTTGGATGTGAAAAAAGATGATTTATCATTAAAAGGACTGGATATATGTAGTTGACCCCAAAGGCAGAGCAGGACTTTCTTTTCAGGATTCTTTCTTGTATTTTTACTGTATATATATCTATATATACGTGTGTGTGTTTGTGTTGCGAGCAGTCCTGGTCCTGGAGGGCGACACTGCCAGAGGGCCAGTGTGGAGCACAAGGCCTGTGAGGGTCCCCCCTGTCCAAAGGGAGCACCCAGCTTCAGAGACCTGCAGTGTCTCTCCTACGACCGCCATGCCAGTAAGAAGAAGGGCAGCATGCTGACTGCTGTTATTAATGATGGTGAGACTCACACGCTTAGAAAAGTCTGGATGGTGACACAGCTTCACTTTATTTTATAATGTTCATCCCTGTTACAATGTGGCTATTTATCCGTGTGTGCATGTGTGTGTGTTTTGGTGAGCAGAGAAGCCATGTGTGTTGTTCTGCAGCCCGATGGGTCGAGATGTCTCTGTCCTGATGGCGGACAGAGTGATGGACGGGACGCCGTGTGGACCGTATGAAGCTGACCTGTGTGTAAACGGGAGGTGTCAGGTACTCTGACATACTAACACAAGAATTTCCACAAACATATGAAGTATTCAGCCAATAAAAAAAAGAAGATAAGGGTGTCCTGGGGTTAAAACTTATTCTTCAATAATTTTGCTTATATTCAATGGTCACTGAAGTTTTGTGTCTGCTCTGCACCTCCACCTCCCTATACTGATGCAAACACAGCACACAGGGATGGGACTGACACTGACATAAAGGTACATATTCCTCATACCCATAAAGCTTCTTAAGCTTACAGGAAAAGTGGGTCGCGACTTTTTATTCAGAATCTTTTAAAGAAGACTCGCTATAAAAAAAAAAAAAATAGCCATCTGTCTTTAAGGGTCAACAGCAGCTACTTGTAGAAACCCCTCCTGACACATGTATGATATACAAATCTAATCATCATGTTGTTCATAACAAATTCAAATCAATCTTTTCTTGGACTTCAAAGTTCATACCATTTTCTTTTCCAGTTTGTTTTAAATTTAAAAGCGAAATACGAATCTCATCAACCATTATCTGTAATAATTCTCACATCCTTTCAGCATGGTAATTGTCATGAAGTCAAATCTTGATATTGTGGCTTCACAGAGCTGCAGTAAGACATTCTAGCTGACTTTAAGTTCGACTTGTTAGATATGCTGAAGCTGAGATGCAGTTGAGACAGATAGACAGGTGCTCCACAGCTGAAACTGAAATCCTGATCTGATCATAGCTAACAGTTCATGGAATGGGCAACAGTCAGCCTCAAGTAGCTGAAAGTAGCAGCTAAGCACAGACCACGGAGGAGAATATGTGCAGGGCTGAATATTTTCAGGTTACAGTGATGCCATACAGAATGCATGGTAATGCATGCAACTATCACAACCATCTCGTTCTGTTTTGGTCTGAACACAGAGAGGATAATGGTGTGATTACACAGAGAATGTAGTCGTCCTGTAGACTGTGTAAACATAGATGTAGTCTTAGTGAAACCACTCGCTTGTCCTTAAAGAGGGGTTTTGAAGCGAAGATAGTAGGCATCACTTTGGAAATGATGACTCTGCTGAAGTTTTAGTCAGGCAGAGGTGGAGCTGAGGTGTGCTTTAAGCTTCCAGATAAACCCCTACAACACATCTGCGTACCACGCAATACTGCAACACCCCTAATTTTGCAGATCTATGCATGATTCCTTGTCTTAATATCACCAATGTAAATTGGTTACAGAAGAGTGCAGGCGTAATGAAATTAGGTTTTTAGACTTTTCCTCTGTACTTGGCTGTAAACATGTTGAAATTCATCATAATAATGGGTGTTGTACAAGTGTGAATGGGGCTTCCTTGGCTTTTGGAGCCAGTGGTGGACACTTGAGGAACTGCATCTTAGAGACCTTTAGCCCTGGCTTTCAACAGAGGAAGTTACTGCTTAAGCAGTATAAAAATTAAATGAAATTTTGTAATGCACAGGACCAAGTGGCTGATTCATCAGGTAGATTATTGACATTTTGAAATAACTTGTGTTAGAGCAGCATTAACGCTCCCAAGGCTGAAGTCAATATCATCTTTTCCTTAATGATAATGACAGCACACTACATCTAAAACAGCCACCAGCTAGTGTTTATGTAAATTCTTTCACGATTTTAGAATAATGCCGTTTTTTAATGCTTCTGACCAGAATAACAATCATTAACTAAAACCTTTACATGCATGCCATGAAAATACCAGTATTTTTCAATTTCATAATTATAAAGATAGATATTTGCAGCCGTAAAGAGATATTTTTAAGATAAGGACGTATATATATATGTAAGGTTTTTTTTTGTTGTTCAACCAAAATATATAACTTTTTTTTTCCTATGTCAGTAATCACAGATGGTAAGACAGAAAGTCCAAAAGTTAGACTGAGCCAAGTTTTGTTTTTGGAAATGTTTACTGAAGTAAAGCAGTATTGTTTTTTTTATTTGTGAGTATTTTGAGTATGGCACTAAATAAAGTGCAAAAAACAGTGTGAAATCAGCATTATATACAGTGTCTTGAAAATGTTTTCATACCCCTTGAACTTTTTCACATTGGGTCACTCTGCAACCACAAAAGTACACAAAAGTATTTTATTGAGATTTTTTGTCATTGACCAACACAAAGTAACACATAATTGTGAAGTGAGCTGTGGATTTCTGCAGCTCCTCCAGAGTGACCATGGGCCTCTTGGCTGCTTCTCTCACCAGTGCTCTCCTTGCTCGGTCTGTCAGTTTAGGTGGACGGCCATGTCCTGGTAGGTTAGCAGTTGTGGCATACTTCTTCCATTTTTGGATGATGGATTGAACAGTGCTCCTTGAGATGATCAAAGCTTTGGACATTTATTTATAACCTAACCCTGCTTTAAACTTCTTCACAACTTTTCCCCTGACCTGTCTGCTGAGTTCCTTGGTCTTCATGATGCTCTTTGTTGGTTGACTAGTGTTCTCTAACAAAGCACTGAGGCCTTCACACAACAGTTGCATTTATGCTGATACTAAATTACACACAGGTGGACTCTATTAACTAATTAGCTGACTTCTGAAGGCAATTGATAGCACTGCATTTTATTTAAGGGTATCAGAGTACAGGGGGCTGAATACAAATGCACACCACACTTTTCAGATTTTTATTTGTTTAAATTTTAAAAACCATGTATCATTTTCGTTCCACTTCACAATTATGTGCTATTTTGTGTTGGTCTATGACAAAAAAATCTCAATAAAATACTTTAAAGTTTGTGGTTGTAGAGTGACAAAATGTGAAAAAGTTCAAGAGGTATGTATATTTTTTCAAGGCACTGTATTTTCTGTTGACCAGCCTGCTCTCTCTTGATTAGCATCATAAATAGAGAGATGGACAGAGGAGAGATTGATGCTCGTAGTTGAAGCATCTGTAAAGCAGACAGGTCCTCAGCAGCTAAAGGTCTGCAGCAGTGATCCAGAGGAAGCTACAGCATGATAGAGCTCAGGGACTCCCAGAAAAGACTGAGTATGAGTGACTCTAATGGGAACATGATGATTCAAAGTTTATGTCCCAGACAGAAAGAGGATGGAGAAGGAGGGAAAGGTGCTCCATGAGCCACTTTCCCTTACACCACCTGACTCCATCAAAGCCTTGCTCTGTTGTTCTAGACAATCTGGCCTCATGTGGATGGACTTCATATATGACTGAAGTTCAGTGGCTACAAAAACATGACCAGGATCAGATTACAGTTCTGGATTGTCCAATTCCTTATTCAATATTATAGTTAGCACTAGCTGTAGTTCCAGATTTGGTTGTTTGTGTCTCAATGAAATGCTTTGTCTGAGTTCATAGCCATTATTCATTTCTGTGCTAGATGCCAAAATGTTTGACTGTTGTGTATGACTGACATCACGGCTTTATTTATGAGAAGTCATAACTTGTTATTGAAGTAATATTTTAGTGTGCACAGGCTCAGAGCAGAGTGACAGAGATGAAGGACTAACTAGTCAGACAGATGGTTCAGTATGCAGCCCCACTGCAGAGAGAGCCTGAATACAGCTGGTGTGACAGGCTGTTTTTAGCTTCAGATTCACAGCCATGAAAAAAAAAAAACATAACTCATATTCCTTTCTGCACCTGGTGAATTTTGCAGAGTTTCATACTGCTGTAATCACTGGAAAAACATCAAGACAGTCATGAAATAAATGAACAAGTGTCCCAGTTAAGAGCTGTGAAGTAAAATTCCTCCTCAGGGAACAATAGAGTACCTCATTCATTTGTTAGTCAGCAGTCGAGAAGAGGATCGACAGCCTGCTGCTCCTCTTGGGAGAATTGAGGACTTTATTTGGATCTGATGTCCCGTCTACAGTCAGTCTTCAGAGTTTATTTGCAAATACTGGATGAGGAACGATTGGGAGGAATTCCCCCTGATCCTGGCCCAGAGAGAGAGAGAGAGAAAGAGAGAGAGAGAGAGACTGACAGAGAGGGAGAAGGAGGAATACGCGTCCAAAAATTGTAATATGGATACAATTATCATGACGCAAATGTGCTTACAAAGTTCTAACATCTCAGCAGTGACTCATGTACCCCTCTCTATGTAGAATCACTTAGAAGAAGTTCAGCTGAAGCACACACTAGATGTCTTTAAAGTCAGCTTTTAAAGGTTTCTGTAGAAAGTAGAGCAAAGGTCACAATTAGAAAAGGGATTTTTAGACCAGAGCTCCTGCAAGTTTGGAGCCAGGGTCTTTGCTGATTCTGTCCTGTGCAAGTGTTTCTTTCTTTTCTTGACTGTTTTCAGTCAAATGTATCTCTTAACAAAGAAAGCAGCTCACAGCACATGAAGTCACAGCTAACAACCAAAATAGCTGACTAATGCATGAGTCCTATCTGTGATGAGGCTAAGTCATAGTTTAGGGTTTAGTTTAGTTTTTAGGAGTTTAGGGGTTATAATCGAATTTAAAGAGAGGAGAATCTTTGGAGCTTTTAGCAGCCCAGCGTTTAACATAGTTCATAATCACAACAGGTGATCCATGAGTGAACAATCAACTGTTGTGATAACGATCTAAAACTGAGGACAACAGTAACCAGCTGAGTAAAACTTATAAAATCTGGGATATGAGAAGGTTTAAACTTAGTATGAGATTTGATAATGGCATTGACATGACAGCTCCTGGTGTTACTCTGAAAAAAATAAATAAGTGCCCATGAGACTCAGAGCCTCAGTCCCAAGTCTCAGGTCTTTGAGGGTCAAGTCCAAGTCAAGTCTAAAGTCAGGGTTTTGTGTGATTATAGTTTGCCGTAAAGTTGAGGTAGGCAGGATCTGAGGAAGTGCCAGTTTTGGGAAGAAATCTTGAATGTAAACACTACCTCTCCAAACCAGTTTTCTTCTCTGCTCCAGCAAGCCCCGCCCACAAACAGACGCTCCTGCTCGCTAGTATTGTTTCAATTAAATTCAGATATAATGCAGATAAATACTTAAGATGATTTCAAATGGGGCCCAGTCAACGTGAAAGTAAAAAGCATTGGTGCTACTGTAGATGCCAACAGACTACCAGCAAACACAATGTTTGCAGGACTTCTACAACTAGGATACAGTGACATACGCCAGGACCCGAGGTGACAAGAAACACTTCTGTTACAGACACTTGGCTTACTTTGTTAAAGTGGTTTACCTGTCCAGCAGAAAGGTTACAGGGTCTGTAAGATCCTGAAGCGTTCCCCATCGTTTATTCCTGATTGTTGTTGACCTGGCTTTTTAGCTCTTGTCCGGTCTATCTCCTTTTTGAGCACCCGTTATTCCGCCAGAGTCTCCGGTATTTACTTTGTTTTCTTGCTTGTGTTGTCAAGGCCAAAGGAAGATTTAGACAATTTTTTGTTCTTTCTGGTTGGTTTCTACTGTCTGATATTGTAGCACGCTAACTTTGTTTAGGCTTGTGCACGTTATTCGGACGCTCAAAAGTTTTAAAATGTTGACTACACAGGCATAACAAACCACGGTGACATTTTTAAGTCCAAGGCTCAAACTCAAGTCTCCATCTTTGGTGTCCTCAAAAAGTCAGTGTTTTCCTTCCAGAGACACACCTTTGAGTTAAAGCGGAAGATGATGATCTTTAGTCTTGGAGATGTCACAGACACAGGTTTTTTGCAGAATCATGGACATGGCTGACTGGACTGATAGATAAGTACTTGACACTACAGCTGTAAGGGAGGAGACCGAAAAATCAAGACCATCATGCTGGAGCAACCAAAAGTTAGGTTAGGTCAGAATTTCCAATATGGTGACCACCATAGATAGGCTTCAATATATATATACTGTATATATTTTTCAAATCTAATGAGTGACATCACTGGGAGCATATCCAGGTTTTATACAGTCTGCTATAAACTCTCTTCAGAGACACCAGGCTACACTGATGACAAACAGAAGTAAACCTCACAGGACACCAGAGTGCTTGGTCTCAATCAGTTTGTTTGTCTTACAGTCTGTAACACAAATAATGTGATGGATTGGAGGAAAATAAAGAGCTAACAGCAGTGATTTCAAGGTTCTCAAAGTTATGGAAAGTTTTTTTTTGCACAGCTCTACTTCTCAACCAACTTTTGACTTGGTGATATTTGACTCCTAACCTGACCAAACAGGTCATCAGTGATCTTCTATAAAACATCCACCACTTCACTCTGCACTCAGGTACTGTTTTTACCTTAGAGAGAGAAACTGTGGAGGAACTAAAGAGTGGAGACAGAGAGAGAAATATGCAGATTCTGGGGTTACAGAGAAAAGAGGAGGCATGGATGTTTTTCTAGGCTTGGCATGTGAAACTCAGCTATGCTATGAAAACACTAGCAAGAAGAGAGAGAGAGAGAAAGAGAGAGAGAGAGGATTCAGACAGGAAAAAGGAAGAGCGATATATTTAGTGAAGCTATGAAAATAGACCCTGGAAGGACCCTGGAAGTCTGCCTGGAGAGGGCCTCATACGGCTGCAAAAAGTCTTGTGAACCCTGTGAATCTGGACCACAGAAGTGTTTGGGTTCTAACAATGATATCAATTATTATGTAATGAGGAACTGATGGCGAATAATTCCCTCCGACGGCTCTTTGTTATGTTATTTACAAAGTCCTAACATTGAGCCACCACGAGTGAAGCACTCTGCAGCATTTAGCAAATAAACATGGCAGGGGGAAACCTTTAACAGGCAGAAACCTGGAGCAGAACCAGACTCATGATGTGCTGGAGTGGGCTTGGGGAAGATGCAGACAGTGGGATAATTCCAGCTCATTCTTGATAATGGCTATAGTGTGAGAGAGAGGGTCTGTACACCTTTCCTTAACCCTGTAATGTTTACAACCAAGGCTGAGACAAAGGGGACAGGACTTAGGGGTCATTTCTTGGACTTTTTGGTTGTATCTGGTGTCTGCCTCCTAGATGCTGACTGGTAGGTAATAGAGGATTATGATAACTGAAGGCTCAGCCTACCTATACTACTTTGAGAAACTTTGAGCACCACAAGCAAGCCTGCATACTGAGAGTCATGTGTTGCTGAGGGTTAATGGGGCACTTCACATGGAGCTCTTCAAGAAAGGATTGGGTCTGACCTTAAGAGCCTTGAAGGTCACAGGAAGGATTTTAAAACTTCTCTTTTATTGGTTATCAGTAAAGAAAAGCAATAAGCTCCTTTTCCCTGTTTTGTTTACCATCCCCCGAGGAGCTTTAAAGTGTGATTCAGCTATTTTTGATAACATGGACAACCCTCGTGTCTATCTTTAGATAATTATAGATCAACAGACAGCTTGTAAATAAATGCTGCACAGGTGTCACATTAGGCCTGAGATCAGACAGTCTAATCTGCCGAGAGAGACTTCAATCTGCTCTCCCTTTGTTTACCATAAAATGAGACTTAACACCTCTTATTGGTGTTTTTTTTTTAATTTATCAAACCCATTTGGAAAAGTTTGAACTTTGTTGGTTCTACTCTTTTTTGTATGTTTTAGATTAATGTATCTCTTCCATGACTGCCGTCAATTTTCTGCTTTGATTGTGTGTTCAGACATGTTATTGAGATGTTCACACTTATAGTCTACATCTTTTAAATGAAAGTTGTCAGACATTACAGTTCAGTAATCTCTAATAGCAAGTATAAGCTCATTTTTTAGGAGATGTACTTCCTGAGATTGTATTTATTTCAACACAACAAAGTCACAGAGTTTGCATATTTGTCTGTTCCCAAGTCTATCAACCCCTGATTACTGTAAGGGGGTGTTTATGCTTTTTCACACTCATCCTATTGTTAAAAAAAAAATACAGTCTTAAGGCACTAGTTGTGTCAGAACTAAAAACTGGAAGAAATTGCTGCAAGAAAATCCTTGTGTTATTTTTGTTGGACCAAAACAGTTGGACTTAAATGTGAAATATGTAAAACAGAGATTGGTGCATCAGTTTCCTGAAGTTTACCAGCTGGAAAGCCAAACTTTCACGCTGCAGATATTTTCTTCACTAAGCCTCCTCACTCTCCTCACCCTGTTTTCTCTGTTTCTGTGGTCAGAAAATTGGCTGTGACGGCATCATCGGCTCCTCAGCCAAAGAGGACCGCTGTGGAGTGTGTAATGGAGATGGGCGCTCCTGTAGGATAGTGAGAGGAGACTTCAACCACACCAAAGGGATGGGTGAGTGTGTGGAGATGTTTGGATAATTACATGGTTTGCTTTATGACTTTGCATTTCTCTGATGAAGAAAAAGACTCAATCTTAAGTCCTCTCTCAATTTTAATGTTTAAATAAGACACCACGGTCAGAGGTCTAATCTTCAAATGGTGATGTTAGAGATACCTCTTTGGCATCAATCACTATACATAGTCTTTTTAGCATTTTTATTTTAATTCACAGTTGAATTTACAGAATATCAAAAGCAAGACAGTCTGCATGTGGTGGTGGTCAGAAGTCAGGAAACCAGGTTTGGTCCCTGTTCATCGTTAATTAAGTTTGTACAGCAAAAAGGGCAGCTTTAATACACTTGTTACTAGGAGTGGGAGAAAAATCAATACAGCATAGTATTGTGATATTTTTTCTGCTGATATATTGCATTGTCTCATTTACCAAGTATCAATTTTTCAAATTAATTGCTAATATGAAGTCAAGTCTATGATGATAATAGAAAAATAAAATCAACTGTTTGTCCAGCGAGAAAGTTAGTACAACAAATATATATAGAGGGTTTGCAAGATGTGCTACATGAAAATAAAATACAGCATAAATAAAACAAACTAAAAGAAAGACAAATGCCAAATTGGCTAAACGGTTGAAAAAATTATATAAATCGCAATATATTGTATCACAATACCCACTATGTTGCAAAATGTGAAAAATCACGATTATAAAGTATCATGGCCCTAATATCGTAACGTGGGGCCACTGGTGATTCCCACTCATACTTGTTACCTATGTTTGCTAGTTAGCTTTATTATGTAGTTTTTGATGTGCTAACATCACAAGGTCATTTTTGAGCTGATTAAAAATTAAGTGGTTTTGATACATAATACCAGGGAAGAACTGTAATACAGAGTCTGGGTCCTGAAATTGGTCCATCCGAACCATAACTGGTCTGTCATTAAAACGATTTGTAGCATCCTGACACAAAAACAGGACAAAAGAGACCCTGAACTGGAATCCTCTATCAGAGGAGGGTGTTGTTTGCGTTCATCAAATTGAAAATGAACATTTATTTTTCAGAAAACAACAAAATTAGTCAGTTTTTCATTTCAGTCTTAAATTAATTGAGGTTGTAGTTTTTCAAATGTTTCAAGTATGTTAAATTTAAAAAACCAAGCTCTTGCAGCGTACTTAACCTGACTAGCAGAGTAGAGGAGGAAACATAACACACACTAATGCTAGAGTCACTGAACTATCACAACAGAGAGTGTCTAATTCAGACCATCAAAAGTATCTTCTGTGCTGGGGGCTAAACCTGAGAGATCTTTGACCTTTTATCATCAGGGTGAATGCATGTTTTGGTCAGAAGAAGGGTTATAACTAGGGGTGTCCTGATACGATATTGACACTGATATCAGATATCGGTCCGATATTAGCAAAAATTCTAATCTCGGATTATATCAGCCTGCGTCTGAAATCTCCGATATCAGCACTCTGATACAAGCAGTCCATTCCAGACTCTGCTCCAGCTTCTCTGTCTAGCAGCACTAGGATCCAGCATGTAGAGCCCACGTAGTCACCACAACAGTGTGTACTAAGGTACTAACAAAGTAGCAAGGAGTAAGAGTGATGTCAGCTGTGAGGCGGTATATTTCGTTAAAGTCTGAAATAGACGTTGCAGCTGAGTGCAAAACTTGTCATGCACAAGTTTGTGCTAATATCGGATCAATATCAGTATCTGACAATTCTGAAGGCTACAATATCGGTATGGTATCAGAGGTAAAAAAGTTGTATTGGGACACTCCTTGTTATAACACTCCTGTTGCTCCTTTGCTCCAACACCATGCCAGCACCAATTGAGTTGGTACTTTAGCTCATCATCATTCTCATCTCACAACAAGAGGCAGTCATGGTGAAAAATTCATCTTTGCTGATAGTTAACAACGACAGTTGCTGCCAAGCAAAGGTGATTATTGTAGAGAAACGCTCTGAATTTAATTAAAATAATATTCAATCATTTTATCATTAATAATGAATTTCCTTTTGGGGATAGATAAAGCTCTTGCACTGTGTTGAAAGCAAGCAAAAAAAAGCTGCAAGTGGACACAGGCCCTTATTCACAGCATGAACAGTGTGTTCAACATCACTGCACAGTTGAAGGGTTTTAAATAAACACTATGTATATTAGTCAGCTTTAGTTTGACTTCTACCTCTTAAGTGGTTTCTGTATTTTGAATTAATGAACTAAGAGTACTGTATTTGTTATTGGTAACTTGGCCTCAGAGCCTTGTGCATGTAAAACTGGAGCTAAAGAGGTATCTAGATCATCATATTTTGAAGTGTTTGGCCACTGATCAAGCAGCTGTATTTGATAAATGAGGACAGAAAAGGCTGTTTTCCTTTTTTGGGGAGATACTGGACATCTGCCAAAAACTCTATCGCAATCCCCCACTGAGTGCAAATGGTAAACAGCATGAAACGCCTGCAATTATTCATGCAAAAACCTTTTTGTAATCCAATTATTAAACCAATAAAACTAATTTAACAACAAAGTGAAGAGCATTGATGCTTGTTTTCCTCCCTGAGTTATAGAAAGGCGTGAGAGTTTCCATTCATCCATCCAGGAAACACAAAACCTTGCCAACAGAGGCCACAGAATTAGGAACAATTTTGTGTATGTGTAATAATACTACTACATGGGAAATGAGACTAAATGTTTTACTCTGTAAATGGACTTCAGTGACTTATCACCCATCTTTTGCATAACATGTAACACAAGGTGAAGTAGAGGCTTTTAGCCTTTTAAGGCTGTTCTGCTGTCACATCATCAGGATTTAAAGCTGCCGCTTGGACTTTGTATACAACTCTCTATGCACTTACAGAGGAATTCCTCTTTATTAAACCCAGGGCCAGAGTTTTAGAGTTTTTTGGGTTCAAACCATCTCAGAAATGTGCAAATAGGCTGCCGTAGTTTTAAACAGCAATGTGACCCCAATGATTTCAACAAAATCTAAATAGAGATTCTGAAGTTTGTCCACTAAAAGTTCCTGTTTTGGACACTAATGGCTCAGATTGATGTTCCAATTACCAATTATGGAGTTTTGATATGTGTCGGGATCAGATCGATAATATTTGGAAAATGCTGAATCAAAGATTGATGAAGAGTTTGTGTTTCAAAGGCTTGGCATACATCCAACACAACACATCAACTCTCAGTTACTCGAAGTAGAAACAAGCCACTGGACCAAAGGGGCCTTCAAATGAGACCATGTTTAATGTGCTCATAATGAGAGACCATGTAAATTTCCCCTCTTTTTGGATTCATGATAATGTTGATTAATTTTTTAGAAAACGTCAACTTCATGAGTGTCATAACTGACATTTTCAGTAATGGCAGAGCCCATAAAATCTACTTATACATATTACACTGCATTATGATGTGACAGATCAAGAAGAGAATGTTAGCAAGAGCACAGCTTTTATAACAGTTTATATTCGATTAGTCATGCACCAGGACTAGAAAAAGCTGTGGTTAGTGTCAACCTGGACCAATGACTTGGTTGTCTTGTCTTTTTCCTCAGTGTTAGCTTTCAGTACAAAAAAAACCACTTTGACCACTTAGCTTTTCATGGACACAACTACAAGACACGACTTCAAAATTTAAACTCAAAGTTGTGTTTGACTGCAGCTCCTGGAGAGGTGGATAAGAAACCCCCATGTTCTGTGAACTAAAGAAACTAGTTCATCATGGTATTGAAGCATCTCCAAGATCGTTTCCATAATTCATTATTTAGAGCACATATATGCAAAGAATAATCAGCTGCATTTTTAAAGACACGCACCCTTTGAATCCCACGTTGTATGACAAACCAGGTTGCAACAGCTGATTTGACAGAATGTACAGAAACAATCAAACGAATCTGTAACTTTTCCTCAACCACTTAGCAGGTTTTCACCTCAGAAAAAGGGGACAAAAGAAGAACGGGAGCTTGTGTGTGCTAGTGTGTGTGATTTTGTGTGTGCACATGTGCATGCACATGCTCGTGTGGTCCACCGGACATGTGATCACCTCCTTGTCTTGTCCTCCAGTCACCACTAGGCAGTGTAAGAGGGTATCTACCTGTGTGATGGCTAAACCCAGAGCTGTCCCCAAGTGTTTCTCATGTAAGGTGCATGCACTGAGTGTGTGTGTGTGTGTATGTGGTGTGTGTGTGTGCGTGTATGTTTGTGTGTGTCTGTTTTCTGCACTGCTGGAGTGTTTCACTGTAGGTAGATGAGATAAGCAGTTATCTGTGGGCTCCCCTGGGTGCAGGCTGTGGACTGAATATTAAAAAAGGCTTTGTTACTGTTGCATAAGCAGCTGTTTAGCCTTCTTACCTCATTATTCGGATGAATGTTATGCCAGCGACGCATTCCTCTTATCCGAGGTGTTTTCATAAGAGAGAACAGTCATCTGAAATAAAAAGTTAAAAAATTTTCAAATCCGACACTGTAGGGGTGTAGAAAACATCACGCTTTTGGTATTTGCTGCTCGTAAACCCAGGTGAACCCACAGCGGTCTGTGTGTGTAAGTGTTGGTGTGCAGGCTGGTGGCGGGCTGATGGATAGCACTGGTGGGCTTTCAGGAGGGGTGGTGTGTTTGTTTGTGTGGATATGACTTACCCAAACCCTCAGAAAAGATCTGTGGAGGATCAGTTTCATCCAATGGCTCACAAAAGTTTGTATCATGAACGCAAAGATTGAAATGCAAAGTCCAAGACTGCACATAAAGAGGTGACCAAAGCTGGATAAACTTTCAAACATCCATCAGAGACATAAATGGAGTCCTGCTAGCAGTGTTAAGAGTATTTTTAGATGTTTCACTGATGGGATTGTTTGCTATATTTCAGATTGCATATTTGTGCAGTGGGAAAGGAGCATTAAATTTAAATCTGCAAGCTGTACAAGCTTCTTAAAGCTTTCCAAAGAAACACGCATCTTACACGAGTCTTTTCAAGCCTGAAACCTTCATATGAACAGATAAAGCACAGAAATATTAAGGTTGTGTTCTTTCTGGATATCTTAAATTTTGGCTAAATAGATGTAGCATTTTTCAAATGTTTTCAATGTTCTGCCGTTTGTTTGTTTACAGGCAGCATTAACAGAACAACAAGCCAACAGTCACTAAGCTGGGTTTAATTACGGTCTCCAGAGCTGCATGGAGACATGAGTAACCAAAGACTACTGATTTTCATTAACCATTTCAACACTTCAGAGGGGCTGGTGGCTCTTTTAAGATTAAACACAGACTGTAAATCCTTAGACCAATATTCAATCTGCAGCCGGGCCCGCTGTAATGTTCAGGATCACAAGTTTTGCGAGTGAATAAAGGTCAGCTTTTAAGTATCGGCCTGGACAGTTTCAAATTTCTAATATGAAATACAATGATCATGGACCAACATCCACACCTTCTGAACAAATACAGGTTAGCAATGTCAGATTTGTAGTGAACTACATCACAGACCATCTCTGTGCAGTTTCCTCCGTTTTTTATTTTGACTGACATGACTGCTAACTATTAGCATCTCCACTCTTTGTTGCTCAGAGCTGCTCTGTGAGCTCTCATCCTGACAGCGGCCAAATTCAATCCACTTCAGGAGAATGATGAGCTGGTTAGGAATGAAAAATCCTTTACTATGATGTTTAATGAAAGACAGATGTTTACACAGTTTACAACCATCTCTCATCTCAGACCTCCATTGAGAGGACCCGCTCTACTGAGAGGACCCTCATGCACTCCAATTTGTTTGAAGTGGTCATCCCGTTTTGTATTTTTTCTTTGTTGAACACAAAAAAATATCATAACATCAGAGCCAGCCCAAGCCTTAATGGGGCCTTAAGCAAAATGGGATTTTGGGGCCCTCTATTTCTGCCAATAATATTGATTGTTGATCATTCACACACCTTCACAAATCTCTTTGATTAACATTCCCTGACATGCAAACATACCTTTATCTTGGTGTTTTTTTCTCCTCTTCCTCTTTCTTTTCTCTGCTCCTGAAGGATATGTCCTTTTTTGCGACATTGTTTTGCTCCACAACTACCTGCTCTTTGGATGCTGAGTGCACATTGCACAGCAGGAGGAACTTAACAGTAGAGGAGCTTTGACATATCGTCAGTAAGAATCAGAGAAATACATCAGCAGCAGCACTAAAATGTTTTTGCTTTATTTTATTTTTACAATAATATATATTTGATCATAGAGAAAGCATCACTCATAAATGCAAAAAATAAAAAATATTTTTTTAAAAATTGATTGCTCTTGGGGGCCCCCTACTGGCCGCGGGGCACTAAGCAGGCGCTTAGTTCGCTTATGCCTTGGGCTGGCTCTTCATAACATTATATACATAAAATAAAGCCCCAAGAAAAAAATTGTATATATTAACACGAGACAAAAATACGTCATTCTCGGTGTAATTGCTTTTAATTTGAAAGGCTTCGAAACAAATTTGGATGTAAAAAAAAAAAAAAAGAAACGTACTTCCTGTATATTTGCTTTTATTTTGAAAGGCCTCAAACAACTTCCAGTCCATTCAGTGGAGGTGGGTCTTCTCAGTGGAGGTCTGCAGCCAGACCCCTCTCGAATTGAGAGAGGCCACTTTTGTCAGCTTATTCTGAAGGTGATTCCTGACAAATGTGATAAAAGTTCCTATATTTTTTTTTATCAAAGTTTCCTCACTGGAGTAAGCAAACAAGATCAGCTTGTCCAGATGAAAACACTAACCTGATGCTAGTGGCCAAGGCTATTTAAATGGGGTTGAGCCTCTGACCGATTTAACCCTTAATATTGATAATACTCATTTCAAAGCAACATTAATAAACATAATGTAGAAACATACAAGTTTTAGGTTATCTAAACGTGGAATTGTCATGACCACCAAAAATATGTGGGCATTGTTTTCATAGTAATACTGCTATGCAATTACCATAGGCAGATGATAAAAATGTGACTCCAACTGTGTGTGGATTTAATGTCAGTGTTTGTGAATTAGATGTTTTTCTTTTATTATATTGGTGAGGTTCATTTGAGCCTTGTGCATATGCCTGGTGAGTTCGGCAGTTACATTTGTCCCATTTGCACAGGTTTGCCAGGCACTAGAGCAGTGCAGTCCTTTTGTGACTCGGGCCATCTGTGCTGCTTTGGATCAGACTCAGTCAGGAGAGTGAAAAGATTCATGTAAATATCATTGTTTTTGGAAAGCTGTCAGACCCTCATTGGAGTTGTTAGATTTCTTGTTCCCCCACATTTCTACAGCTGAATGTAAAATAAGCGGAAAATACAGTTACAACCACAGTCACTGTTATAACATCAACCTCCAAAAAACTGAAAAATGACCCAAAATTTGCATTTCATCTTTTGCGTTCATTTGACAAAATGTTTGCCGCTGTGTTGTGTGTCTGTGTTGATGTCACCTTAAACTGGCAGCCTGTCAGTCAGAGGCTGCTGTGTCCTCATGGTGTGTAAATGTGTGTAGACAGACTCTGACGATGTGTTGGTAAGTATGAAGTCACTCTGTCCTTTAAAACCTGAGCACTGTTATCAGAGAAAGGCTGGTGACCTGCTGTGACACAGAGATGATTCAGTCAGAAAACGATGAACCCTTGGTAAAGCTGCACTGACTGTGTGGTTTTGCTTACGTTGGCGTAAGTGTCATTTGGGTCTGTTTTCATTCAGGAACATAGAAATAAATAAATGTTATCTGGACCATGCCTTTGTTTTTGCAAGTAGGTTTGTCCATGTTACAAATTAGCTTAACAAGAAACAGCAGAAACAGTCTATTTTAGGTGACTCAGCTTGGACTGACAAACTCTGATTAAATCTTGGTAAATATCAGGGGTGGTTGAGTTTACCCAGGGACCTCATATTGTCCCATCACTCCTCAGTTCCTGCATGTAGGAGTAACACTGCGAGGAGTGATGAGGATGGAGCCTGGTTGCCAAACACAATCCATGACCACTAGCAAAAAGTAGTATACTTAAAGTTCATTTTATGAAGTGTGCTTGAATATAAGTATATTAAGTATACTACCGACCATGTACTTTTAGTATACTACAAAGTATACTAATTTAATCACACTTCACACTAAATTGGAACATTTTTAGTTTATAAAAGTATACTCTATAAGTTCATTTTAACTTATGGAGTATACTTTTAACTTATAGGGGGGGCAGAGTGGCAGTGTGGGAGATAAAGAGGGGGACGACAACATGCAGCACATGGTCAAGACAGGAATCGACAGGAATTTGTTCAGTATATCTCTGAAAAGTCCATATAAAGTAAACTGAAAGCATACTTAGTTTAAAAAGCAGTACACTTGAGGTACACTTCAACATACTTCTTTTTGGTAAGGGAAACCCTAATGAAAGGGACCAGAACATGATCAATAAAGTCAAGTCAAATGTTTTTCTGTTTTTGTGTATGATTTTAAGGCACATGAAGATAATGCAATTGAGCTCACATACTAAAAATTTCAGCATTTTATTATATTAATATGTAAATTAAATGTTACCCACGAGTCAATGACTTGACCTTATTATGTACTTGGATCAGGATATACTAATACTTCTAGTATAGTATAGTTGTTGCAGAAAGAAATAAAACACATACTAAAGTACAAGTATAGGTTTCAGTATTAGAGTATAAGTGTGAGTCTTACTATTAAGGTCATTAGTCTTAGACTTTTGTTCTCACTATTCAGTACAAGATAAGTATACTTCACTATACTATTTTTAAGTATATAAAATATACTTTGTAAAAAGTTGACTTCAAGTATACTTCTACAGTTTTAGTATAAAATAAGTATACTCATATTACACTTGAATGAACTACTTTTTTGCTAAGGGGAGCCTCTGCTGCAAAAAAAACAGGTGTAAATGTAAACATGAGTCATCTAACTGAACTGTGTATCGTTTTACTGATGACAATGTTGTGAAGGGCATCAGGACACCTGGGAAGTTTTCAACTGCTCTGATTGTCTGGACAGAGACTCGGCAGAAATTAGGTCACCACAAAGAAGACTAAAACTAAGTGGTGTCATCTCAGTACCACTAAATGGTGTTTTAATGTTCGTTATGATGCAGTTAACGAAATGGTCCTCTGTAAAACAGTCTTTTAACAAGCAAATAAAGTGTTAGCTCCATACTTAAGCTGCAGAATCACCACAGATAAAATGTGTTATGCAAATTATAAAACCATTCGTGCTTGATGAATACCTATAAATGCACATTTGCCAACACAACCTGTGTGTGATGATTGAATCCAGCTGTTAACAGATTACCATCAACTAACACTCAAATAAATATGCCAAACAGCACTTGAACAGAAATTTGTGGTGGATGGTCACATTTTTTTTAACAAATGGCCAGTATTTAAAATCTAAATATTAAGATTTCCTGGTTAAGGTGCCTGAAGGTACATGTTTAACATACTGCTGCTGTTGCAGTCATCAGTTGCCAGTGCAGTAAAGTCAGCTATGCAATCAAACAAACAATGTTTTAATATCTAATAGGATTCGAATCAGCAGTAGTAATCCAATATATTCTGATACTGCATGCAACCTGTTGTTGAAAATATATTTTGTACATTAACTGATAGTTTTTTAAAACCTTGTGTAAAACTTAAATTTCCAGAGGATTGGTTTTTCCAAAAATACAGCTACCAACCGTCCACGTGCTGATTCAAGAGTAAACAAATGCACACACCAGTAAATAGCTGATTTGATCCCAGGAGGCAGCTGGTCCTTGTTTCTTCCTCTCCCTCCTCTTCTGTCTTTAAGTGAACAGTTGGTGAGCACAGGCAGGCAGCTCTTTTTGCTGCGTCAGCACTCCTCCATTGAGCTGTTTCTTTCTGAGGCTTTCTGGTCCTGCCAGAAAAAACAGCTGGTCTGCTGTTCTCCCCTGACTGTGTCCAGATTGGAGGGAATCTGTGTCCAAAACAGCAAGCGAGAATTCAACTGGGTCACATCTGATAACACTGAACGCTTTGTTTCCACCCTAATCAGTTCAATATGAATGTAAACTAAGCAATACCATCAGCTGTAAGTTCATGATCCAAGCACAGACAGCATTGATCCTTTGTTTTTAACATTTTCCAACAAGTCATTCCTTTTCATTTTATTTTAGTATAATTTCAGAGTCTTTCTTCACTGAAAAGAACAAAATAGCCGATGAACAACAGTATTTGATATGCATCAAAACACTATAATTCTGCCCTTTGGTAGCATGGGTTAAGGTTACTTGCTATCACTTGGCACACATGGCCACCTGTGGTCTCACTACTCCAGTTTTGACCATTATGTAGTGCAGCTAAGTGGAAATCAACCTCTCCGGTGGTACACTACAGGAAAAATTGACTAGAATGTAACTGAACCCCAAAACTGTGGTATCCAGAGTCTTATTTAAAAGCATGAATTTGAAATGATTAAATCTTGTTTCAAAATAAAGTCCAAATATAGGTTTTAGTGGGCATGATTAAGCCCAGATGTATGGATACCCACTGATTTCCATGCACCAAAAAATTAGGAGGGTAACATAAAGGGATAAACAAGACCCCTGCCCTCATATCCTGGTCCTGCTCACCTTGTAAAAGATAAACATGTTCATAAGTTCATCTTTCTAATATAATGTGAGACTAAAGACCAAAGCCAGAAAGAAGTCAACTCAATAAAATGATCGAAGGATGTTTCTTTTTTTTTATTATATTTAAATTTATTTTTTTAAACTATAAGGAAAAGTCCCTTCAATTCCTTATCAGTAATGCTGCCATGGCAACAGATCAGCCTCATTGTAGGATGAAGTTCTCAGTCTTCACAGACAGCTTTGCAGTCAGTTCACCTTTGAACATAATGTCACAACTCAAACATTGTTTCTAATATTTCTACTGTTCACAGCCAAAGTCATATTGGAGAAATAAACAACTTAGAGTTGCTGCTAACAGCACTCCTGCTGTTGCATGGATTGCAGGTCAGGATGTTACCCCACTCCTCCATATCATAGATGGTTAGAGTCTCGAGGTGAAATATGCTGAAATTTTCTGCAAATTGTTGTGCAGGTGCTTCGTCCTCTGTCCTGCTTAAACAGTTGGGAAAACTCACCAGGTTTTGATCACAGCAGGGCTCAGTACAGTTTGGCTTTTACATCCACCTTGGAAATCTTCCACTTGGACCACCTCGTATACTGCAACAGGTTTCCAGAGGGCTCAGCTGATTGGAATGTATAAGCACAGGCTGTCTGTAACAGGAGGGCAAAACATTGGTATGGTCTTTTAATGACTCTTACATTTCATGCTCCAAAAATAATGTATCTCATACATCAGAGACTAAATTCAGTCACTCAGAAGGTAAATCATCTCTGATAGTAGTCACCAGCCTGTCCCTGTCTCCATCTCTACCTCTGCATACATGCAGATCTGTTTTTAAATGTCTGACAGGAAACTTCATTCGCTGTTTTCTCTGAAACTGTTTCCACCTCATTCTCTGTGTCTGTCGACCAGGCTACATCGAAGCCGTGGTTATCCCAGCAGGAGCCAGACGAATCAAAGTTGTGGAAGACAAACCCTCACACAGCTTTCTGGGTACGTTTGCATTTTGTCATTAAGGTTCTTGAGGATTTTCACCGATAAGTTAGTCACAATATCATGTTTTATTTATTTTTTGCACAGCTGTAGCAGCGATAAGCCTGCACACTTAGTGACCCCTGGGAGTTGGTGGGCGCGCTTATCTGCTTTTTTTTTGCAGATGTTTTTATTGCACCACGCTCATGTCATGTGCAAATAACTCCTTTATTTCACAGTTGAAGCTGCCGCTGATGTGCAGCTAATTTAAAACTCCTACAACCATCTTCTTTTTATGTAAATTTCACTTTTTCAATATCCCCAGCAATCTGTTTGTTCCTGTTTATCTAAACAGAAAAAGTGCATGTACAGAAGTCCTATTTATTTTTACATTTTGCCCACAATTTATGACTGTATTAAAGTGGAAGCGTAGACAAGCTGTTCTCAGAGCAGCTGCTGCAATAACATTCCAAACCAGAGAAATGAAGCTGGATACAGCATGCATCAAAATCCAATATGTAGGCATTGCATATGTTTAAAAGAAATCCTCTTCACAAAACACTGGAAATATCTAGCAGTTATGTGCACAGTGTGTCGATGATTTTATGCTAACCTTAGTACACAACGGCTCCTTTGACCCAATGTGTGTCTTTACAGCCTTGAAAGACTCCAGTAAGAGGTCCATCAACAGCGACTGGAAGATCGAGCTGCCGGGAGAGTTCGAGCTGGCAGGGACCACAGTGCGCTATGTCCGAAGGGGTCTGTGGGAGAAGATGTCTGCCAGGGGACCCACCAAGACCCCTCTACACCTGATGGTAATCACAGGTTTCACACAGGACTAAACTCTTGTTGGTGCTACTTTCCTTTCATAGAGTAAATGAATGAATACTCTGTTGCTGTGAGTTGTTGACCAAACAGAATCAAGTATTTATCAAACCTCGGTCATAATAGTGTTTAAGATACATAGATATAAGTATTCTTATACCAATTAAGGCAAAGCTGTTTAGTTGCCTTTGTGTTAACAGTGATATAGACTCAAAGTTTTCAGTGTATTACTTAAAATACTAATCATTATGCTCAGTGATTATTGTACAACTTGATAAAGTAGGGACACTGGAATTACTGATTTTATTGGGGCATCAAAAGCTTGGTGGTATGAGTGCCCCACATGTACAAGCTATAGTCCTAGTTGGTTGGTTGGTTGGTTGGTTTGTTGGTTGGATGGATGGATGGATGGATGGATGGATGGATGGATGGATGGATAGATAGATAGATAGATAGATAGATAGATAGATAGATAGATAGATAGATAGATAGATAGATAGATACCATAGATAGATACCATAGATAGATAGATACCATAGATACCATAGATACCATAGATAGATAGATAGATAGATAGATAGATAGATAGATAGATAGATAGATACCATAAATACGATAGATAGATAGATAGATAGATAGATAGATAGATAGATAGATAGATAGATAGATAGATACCATAGATACCATGGATGGATGGATAGACAGATAGATAGATAGATAGATAGATATAGATAGATAGATAGATAGATAGATAGATAGATAGATAGATAGATAGATAGATAGATAGATAGATAGATAGATACCATAGATACCATAGATACCATGGATGGATGGATAGACAGATAGATAGATAGATAGATAGATAGATAGATAGATAGATAGATAGATAGATAGATAGACAGATAGATAGATAGATAGATAGATAGATAGATAGATAGATAGATAGATAGATAGATAGATAGATAGATAGATAGATCTTTATCTACTACATGGAAACTTGTTGCCACAATCTGAACAATCTGAACAGAGCACACACATACAAGCATAACACAGGAAAGATGTACACAAGAGCTATCCATCTGGTGCACACCTACTCATGTGTCCCCCATATCCATAAATTTACATACAGATATATGCAGACACTCAAACCTATCAGTTCCCGCAGTGTTTGTTTAGGAGTGTACTGGCAGGGACAGAGCGCCTGCCAGAGCAGGCTCCTGTCCAGGCCAGGGATTTGTGTCTGTGACCAGATGGGAGCAGTGTGAAAAATGAGCTGAGGGGGTGCCTGGTGTGGTGGCGCAGGCTCTGTGTTTGATGGCTTTATTGTAAAGGTCAGACAGGTTGGATGTGAGGAGGCTGGTAAATTTAGTGACACTGAAAAATGTAAACTTATTTTAGATGTCCTGCTTGAAACCCTGAAACGTAAGCCATTAAGCCATCACAGAGCTTGATAACGAGCTGATCATTTGAATCAGGTGTGTTGGAGCAGGGAAACATCCAAAACATGCAGGACAGTGGGCCTCGAGGACTGGACTTGAATTGTAATATCGGTAGGCAGTTATCACTGTCATCATCTCCCCAGGTGCTGCTCTTCCATGACCAGAGCTATGGGATCCACTATGAGTACACGGTGTCTCTGAACATGAGTCAGGACAGGAGCAGCGAGGAGCAGAGAGAACCAGAGTATCTCTACATCTGGACTCACAGCAGCTGGCAGGACTGCACCGTTCAATGTGGAGGAGGTAACTCACTTATCATCACAAAATGTGTCAAATCTGATCCCTGCGCAGACATCGGGTCATCTTCACTGCAAAGTCATGTGAGGTTACAGCACTCAGAGTGTTTTATTAGAGGCTGTCTGGTTTATTTATCTCTGTCTGGCTCCTCCAAGGTCTCTGTCTTGTGCTTGTTTGTTGAAAGTGAATCTTTGCTTTGTTAGGGAGTTCAGATGCAGGGGATTGAGACTAAGTTCATACCCTCACTCCTTTCAAATCTAATATTTCAGGAAAATCCCCCTTCAAAATAAAACAAACTTGAGATCTGACAGGAACAGGAATTAGACCCTGTAAGTGTTATTGGGCTGGGCTTAAGACAACAGAGAGGATCATTAAGAAAAGATCCAGAGAGTGATTGAAGTCTTTGTTAAGAGGAGAAGATGATTTTTTAAACCAGAAACAGCTGTTAATTTTCTCTATTCGAAACCAGAGCACATACTCAAAAAGAGCAGTCTGCAGCCGCTGTTCCTGTGTCAGTGTATGGTTCTCAGTCCAGGAGAAACCCTTTCTAAACACATGCATAGAGTTATGACACAGCATGAATGAATGAACGAATCCTCAACACATGATTTAAAGCCTCGGTCCTCCTGCTTGGTCAGCTGTTTGAGGTCCCTCACTGTGGAGTGTGCTCTGAATCTACATTAGATCTGAAGCAGATAGAGAAACTCTAATCCACCATGAGAAGAGATAACAGAGCTCTGGTGGGCTTACCTCCAGCCGCTTCATCTCTAATCCTGCTGCACCTGACATTCACTAAATACCAAGATGAGATAGTTTTCTCATTATGAGAAGAATTCTGATTAGTACTGATTGGAGCAAATCCTCCCTGTTTCAGTCTTTGTCTTCTGTCATCAGTGCCACCCCATCTGGATAAACACTGTGAGAAGATTTTGCTTTTTAAAGAGAGTAAATATACAGGCTGCTGTTTTCTCAGAAACCAACAAGATGGAGGAGCACAATAAATCTGGCAAAGACAAATAGAGACACATGCATTAATGAGTCATGATAGAGAGAAAGAGGGAGAGACAGGAGCTCAATGTGCCAGGTCCCTGGATCCCCCCCAAAGCAGCATCCTAAGGATTAAAACACATTCAGATAACACATCCTATAATAGTACAGCTCCAAAAATGTGTTTTTAAAGGAGGTTTAAGGATGATAAAAAGGCTGTTATTCTGATCTCCTGGGGTTGGGGTTGTTTCAGAGGGTGGAGGCTCTGTCCCCTGGTCACCTTCAGTCTACAGCCTCGACTAGCAAGCAGAGCTCCATCTGAGGACTTCATGTTATGTTGATGTATGTGACACCTCTACTGCCATTCCTGTGTTTTCTGCATTCACAACATCTCAGGTCTCATCCTCTGCATACGCTGATTCACCTTCTTTAGTTTTTTTAGGTTTAGATAATTCATGGAGAAAGAAATAATTGTTTATTGCATAGAGCACACTCTTCTAAGAAGTTTACAGAAGTTTTCAGAAGGTGGAACTCCTTTCACTCTATAGGACTTTGTCCGTCTTTTTCTACTTCAAGACTAATTTTTCAGGGGCTGAACTCATCTCAGTGTGGAGGTAAAAACAATTTTTTTAGAATTAGACTTGGTTTGTTTTGGAGGGGAGACCTCTGCACATAATTTAGCCTGTTCAAAAGCCGTAATAATAGTTGTTGAAAGAATCCCAAACTAAAATTATGTGGACACGTGCAGCCAAAGGGCAACAAACGAGTGCATAATGTGGACAGACTTCGTCTGGAAACATTAGTCTCAAAGGATTACAGCTCCGCCAAAACAGTGTGTCCTTTAGCTGCCAGATGAAGCATTGTACCGTAATTATGTCAGTACTAGTTGTACCTTTTCGACATATAGATCTAAAGTATGTTAGAAATAAAAGCTGCAGGTTCATAGGAAAGGAATTCCTTGTCGGCAGCCGTAAGAGGCGTCTGTGACCTGATCTGACTGGAGCCATGTCTGGAGTGAGAGGGGGTAAGGTATCAGGGAGTTTGGACAAAAAGACTGCCAGTGGCTAATCCAAGCTAATTATCAGCAGCATATCAGACAGAGCGGGGGTCTCCCTGTGTAGTTCTGTCTCTATCGCTCTTCTACACACAAACACACACACACGCACACACATCCAGAGCAAAGGGCAAGTCTAATTGTCAGGCTCCCTGCTGCTGATCTCCTGTGCAGCTCCCTTTATCCTCTCATTGCTTTGTAATATTGGTATCTAGCGCTCAAAATATTTCAAAGCACATGTATGTGAGAAGAGCACTTTGAAGTTGCAGTCCACTGCTTTCATCCAGGAGATGAGGTCAGGTGTTTCTGGATTATGGGTCTGAGGAGCAGCAGGGGGCGAGCCCACCACTGCTCATTTCATCTCTCTTTAATGGTGGATTAGAGTTTGGCTATCTGCCTCACATCCCATCTAAGTGTATGATTTGACATCCAGTGCAGACATCATGGTAAGCAGCGGATCAGCTTCTGTAAACACAACCCGCTCCACAAAAGAAGCAGTGATGCAGATTTATGAGTGAAGACAGTCTGTACAAGAAGCACACACACATACTGTAGCTCGCATTTTGTCTCGCAAATCAACACCCAAAAATTTCCAGAAGGAGCTCAGGTAGGGATCAACCTACATTATACCAACCCTGCCAGTCTTTGCTAAGTATTAATATTATAGTTTAACTGTGTAATTTCTCATTCAGTTCTCTCACAACAAAGAAAAAATGAATTTGAACAAACTCAGATCACCGTACATCTATTTCACAATGACAATATCTTTGAATATGTGGATTCCTATTCTGTCAAAACATAAGACTGTGGTCATCTTGTAGTCCTGGGGCACATTTGAATAGTCCTTTTCCTTTTTTGGTGAGGAAGCTTCCTTAATGAGTGAAACAACCCACAAGTCTTTGAGTGTTGGCCATGATAAGAGCTGTTTAAATTCTCTAAATGAAAAGGCGAGGAGCTTCATTACTATCTTTATGAACTCATGTAGCACAAGATACACTCAAGGGGCAACGTTACTTTGTTTGTACCTAGAGGTAGATTTGGTCAACTGTAAATAAGTCATCACCCATTATTTAAGAGCTGATAGTGAGACAGACCCAATACAGATAGTAGTAATTATATTAAAGAACACAAGCTTAAACAATATAATGAATAACAAACTATTTGAGGCAGGGCTGGGCGATAAACCGAAAATTTACCGATACCAAAATTTACGACAATAACTGACATCATTTTGCCCACATCGGTATATTCGGTGTCAAAAAAATAAATAAATAAAAGTTTGTTTTGGATGTGTGTAGGTAGGCTATGGTGTCATGTCCCCTTAAGACGCTGTCCTACGTCAGAGACGTGACTCCACCCCATCCAGTCCTGAAGTAGATGAAGTTAATGTGGGAGGGGTTGAGCAGCTTGTGGAGTAGTTATCGCCCATTTATCTTTATCGAGGTGAACTGCTAAATATATTGTGATATTGATTTTAGGCCCAAATTTAGGGTTCATGGGATTAACTCATGAGATGATTTCATGAAGAGATGATAGTAAAGGGCTATGAGACCTGAGACTGTCTCAGCAGCTGAAGACTGTCCTGTTGTTATCATAGATTATACTTCTGTATAAACGGTGAAAACAGCACATAGCACTTTTTGTAGTCTATCTGCAGTCAATTATAGCACGTGTGTGTTTTTGTGTGTTACAGGTGAGAGGAGGACAGTGGTTTCCTGTATGAGGATCGCTAATAAAACCATGGAGGTGGTCAACGACAGCTACTGTCAGCCCGAGAACAGACCTCACCCCCAAGTACGACCCTGCAACACCCACCCATGCCAGTACAGGTGAGACATGTAAACACACACACAATCACAGAGGGACACATGCGTACTCTCTGTCAGTAATTTTAAATGAGCTGTTTTTGAAGTAGAAGTAGGTCTCTGTAGCTGTGATAACTGAGTAGTCTGTGTTTTTCACTCAGGTGGGTGACAGCAGAGTGGGGGTCCTGCTCTGTCACATGTGGTAAAGGTCTGCAGCAGAGAGAGGTGGTCTGTGTTTACCACCTACAGAACGGCTCCCTCATCCACACCAGGGACTTGTACTGCCAGGGTGGGAAGCCTCCAGTGGTGCAGGGCTGTGAGGGCCGCCTCTGCCTCACAGTGTGGGAGGCTTCAGAGTGGTCCAAGGTATGAAATACATAGAGCACATGTCATGTGACCGACCAGATATAAGAGTAAATTCAGAAGGAAGAGAGTTTTCATGGTTTTTTGCTTCGGGGGTGTTTATGTATTTGTGAACGTGGGCCCTGTAGCCTCTTTTAGGGCTCAAGTCAGAATGTCCACATGGTATCAGCTCCAGGAAAAGTAAGACAAAACATGAATTGTCACCAAAGGGTAGTAGATGTCATAAGATCAGTAAAATATATATGTCTTCTCGTTGTGTTGTTAGGTGCCAGAATAGAGGCAATAGTTTCCAGGTCTATCACTTTTATCTGAAATTTGAGCCATCTTTGAAAAGGAACCGTTTGAGCTCAGCATTCCTGCACATCAGGCCACCTCAAGTAGCTTGTCATATGATCCAGCAGAGGGCACTCTCATCGCAACCTGTCTAGTCCATGCCCTCTTGACCTCAGTAAACTACAACAGTAATGTTATTAGACTAAAATGGAGAAGATGGTCCAACAAAGCTGCACGGAAAGGACAGTTATGACACCAAAACATCTGAGAAGAGCTGTGTTGAAATATTTTGGATTCTGCACTGTAGATGGAGGAATTGTTTTGTGTGACTAGTGCTTTTAAAGGCATAGTCTGTCGTTCAAATCTAATGCACTACTTTTAGACCCCAATTACTCCCCAACCACTGCAGGAAATGGAGGTCGTAAAGGTCCAGTCTACTACCATTTTCTGTGTACTGTTTAATAAAGTTAACAGCTTTGAAGCAGCTATTTGTGGTGGCCATACAATAACAATCCAAATCTGTCCATGATAAAGTAAACACTTAGTAGTTAGTAATAGTTTCCTGTTTTCTCTTATTTCTCTTCTTGATTATCCCTCACTCCCTGCAGTGTTCCTCTGGCTGCGGCGAAGGTGTTCGCAGACGCACAGTGTCGTGTACAAATCCTAAGAATCTGTGTGATCCACTGTCCCGTCCCACTGAGGAGGAGTCGTGTGAGGACTTCTCTAAATGTTATGAATGGAAGACTGGAGACTGGTCAAAGGTACCCTCAATTTCAAACTAACAAAGTTCATTAATACAGCTGGTTGAAAGTCTTGATGTCAATCCACAGTGGAGTCCCAGTGGATCCTAGTGAGATAGTGATCAATCAATCAGCCAATCAATTTTCATTTATATAGAGCCAAATCACAGCAATTGTTATCTCACGTTTTCTAGAAGAGCAGGTCTAGACCTAACTTGTTTTTCAATTCATCACAAAGACCCAACTTCAAGATCTAAAACTTGCCTTGAACAGGCAAAAACCCTTAGCAGAACCCGACTCGTGGTAGACAGCTACCTGCCCCCACTGAGTTGGGGAAGAAAAGGGATAAATAGAGCCAGGGTAGAGTGGGGTAAGATGAGCCATTTTTCATATTTCGGATCACCACATCAAGGCAATCATAGTTTTGTCTCTAACTAGTGTATCTGCATAGATTTAAAGATGTTGTGCATCCCTGCAAACCAACAGAGTGAGTGTAAACATAACTGTCTTGATAATATAGCATGCCAAAAAAAGTGGTCTCCTATGGTCAACTTACCCCGTGTTTGGGGTAAGTTGACCATAGGAGAGGGGTTAGTTGAGCCGTATCCCTACTACCCCCCCAACTCTCCACCCCAGCCCTCCCTCACCTTCTCTCTCCCTAAACAACAGTCACTTCTTCACACTCATGTGTAGTTTTTAGACTTCTTTACTTTCTCACTTGAGCCACTGGCTCAACTTACCCCAGAACTACTAGTATGACTTTATCAGTCCTCTAAGCTAAAATGGTGGACTTGTATGCTAGGTTTTTGACCTCATGTTGTAGCTCATAGATACCACAGCTGATGCAAAAAACAAATTTAAAATGATCTTTTTTGGTCTGAACACAATTCTAATAAAACTTATGACAGACTTAATTCACTTTCAAGAGTGAAAAATGTTTTTTTTTTTTTTAAATAAATGTCTAACCCCTTCACCCATGTGCCTCTAGCCTTCACAGACTCCAAGAATTGATGCCCATCTCCTCAATATTTGGTCATATGATCAATTTCTTTTACCATTTCCAAGCAACAGAGGGTGGCTCAACTTACCCTTTGGGTCAGCTTACCCCACTCTCCCCTATATATAGAGAGAGAAGGGGTTAGAGAGAAAGCGAGAGAGAGTCATAACAATAACAACAACAGCGATGCTTTACATATTCACCAGAAAGTTCTCCATTGTTTTATGTCACTGACAGCTGTTGCTCAGTGGTAGAATTTTTCATCTATCAATCAGATGGCTGGTAATTAGCACAGAGCTTATAATAGCTCCCACTGGCTTAGTCAGCTGTACAGACTGGATACTCTTAAAACTCTGCCACCAGAACGATGTAAAAAAAAAAAAAGCAACACCTGCCTTGTGAGTATGATTGATAGATACTTATTTGACTGTAAGAGCAGTAATCACCTGACTGTTCATTTTAGTGCTCGTCATCCTGTGGGAAGGGCCTGCAGTCACGAGTGGTCCAGTGTATGCACAAAGTCACTGGTCGTCATGGTAACGACTGCCCAGTGACCCTGAGACCACCAACCTACCGACCCTGTCACCAAGCGGCCTGCAATGAGAAGATCAATGTGAATACCATCACCTCTCCCAGGCTTGGTAAGACCCTTGAAAACAGCTTGTGTCTTTATGAATGACTGAGTGATTACTTTTTCACAGGCATATACAAGTTAGTAAGAAACATTTACAGTGAAGTTTCAAATCTTTGTTTAGATCAGTGGTTCTCAAGTCCAGTCCTCGAGGCCCACTGTCCTGCATGTTTTGGATGTTTCCCTGCTCCAACACACCTGATTCAAATGACCAGCTTGTTATCAAGCTCTGTAATGGCTTAATAACGAGCTGATCATTTGAATCAGGTGTGTTGGAGCAGGACAGTGAGCCCTGAGGACTGGACTTGAGAACCACTGTGGTTTAGATGAATATCTAAGTTGAAATGTTGAGAACCCAGTTTAATATGGTAATAGAGATCATTCAATGATCATTCATCCATCTTGTGACTCCATCTTGAGCCCCATCTTGTAAGATAAGACTCACTCCTATCCTATGGTCAACTTCATGAGTGAAACATTTTACAGCATTGAGAGAGTTACAATGGAGAGTAAGAACTTTCTTTAACAGGCAGAAACCTCAAGCAGAACCAGACTCGTGTTAGACAGTCATCTGCTGAGACTGAGCTGGGTTTGGAGAGGGGATTACATTTCATTTCACTTCATTCATTTGGCACATTTCAAAATACAATAAGACTCAACAGCAATAACAGTAATGGATGACATTAACAATAGGTGATTTCATTTTAAAAGGCATGCTGGACATTCAAGATATATAAAAAAAAACAAGCAGAAAAACTGTTGCTAGATTATTCACAGGGTAGTAAGTTTTTTTTTTTTTTTTTTTTTTTTTTTTTTTTTTTTTTTTACTTTGGGGAAAGTTTCACCAAGTGAGAATGAAATGAATACCATATCCTGGGACCTCTAGATGTTATACTAAATTGTGATAAAGTGGTACGTGATTGGGGGGGCCGAGGCTGGAGAGCTGCGCTGGTATGATAATTATGAAATTGATTATTGGCTTTAAAGAAATTATAAAAAATAGAGGGAGTATTTTATTTAATAAACCATGTACAAATTGAGCAATTTGGAGTTTAATGATTTGATAAAAATGAAGTATACCAAGTTTGTGGAACAAGGGTAATGAATGACTTCTTGGAGCTGAAAAGGTAATAATTCTCGCTCCTCTTTTTGCAAGCAAAGAAAAAAAATAGAGGGAAATGGAGAAAGAGAGAGATGGACAGAGGTGAGATTGATGCACATAGCTTAAGTAGCTGTAAAGCAGACAGGTCCTCAACAGCTAAACATCTGCAGCAGAGATCCAGCGGAACCTACAGCATGATGGAGGTCAGGGACTCCTAGAATAGACTGTGTGATTGATATTAGTGATTTATCAAAATTGGCCACAAAAGCAGTTTTCATGGACTGTCTAGCAGTAGAAGCTGCCATCTTGGCTGCTTAGGTTGACTCTGAAGCTCATGAGTCGTAATCTTGTAGAACCTTCCCCATTTGAAATTAGAGACTGTGATTATCTAAAAGTGTGATGTAAATTGTGCTGCCCATACCATTAATCTGAATGCTCTAATCTGTTTAAATGCATGCAGACATAAAAATCAAGCACCTCTGGAGCTGTTGCTCTGCCACCTAGTCCACAAATTGTTATTTATGTTCAACCATCAAATAAATGCAGTAAAACTGAAGAACTCCTGAGCAGTAATAAATCATTGCCAGTATAGATTGTGATGAAATGCTCTGCTTTATCTCTCTCTCTCTCTTTTCTTTCCCCACAAGCTGCTCTGACCTACAAGTGCATGGGGGACCAGTGGACGGTTTATTGCCGTGTGGTCCGAGAGAAGAACCTTTGCCAGGACATGAGGTGGTACCAGCGCTGCTGTGAGACCTGTAGGGACTTTTATGCCAAGAAAATACTGCACAAGAGCTAATGACCACAACGCACCTACTTAAACTCTGAATAGCGTTCCTTTTGTAAATGTTTTTAATATTTTAAATGTGTTAAGAAAACCATTTATTATTAATGATGCAACTTTTTTCTATTTAAGTAAGGAAATGGCAAGTTCATAAAAGTGTACATTTTAAATGGGCTCATAAGCTTCTCATTTTCATGAAGACTTGAAGATGTCCTATATTTCCTTTGCTGTACACCAAAAAAATGGGGGAGTATTTAGAAAGCCGATTCAGGCGGCGATATTGCACAAAATGATTGAAACTATGTGCTTGACTTTCCTGGTTCCCCTTTTGAACTTTTATTACGTTGTACTGTATTATAATTAATTTTTGCATTTTAAAATAACAAGTAAAATTGTTTACACATAGTTAAAATAGTGATGCTGAAGTTTAATAATATTCTCTAATGTGTAAGACCTGATCAGGAGCCGTGATAGAAAACTGCAATTACACCACAAAGCAACCAAACTAGGGTTGAAATATTTAACATACACTCAAAGGGTACATGCTTGTTTTATTTTGTTCAGATGCAGTCAAAGTTGATGGATAGAAATTTACTTGCAAACAATCTCAGTCACCTTCAACTGGAGATTTGTTAAAGTCAGCCTCAGTGCCGAGTGGTTTTTGCAGATACTTGTTAACTCTGTTTGGTAGGTTGGGTTCACAGACAACAGGAAGAACTGACACTTGAGTTTTTTTTGTTTTTTTTTAATCTCTCATCTTGAACTTTGACCTGGTTTAGTCTGGTTTGAGACTGCTATCAAGCCCCTTGCCTGGTTTTGATCACTGCAGTACTATCAAGAGTAGCATTTGTCTCATTTACAAAGCTGCTGATAAGTGACCTTAAAAATCCCTGCCTCATTTCCTTTGACTGTTTATTGACCCGACTGGATGGACAGAATTTTGATCATTTGAACAGTTAGACAGAAAACTGGTTGAGCTAGAGAATAACAGTGCTGAGATGTTCAGACCAAAAGTGAATCACATTTTGAAGGCAGTGATGAAGCAAAAATGCAATTTTCTGAAACAAATGTTCAAAAAACTAAGATGATCTGATGCTGACTTGTAAATTCTGTTAACAAACTGATGTTGAAAAAAGAAAACTCCTCCAAACTCCACTAAAAGAAAATCAATTTAAAAGTTTTCCTGTTTCCGTTTACAGAGAAAAAATTCTGATTCTTTATAAATCTGCATTATGATGTAAAGGTACAGCATTCATTCAAACTGCCACTAGTTAGATACTGTGAAACTGAGACTCAGACTACGTTTACACATGCCTGGCTATTTTCATAAACGGACATTTCACCCTCTCTGTTTACAAAGAACTCTGCATGCACACCGTGTTTTCAGAAAAGTCTTCATTTACTCTAACCCGTGTATATATTCCGTCAAGAGCATATCAAACATGTAGGTGGCAGTGTAGCAAGAAGCTCAAGCCCACGTTAGCCAATCAGAATTCTGCATAGCAGCAACAACAACAACAACGTCCCTTCCTTCTTTCCGGCGTACAATCTGCCATTGGCTACCCAAATCTCAGTTTCCAAAATCTCCACTCTGGCCTGGTTTTTAATAAGCATCGTTTTCAGGAGCAAATTCTCCATTTGCGTCTAAAGGAAGGGGTGCAAATGATGATTAATGGATCTGTTTTTAAAAATAACTGTGTACATATAAACAGGGCCTCAGAGTGTACTTATGCCGGGTGTGTTTCAGCTCCAAAGTTCAGGTCCCTTAGACTTTGGACTCTCTCTTCAGCTCTGGTACAGTCGCTCTTACAGGCTGACAACCGCAGAGCAGTAAAGCACCTGACTCCTTTTTACTTTCACCCAAACGCCACAGCGGCCCTGATGCTGTCAGGATCTCAAGTTCTCTCATTAAAAGCAGGAGAACAGCACTCCTCCTCATTTAGTTGTCCATTGGCAAAAGGAGATAAAAAGTGAAGGAGGAGCTCTAACAATTAATAAAAGCATCATGAGTGTGAGAGAATCTTGCGAGGGAGTCAATTACCAGCAGGCAGGAGATGTACTTGTTTCCTCGACGCAGATCATCGGTAGTTGGTGTCCATCAGGTCATCAAACTCGACACCGGAAACATTTGCAGTTTCTGCTTCAAGCACAAACAAAAGTGATGCTGCCTTCAAAAATCTTCACTTGTGGTCCAAATGTTTCATTAGAGTGAAAGCATAATTGTTTACTGCTTAATGATAAGCCTGTCCTTCTTGACCGTCGTAGACATATCTGTCACCAGCAGCTGCTGCTAAAGAACATCCTGACCTGCAGACTGTTTTCAAAAAGTCATGGAGTGAACAAATTCAACTGTGATCAGCCTGATTAAGTTATTCTCATCACGCATCTGTACCAAACATAAGGGCCGTAAAAGGAGTACTCTACCCAGAGGTGTCAGGATGCACATAACTCACTAGTGGATGGTCAGCCTTTAGATGAAATTTTAGTATTTTTCAACCTGGGCCAAATCTTGTAGGTAGATAGTTTTGTATGGAACTCTAGGAAGATATCACAACAGAGGACATGTGAGTGAGCGACACTGGGAAAGTCAGAGAGACCGGTAAATGTTCTCAAACCAGCTCTGCTCCAGTCCCAGTGCTCTCTGACACTCCAATTTGCCCGATAAATGTTCAAGATGCATGATGTTAAAACTTTTCTTTTATGCTGATGACAGTTGAATTTTTAATAGAGCTCACCTGTGTGTGTGTGTTTTTGTGTGTGAGTGAGTGTGCGTGTGTTTGTGCGTGCGTGTGTGTGTGTGTGTGTGTCTGTGTGTGTGTGTGTGTTAATAAAGGCCTCAGTCTTTCCAAGTTGAATGGTGCTATCTTATGACCTGTTTCACTCTGGTGGAATCAGCTGATTGTCAGTAGTCGTCCATTTGTCATTGTTATCAGTCATTTGTTTTTGTATGTTGTAGGATTATTTAATATCATGCCTTATCAATGACTCTTTTTTATTTCCTTTTTTTTTTTTTTTTGGCCAATGTGGCGCACATATGCTTCATTATTCCTGTACTGTACTTTGTTTTAGTTGCACATACAGTATGTTTGGTACATAAACTGCCACTACATGTATTTTATGGTGCTGATGATGTGGAACCAAGTAAATAATCCCTTTAACCCTGGACTGTTTTTGTCATATTTTTGTATTGTTGTCTTTTCTGTGTCAAATATTAATACAAGCAGAGCCGGCCTAAGCCTCAATGGGGCCCTAAGCAAAATTAGATTTTGGGGCCCTCTATTTCTGCCAATAATATTGATTGTCGATCATTCACACACCTTCACAAATCTCTTTGATTAACATTCCCTGACACGCAAACATACTTTTATCTTGGCGTTTTTTTTCTCTCCTTCCTCTTTCTTTTCTCTGCTCCTGAAGGATTTGTCCTTTTTTGGGACATTGTTTTGCCCCACAACTACCTGCACTTTGGATGCTCAGTGCACATTTCACAGAGGCACATAACGGTAGCGGAGCTTTGACATATCGGCATATATCATAGGCCTACATCAGCAGCAGCACTAAAAAAATTTATTTTATTTTTACAATAATATATATTTGTTCATACAGAAAGCATCACTCATACATGCAGAAAATAAAAAATTGTTATTTTTTTGATTGCTTTTGGGGGCCCCTTACTGGCCACGGGGCCCTTAGCAGGCACTTAATTCACTTATGCCTTGGGCCCGGCTCTCAATACAAGGGGCTCTATTTTCGTGCCTTGCGGGAGACGTGCCGCAGGCGCGGCGTAAGTCAGGTCCGCCGCGCTGACAAGGCGTTCCCAAGCACATTTTGGTATTTTGGTGAGCGGCGCAGCCCGCCGTAAGTATCCCCCCTCCGTAACTCAGCTCCTCCCAGCGACGTAAGTCATAGCGAGGGAGGAGAGAGGGCGTGGAGTGGGTTTAACACAGCCGAGACCTGTTTTCACCAATCACATAAGCTCCTCTCCTCACCTTTAAATCCGCCACCAGCGAGGCGTATTACTATTTTCATGAAGTAGTCAGAGAGATCAAGAGATGTCTGAAGACAGTAATGCCACAAGATGGCGACAGAAGGCAGCTCCTCAACAAGTGACACTGCAAGCGCTGCATTTCGCGTCCTCCATACTCTCATATGAGCACAGACGGCTTTGGTGTGTGTAATGTTGGACCCACTGGTAAGACAAACACCCTTTTCCACAAATAAAGACACTCACATAAAGTTGCATATATTCACAGATCACAACATAAACTCCAAAAATGGCATTAAAATCGGAACCATCTGTGCATAAATGACGCATCGCGCTCCGTGGCCTGACTCTTTCGTTCATAGATGTTGGCATATAAAATAAATTTGGCCCACAAAACTGAGTATTATAATATTCATATGTAGGCTTAAAGTAAATAACTCATCTGAGCACTGAAACAAATCATCTGTTCAGCCGCAGCTGCAGCAGGACGGAGAGAGGACACGGAGACGTGTCCAGGTCGAGCTGCGCGAGAAATAAGAGGAAGAGGAAGAAAGAAAAGGAGGGAGACTAATTACATATCTTGTTAACTTCATCGTGTGTGTTTATTTACTAGATATTTAATTTAATTTAATGCGGTTTCAGCTGTGTTGATTCGGTCAGGTTGTGTGTCCAAACGCGTTCATCAGATCAGATATAGATCAGAATATCTATATAGATCTAAATGTATATGCTGACTCAGATTATTAGTTGTTGATGATTATTTATTGCACTGAAATGTGCCTGACACTGTGGAAACCTGCCGGTGAGGCATCAGTGACGTATGCCAATACGCCGCCAGTCTACCAAAATACTACTAGACCAGCTGAACTCCACCTGCACTGAAAGCTGACCAGGTTTGAATCGGCGAGCTTTCAGCGCACTTTAAACGCCACTGGCGAGCACGAAAATGTCACTTCGCCCGCTGATTCTGTCGACACCTCCCCCTGCCACGCCACCATGCCCAGCTTGGCGGATCTCGGTTCGCCTCTGTGCGCCTCCGCCAGACGAAAATACAACTGCACGGGG